GACGCTCACGTACCGGCCGTACCACATGCGGCGGTTCGCCATCGTGTTGAAACCAAGACCTTCTTAGCTCAGCTAATGATATGCCTTCAAGAATTTCATCAAGGCTCTCATTAATGAACCTAAGATACCCAGCTCCGTCAAGTCGTTGTGGTAGAAACACCGGCCCAAAGATAACATTGTTGAAGACGCCAGCCCAAACGTTGACCGACCATCGGGTTTGGTGGCCAGTCTCTTGAGTGGCACGTGGATTGGTTTCAGACCATAAATGTGAATTTCGTCTATTCCACAAGCCGTTCCTTGTGAATGTAGATTCATCTGTCCAGATAACATGCTGAATAAATCCTGGAAGACGCTGTTGTTGATCCAACAACCAACGTGCGACGACGGGGTAGGTCTTCGGGTATCAAAGCTTGCACTTTATGAATTTTGTAAGGCCGCATTCTGTTTCTTCGCAAAACTTTGTACACCGTCCAATGCGAAACTGAGGGCCCATTTGGCCGCTGCAGTAACTTCGCAGCAGTCCTCGTGCCCAAACGGGGGTTGCGTTGGATCACATCGAGAATACGCTCCTCGGCTGCAATGTCTATTGGTCGCCCACCGCCGACCGCCACCGGAACGATCGGTTGATTCTCCAACAGTCGTTGAAACGCAGCAGTAATGGTTCGAGAGTGTCCTGGATGATGCACATTAGGAAATCTTTCCCGGTAAATTCTCAAAGCTAGAGAAGCATTGCCACGTGCTTCTCCTAAACACATAACCATGTTCCCATACTCACGAGCACTGTACACATACGCATTAGGCATGATGAGATGCACTTATTGTCTAATAAAACTTAAAATAAACCTAACACGCTCAACTAAAAACTAGGATAACTAATTTAACGAAATAAACTTTAAAATACGCATTCGCAAACCGAGATGGAAAGTTTTTTGCCACTGGTCGGCCTCATGCCTCGCTCATATCAAAGAAGCCGCGATCATTCGTTCTTCGGTTCTTCCTACTGAATATTCGAGTGTTGCAACTTTTTTCACCAAATTCCCAAAATTGTTTTAGAAATGAAATCTGCAATTGAATGGATTGTGCATTACGTGTTCGATCAAATTTACGATTTAACATTGTGAATTATTACAAGAACTGATATCGTAAGTAATTTTTAATAATACAGAAATAAACCAAATGAAAATTGTCTGAAAGTGTACGCTATACTAAATTATTTTTATGACAAAATAAGTAAAAATGTTTGAAAGAATGTTGTGCATCATTAATAATTGTTTCACCGTATCCTAATAAATAAAAGTAAGACAGAGAAATTATTATCCGGGTACCGTTTTTGTTAACCGATTGGCAGGAACATTGGCTAACGTAACTTAACCAACCTTATTTGCGACGCTCTTAACTTATTGTTATACGAATAAATTTTTAAAAGTGATTAATGTCATTTCAATAACATCAACTTCAATTTAAAAAAAAATTTAATAATACCATGTAATCAAAAATATTAAAAAGATAGATAGATATTTAAAAGATAGCTTACCTTTCTTTAATATCATACAATTTTTATGGGATTTATCCCGTAAAAAAATTACCCAATTAAGGGAAAAAATTTGAGCTGGCAGCACGTGTAGCGGCAGCATGTCTCAGAAACCGGAAGCGGACGGACCGGAAAAGTGAAGCGGCATCTTTTATAAACACACTCACCGGTCACTGCAGTTCACAATGATATCTAGGGCTGCCACTCATTTCACTTAGCAACTTTAATAGTAATTAATTATGTGTTTAGATTTATAAATAAAGTTTGTCGTAAAAGTACTAAGTGAAGTTTTACAATTCAACATCGCGTTTAATCATAAATAACCCGATAGGATTATACTATTGGGTTAGTCATGGAAAGTAAGTATTTATTAAGAGAAACAACTATTCCGCTTTTTTATAGTTTTCAAATTGAAACAAGAGAAATAATTATGCTAAAATTGAATCGGGAAAAAATTCAATTGGGACTCCCAATAGTTTTTCATAAAGTCACACACACACACACTTCTGGAGAAATGAAGTTTCTTATACATTTAGATTTTGATGAAATAAAAATGATTTAACACCTTCCCCTCATTTTAATGAAATGTATTTATCTGATCCTTTTGTGTTTTATAAAACCTAAATAAATTACTATGCGAGTTAAAAGATATCGTTATTAGTTACATGCTCTGAATAAAATCAAATGATTTTTGTCTTAAACTTTTCTGCGCTAACGTAAAAAAACTCATTAAAATAAAGCTCACATTTTAAAAATAAATAAAAAAGTGCACTTATCAAAATCATGTAATGTAAGTTTTATTTTTAAAAATTTACAAAGATTAAAATTTTGTAAATACTAGAGTTACTAAACTGTTTTGAAATGTTTAGTCGAAACAAATGTTTTCCAGAAGAACATGCATTTTATCTAGTAGGTTATTCAAAAACGATATTTACTCATTAAAAAGTGGCACCCCTTAACACGGAAACACTACCGATTGATTTTGCTTTACACTACTAGATGGCGCTGCATCTATCATTCTCATTCGCTATATCATCAAAACCGCCGCGATTTGCCGCTAGATGTATCTAGAAGTTTACGAGCTTGGCCTGCAGTATCTTCGCTCTCGTTTTTACTTATTGTTATTGCGTGAAAGGGAATGATCATCAATAAATAACAATTTGAAAAATAACAAAACGCCGTTTTAAACTACTTTTAGTAATTGCGTTTTCATTGCATTTTCTTAATAAAATACAGGATAATGAGTACCTAAACTAGCAACGTAGAGAACTAAGAGCTTTTCGTCGCTAGATGTCGCTGAAATTTCTCACTCGTATCTTCTGTCTCTTTTCATTCTACCAGTGGTGAAGGAAAGAGAATGAAAGTGCCCTTTGAACGTACCAAAGGTTATTGAACTCTCGGGGTCGTCTACCGCCGATCAGCTGATTTTTTATAGTTTTAATTACATTGCGTTTTTATGGAAAATCAATAAATAGACAAATTTATTGATAAAAATAGTAATACTTAACTTATTTTACATCGCTAAAAATGAAAAAAAAATAAAAATAACATATTTTTTTTGAAAAATAAAGTAATAATTTTTTCATTGCAATGTATCCAGAATCACTTACTCTATCACTGGTTTTCGTTTTCGGAAGCGTTCCCCTAACACCCAGTTCCTCAAATACATGCAGTAGTCTATCTTTGAGGGTCTGGTACTTGTGCTCACTTGGTGGTGATAATAATAAATCGCTCACCTGTGTAATCGCAGCCTTACTTAATTTAGTAACCACTAAATTTTGTTTAGCGGCGTCGATAGTTTCTGTGACTGGATGACAGCCTCAAATTGGACAAACCAGAGTCGCGGTTGGTCTGACCAAAAATCAGGAACTCTCGATGAAATGGTGATGGAGTCCAAAGATGATGAAGTCTCTGGCTTAACTTCGGGGTTGTGTTCCGAAACACGCGCTTGAGAACTTTCATTTTGTGGATGCATTGTTTATACTGCACTTTTTAATAAAAAAAAATAAAATAAAAAGTGATATAAATGTTAATTAAATAAAATGTTCAAAACAACTAAAAACGTAATGTTCATAACACCGGTCACCACTTTAGGGTATTAAGTGTCGGACCCTATTTATGTTATCAGAAGGTTAAATAAGAAAACACGTTCACTCTGTAACTCCGTATATTAGCGACTAGTTAAAAAGTCTTTGTTCTACAGACGCTAACAAATTGTTTATAAACATCTTACAAACTAAACTGTACATGTACATGTAGGCATATGTGTCCCTACGTTACTAATACATAAAGAAATCCTATGAAGATGTTAAATAAAATAAAGCAATGTAGCTTCAAATCATAAATATTTATTTTATAAACTAAAGTCAATAAAAATGTAATAGAGATCAGAAATCAAAAGATAAGATAAATAAATATGTACATACTTACATATTTCAATATTTACCGACATGCGAACCACTCGGCATTTGGTATCTATCAGTCTCAACTTTAAAGTGACTTTGTGATGCTGGACGTATTATGATATGAATTTATTAATAGTAGTATGAATCCACAATGACAACGCCATTAATTAAAAAGAATTGTAGTCTATTTGCTGTTTGTTTCTAATATTCTCTTTGTTAGTAGTCTATTTGCCGAAGGCATTAGGATCGTTTTTTGTAATAACTAATTTCTAATTTAGGCTTTACAGTCTGATATAGTTGTGCAAAATGACTGTGTTTTTCAATAGTTTCTTATCTGTGATTTTCTTCTGTTTTTATTAAAAGAAGAGAGAAACGACTTAAAGAGCATTGATAATGTAATAGTCAATCTTGTATACAATGTATTCATATTAGTTATAATAACTGATATTATTTTTTGCACAATACATTTGATTAACATTTGCTTAAAAACCATATCACTTCATAATATAAATTGAAAATATGAGCATAGATAGATTATTGAAATAATCTATTTTAGCAAATAAAACAAATCTTTTTCTTTTCACAAATAATCATGAAATTTTATATATTTTTTTAAATAGAACCAACTTTAAACTATAAAAAAGGGATAAATGATACTTATTCAAGAAATTGCTATCAAAGTCGGGCAAATATCATTTAATTAATAACCTACAGTTAACCTCCGTCCCACTTCTATAGCAGTTTCTTGAATGAGTCACTTTTGAAATAAGTATTATTTAAAATTTAATTCTTCATATACGTTCATTGCTTCCGAAATCATTGTTCGGTATATTACAGGGAGCACTTACAAACTCTGGTTAAATAGAAATAATGAAATGGTAAACCAAATATCTGGTTCAGTAAAAGTTAAACTGAATACCACTATTTGGCTCATCTCTAATATTGATACTCCACTCAGTTATTAAACTTAATAAGACTATTATGTAATAGATTGGAAACATAATAGTCTTATATATTAAAGAGTAACAAATATAAGCTCAAACAGGTAATAAAACCACAATTTTGGATATTAAATAATTTCTATACTTAACTTAAAAAAAAAAGTCATTATACAATTTAAAGCTTCATTGAATTGGCTCCGGTTGTTGAGTTAACAATAAGCCAAATCTTTTCTTAATAGTTATTCTTTGACGAGAATATTTGTCTTCTGGTGAGAAGCGTGCTGAAAAATAAATTGATTTAGTAATGTATACATACAAATAAATATACACGTTTTTTTATTTTTGGACTTTTATGGAGTCATTTATTTTAAAAATTAAAACCTCATTATGTTTAAAAATTCTTAAAAGTATTAAAGCTTAGACTTCGAAGTGAAACCCTTTCAGGACATTTAAAAAGCCTCCAAAAATAACTTCATTTATATTCGAGCCTGCAAAAATTAAAGAACTATTGAAAATGACTAGTTGTTCCAAACAAGATAACAAAAACGATGATTAACATACCTGGATGAGCTGACAGCGTCGGTTTCCCATTTGGGTCTACAGGCTGAAAATATACAGGGACATCATAGAGATTTAAATTTTATTAATATTAATAGTTGTTTGTTATTATAGTCACGTGGTAATTAGTAAATTTTACTTACTGAGAGAGTATATTGTCTGTCACCATTATCATTTAAATAGTATCTCAAATACATTTTATGATTTAGTATTGTGTAAACAGCACAACGATAACTTGCGTTGAGATGTCTTTGCACCAACTTTACAAATCAAAAATAAAGGTTAGAATGAGAATTCTCTTAACAGTAATTTTAAAATGACATTGGCGGTAGGGATGCCCGATCTGAATCATTTTTTTTTATTAATCGATTCACAACTATGCGATAAATCTAACTTTTGAATCGAATCAATAAAACATTATTTAAGCTCAGATCCAATCGTATGCATGGAAGAGTTTTAAGAAAATCGTATCAATAAAACAAAAAATAAATAAAATGTAATGCAAAGTAAAGTCACACCTACCTCTTTCCGGTGTTTGTTTGTTATTAGTTTTGTATAACCGAAGACTGCGCTAAAATAAAGGTACGAATTAGTATATTATATAGCCGTTTATAAATAGTCATAATGGTACAATCCAGTAAAATTATCAGAGTTATCAATTTTGAAAAATAAACCGTAGACTGGTGGCTTCAGTGCCTAGATTTAATTTTTATTATAATTAAAACCAAAAATGTATGTAACTTCAAACAACTTCTCTTACATCATTCTTTTCACTTTTATTACTTTATTGACAATATGTTACGATTTAAAGCAAGAGATCGTTTTAAAGCATTCAAAACACGTAGTAGGTAGTAGTAGTTTGTCTATGGGACAGGCGAAGGAACTAAGCCATACGAATCTTGTGTCAATTCAAAATACGATATTGATTATTACCAAAAAGTCGATCAAAATGAAGAAGTATTTAAAAAAATAAAGAAATTACTAAAATTCATGTTACTAGATGGCAGCACAAATTGTTGGATCTAAACGTCAATTCATGACGTTAAACCAAAGAGAATAGAATTGTCAGTGTTGTATGAATCTGATAACTCGGACTTGAAATTTAACTAGTTCGAGTTATGTAAACACAACTCGATTAATACAAAGTTTTGTTTAGGGGTAAATGGAAACTCACATAATGAAAGTGAGCACAGAGGTTTTTTAAAATTTAATGCTGGGACATAATTAAAAGTGGCATTTAGCTTCGGTATACAATAATATTACCGCCAAATAGATTTTATAAATAAAATACTTATGCCATAGTAGGTCTAGGAATTTTTCATTATAATTTTTAACAAAAGTTCTGAAAACAATAACAACTAGGAAAGTTAGTTTTATTCTTATTAGTTGTTTGTAGAACTTACAACAACAAAACTACATCAAGTCCCAATAGTATTTTTATATTATGTTTGGTGAATGGATGAATAGGGTTTATTAATCAGCAACAAAAGTCATAAAAACGATAATTATAATAAAAAATCTGTTATTATCTAAATACTTACCCGATATGTATCAAATATACTATGTATTCGTATAAAATAAGATGACTTGTGGCTAAAATGACATTTGTGCAAAGTGTAACGTGCAAATAACTTGTGCTTTCGAAATTAAGACTTAAAACTATGATCAGTTATTTAATCTTATATTCATAATTAAATCATCTTAATAAACATTCAACAAGAAACGTCTGTTCTAAACGAACAGCAAGGTTATAATTTAAAATTTCAAAATCACAAAGACACGTACAGTTATTTTACTATTGCTACTGATCTTGCATGTCGACGGCGGACGTCGAGCCATGTGTTTATTTGTCGAGTTAATTCTTACGGTGGGTACGTGCTTTTTGGTTCTTACAATAATATTGTTAATAATAGATTGATTGATTGATTCCTACCCAACCTTTATACATACTATTTACAAAGTACCTAGAGTAGTCATGCTCTCTTAAAATCTCTGCAGTGGTGTCACGTGCGTTAGGTCGTTACGTTCCCTCAAATATGTATAGTTGAAAAATATCGCTGTTTTATATCGATACTTTAAAAAAAAATATTGATATTTTGATATATCGATAGTTTTTACCCTAATGAGGAAGTATTTATAAAAAAACGAAAGCACTAAAAGAGCACCTCTACTAGATGGCGATTCTAGCAAAAGTTAATTTTTACAGGAAACGAATGGACTAAAGACAGTAATTTCCGTTCCTTTTAACTAACATATTAAAAACCTGAAATTTTTAAGGTTCGAAACTGAGATATCAATACAAATACGAAAAAGTACAAATAGAATATGAGTTGTTTATTGAGTTTTGAAAACTAATTTACTTTTGAACTTAAAAGAAAATCGGAAAGGTTATCATGGAGAAATCAAGAACGTATAGTTTGATTTCGGGTACTATTTGATGAAAGACCCAAATAATCTTTCATAATACCATATTTTTAACTAGCAACTAAGATTTAATAGTATGGCAATGAAATGAATCTGCAGTGTTGCCTCATATTATTATTTTCACACATTTTAGTAGTCTCTGATAGTTGTCTTTTACCAAAAAATTCTATTTATCCAAGTTTTTAATATCCAGAAATACATCTTATTAAGTCAAGTAAATAATACAGTTGACTCTTATTTTTTTTGAGTTGCAATCGTGTTAATTTTATTAATTGGAAGGTATCATTATCATTGTTGTAGTTGTTATTTTTGTAACTGATTTAGTGTCGATAATGGCAATTTGTTTTGTTGTTGTTCCCACTTGTTCCATGCGATTCTATCACAATTACTTATTTCCTGCACGATATGTGTAGATAAACCATTCATTATAACGTCGAGATAAGCTTTTGTTCCTCCTTTTAATGTGCTTAGAAAGTGGATTCATAGTTATTTGTGAAATTTGAGATAGTGACTCTTTTCTGTTGTTGTGGTTGTTGAAAATATGGCTGATAAAGAAAACAAGAAAATGTTTTAAGTGTGGACGTTCGCCAACCCAGCATAATGTAAAGCTCTTTCGTTTTCCGAAGCCGGCTAATAGGAATCTTATACGGTACTTGCTTTAATCTTCTATTTATAGATTTCCAAACTAATGAATAGTACGTGAAGTTCCGCTACATTTTAACAAGAGAATATTCCCATTATGTAATGCTAGTGTTAGGTATTTTATTAGAAGTAGAGTTAGAATTTACATAAATACTTGTATTTAGTTGTAAAAAATATGACTTAAGTCAAAGAGCTTCAGTATTAGGTATGTCATGCTAATCTGTATGAAAGAATTTTATGTTATTTCTGATAAAAGTGATGCTGTAGGTGAAGGTGATTAAGGATGTTTATCGATTACGACCTATAAATAAAATTAGTTTGTTATAAAATTCTTAGGAAAATGTAGCTGTATCTCTTGTACTATAAGGATATAACATTCTTAATTTCGTTGTAGTTGTTTTCAGATGTGAATTGTGGGCTAAATATATTTTCCACAAAGGACGGAATTCATCAACAGAATTCCAAATGAAATTGTACACCGAACATATTGTAGAATGCTGTGTCAAAATGATTTTCTTGATAATTTGGTGCACACATTAAAATAATGCTGAAGGCTTGTAAATCAGTGTTAAATTAAAGTTAAAGCCAAACAGTATGTTCAAAATTCACTTAATTTGTGTAATAAAGCGGTATATTACAATAATAATGAAAATAAAGTGTGTTATTATAATCTGCTTGTGTTATATTCCCTTTTTGAAGTAGTCCCTATATTTCACCTAGATTAACTACCAAATTACTAAACCTGTGTTCCCTGTGGATGTTTTTCGTTTGTGGAATTTGTGTATGTTATGGATTTCGTATACGAAAAATATTCACAGAAAACACTGGTTTTAGTAATTTGGTAGTTAATATGAAACCTAAATATAAAGTTAGTATTTAAACTTCCCGCCATACTGCTTGTTCCGGAGGGCTGACTATAGGTGGCGCTAGTTTCTATGGAAAATATTTTTCTATGAAGTTGGCATTCTTCTCGTAGAGTACTTTTGTTCTGTGGTTCTAACAGATTATAAAAAAAATGGGATAGTGCGCTCCAAGTGCGCTCTCTTATCCCTATAATAAAATATACTTTACTCTTTGGTTTGTTTATAGAAATTCTGTCAAGTTTCAGCGTAGAAATTTTTGCAATTTTGTTTTCAATAAAAGGCAAACTTTATTAAATTTTATGAAGCGGGATTTGTATCGGCTTTTTAACCAGTTGCCTGTAATGGCTAGTTTACCACCCCGCAAATTCTCATCTTCTAGCTGTAGCAGTTCTAAACATGAAACTACACCGATACAAATTCTTTTGCAAATGGGATTTTCTAGGCATAGAGCGTAAGGCAACAGTTTTAATAAAAAAATTGTAAGTAGGGTACCTATGGACAATTTGTTTAAAATGTTTTATTTTTAGTTTAAAAGCTTTAGCTGCTACAGGCAACCGCAGTGTGCAATTGGCATCTGATTGGCTTTTAACACATGTAAATGACACTCACTTGGATATGAATGAGCCTCGAGAATACATCTTCTATGCTAGTCCAACAGGGCCTTTATTAACACAACTTCTTGAATTCTGGGAGAAATCTAAAAAAGTGTCAGGGTGGAACGGAGCACACAATTACCCACCTCATATTACATTAGTATCCTTTTTCAAAGTAAGTATATACTGGTCATGGAATTGACTTAATATTTTATTGTTATTATCTGAAATTATGCCCTTTCTTACCTAGTTTTTCTATAAACTATTAAAATTATTATTTGTTTCTGTATGAAAAGTAAACTAAATATTAGATCAAAATGTATGATTCTGCTACAAATGTTAAATTCAATTTAATCAGATTATACTTTTTTTTTTTGGTTTTGACTTAATCTAATCCATAGGCGCAGGATGAAAGTTCTCTTCAATTAGCAAAAGCTGTAAAAAATGCTGTTGAAAATGTGGGTGAGCCTCCAAACTGTCCTCTAAAGGTGGAGCCGTATATATCACAAAATTTCATGGGTTTATTTTTATCTGATGAACATGCTGATTACTTGAAAAGAATTGCTGTCCAGTATGTGAAACAGGTGTCATCTGCATGTATGTATGTAAAATTATAGTATTAATTATTTTATTGTCATGTTGTAGACTTAATTTAATGTTTTTTTATTTGAAAAGCTTCAGTTAACTAATGTAACTAATTGATTTCATAAATTTATATTTATATGTATGATTAACCTTTAAAATTAAGAAAGTAATTTATTTTTGGTATTAATATTTGTGGGAAATGGCTCTTTGCTATGAAAATCTGTATTAGTACTGAAATCAATATTTGTCTTAGTGTGTATAGAATAATGTATACTTATTTTAAACAGTGGGTGTAGCGGTGGATACATATGAACATTTGGATGCCCTTGGGACATGCTTTCCTTGGTGTACTATGCCCCAGGAGAAACCTTATCAGCGTAAGAGTGAAGTTCACACTTATTAATATGCTTAGCAGCACATCAATTAACTACAAAACATTAAATTTCCATACTAAATTTTGAACTTTGTTGACAATGTATTAATGTTTATAATTGGTAAAACTATTTAGTCATTTTTGGAAAACTTGAGTGTTGTTGACTATATTAATATATACATTAAATGTTCTTCATTCTTCTTTGTTGTATGCACTAGCCTGCAGCTTATTTACTTAATTGGGATATTTTTTTTTTAGCTAAGGGTTGCCACTTAGAGATTGCTCTTAATTATATGTACTTCTATAAAAATGTTTTACTATGCGCATTTAAGTATATATTAATTCATTGTGTTTAATAAAACAATCTTAAATATTCACACCTAGAGTTAGGATTATTCTCCACATGTATGTTTATTACTTGACTTATTATTGTTTTATTTTATAAGTAGTGTGCATGGATGCTTATGATATAATTATTTTTGATATGCTTTAATTCATTATAAATAGATCCTATATTTTTTTATGCTATATTATTCATTTTTTAAGCTGTTGCACCCCCAACTCGATAATATTTGCTGTTTTTATGCTTATATTAATCAACTTACTACTCAATTAACTAATCTTTCCTATGCTCATTATTGCTGCTTTATTTAAAGCTGGGTTTCTTTGAAACTACTAGACTAATTGAATTGAAATTTGGAACACAAAATTGTAAGTTTCTAGTTGAATCATTATGACATTTGGACCATTTAACAAGATGGCTGATTTAAAAGCCCCCAAAACATTCATTTAGTTTTGTTACCTTTAAAAAAATAACCTCCGAAAGGCCGTCTGAATCGCGGTATAGTCTATTATATAATTGCATTAGTATTAATAATGTCATTGTATAATTGCATTAGTATTAAGAATTTATTATGAAATTTTAAGCTTAACCAACTTGTGTTATTTGTGTGTATGTTTGAATTTTGCAATTGATCATACGGACCATTCGCCCAATGGTCGGTAATTTATATCCCTTGGCTGTGACACAAACATTATTTTGATTAAAACCAAGTTGGACTATAGCTTGGTTCAAAATAAACATCGATAGTTATCTTAATCTATATAATTCGCCGAAAAATAGGCGAAAATGAAAAATCATCCAATCCAATGAGAATACAATTCTGTGCTATGTGCTGGTTTACTAATCTGTATAAACATACGTAACAGCAATAAACCTGGAACCTCACGTCAAGTCACTACATATAACGCTGGCTTATCACTTCGACGTGAAGGTGTACGATGCATTAAAGGCCCTCGTAGACGAAATGCAGCCATTTCAACAGGCGGAATGGGAGCTGCGCTTGTATTCTAGGGACCCGCGATTCGTCAACCATCAGGTAAATTCGTTTTTAGTTCCTAAATTCTTACACTCTTTATCTATGTTAAGTCGTCAAGTCAAAATAATTTTTATTCAAGTCGACTTCTTAAAAGCACTTTTGAATCGTCCAACATTTTTTTTCTCTACCACTCGTTCAGGACGTCTTTTAGCTGATAAGAAGAACGAGCAAGAAACTCATCAGCTCTGATAGAAGTAATGACATTCACAAAAACCATGTCATTACCAGATTAATACATTATAAAAAGATAAAAAAATGCTATAATAATAGTTTAATAATAATGGAAAAAAGATAATTTTTGATATACCTATAATGAGTTTAGAAGAAATCACCTATCCAGTTGCTGGACCATCTTAGTCGAAGCATTCTTATCTGTTATATAATTGGATACCTTATAATAAGCTTTTTTAATAAGTATTTTTTAATCGTAGATTTAAACTGCATGATATCTAATTGTTGTATTTTGCTTGGGATCTTATTGCAGAAGTTTTGCTTAGGACCTTACCTAACAGAAGTTCTCGTATATGTATTGAGAAGCAACAGTCATTACGTCTATTTCCTTAAATTTCTCCCTTAAACAGTCCCTAATCCTAAGATTGTAAATTGATCTAATTGCTCTTTTCTGAAGCACAAAAATTTTATGTATGTCGGCAGCATTTCCCCACAATAGGATTACGTACAACAATATACTACGAAAGTAACTGAAGTATACTAATCTGGCAGTATATATGTCAGTTACCTACGTATCTTCATTACAGCATATGCAGCAGAGCTAAGTCTACTCGACAATTTATCAATATGTGGGCCCCATTGTAGTATAGAATCTAATGTTATACCTAAAAATACTGTGGTATCCACAAGGCCCATGATTTTATCTTTTATATTCACATTAAATCTACTCTTTTATCATTAGGTAGTACAAATTTTAGGGATTTTTTTTTTCATTCATTAAGACAAGATTATTTAGATTTAACCAATGTACTTCTTTAGCGAAAAAATTGTTCACATCGTCATTTAGAGATGAACTATCATCCGAAAACAAAACTATTTCGTAATTATCTCTTACGAAATAAGGCAAGTCATTTGTGTAAATTAAAAACAAGAAAGGACCAAGTATAGAGCCCTGTGGAACACCAAGATGGGTGTTTTCGATCCAGGGGATCTTTTACCATTGATATCAACCCTCTGCAATCTGTGAGTCAAGTATGAGACAATAAAATCCAATGAGTTATCTCTAAATGAAGTTCCTAATCAATGTTTCATTAAAAACACAATCAAATGCCTTAGTTAGGTCACAGAAAACACCTAACGCATCATGTAAATCCTCCCAGGCATAAAAAATTTCTTGTATTAACTCGACACTGGCTTCGGTTGTTGAGCGACCCCTTGTAAAACCGAATCGTTGTCGAATCATAAGGTTATTCTTGTAAAAGTATGTTTGTATTTGATCCAGCATGATTTTATTAAATATACACATTAAATATATAAGCTAGGATTCGAGCTATTGTCTCAATTGGAAACTTCAATGGAATTACCCCAGCATTTAAAATAGATTCAGCAACAGTGGAAGAGGAATTCAAAGATTGTGTAATTAAGAGTGGAATTTCAGTAAAGAAAATTTTCAAATTAATTATCTGTTGTGAAAGTGGTATCAGATCTATAAAAATGTTGTCAATACATGTAGACGAAGTAGCAGTGGGATCCTTAAACATATGTGCAAGATTATAGGACATAAATAGATTTACAAGTCTTGTACGTGAATAGGATTCCTAATATATCAACGTAAAAATCACCACCAACCACTAATCGTTTGCCTTTATATAATGAGAAACTAAACTTGAAGGAGGTCTATATACGCTCAGTACAATCAGCTGGTCCAGCTCTATGCAGGCGATCTCTATTATTTTTTTTCTATTATTTCAACCGATAGGCTCACTATATCTCTACGTTCTTTAAATTTAAACTTTTTATTTAATAAATTTAGTGCGCCACCAAGCATTGCGTTTTTCCGAATGAACGAGCTATCAATCGGGTGATCATTGGAGTTAAAAATGCAACTATAACTTGTTAACCAATGTTCCGTAATACAGTTTAAAGTTTATGAATGATTCTACTTCTAACTCCTTACTCAACATTCCTTAAGCATTTTGGTGCCCACATTAATGACTGATAAACTCTTGGTTCCATTATTACTTTGTTCCTTTATTATTAGAGGAATCTTCTATTGTCTTATATTGTGTATAGACGACATAAGCAATAATTGAGAATATGTCATATTTTAAGCAAAAATTTTACCAAATAAACAATAATTTAAATGAACTAAGAAATGTTTATAATTAGAAAACTATTATTATTAACTTTTAACAGTTGCTTATTTATTCAAATTCTCTTCTATTAGTTAATAATATTTGTTAAGGTTATGACATTTTTAACACATGTAATTACTTCTCTCGACTATAGATATGATTGTAGATTCTTTAGCCAGGACTTATTGTTTGAGTAAGAATATGATCTCCCTGTCACTACATATTATAAAACAAAGTCCCCCGCCGCTTCTGTCTGTCTGTCTATTCGCGATAAACTCGAAAAGTACTGGATGAATGTTCATGTGGTTTTCAACAATAGATAGAGCAATTCTTGAGGAAGCTTTTGGTGTATAGTAAGCAGTAGTATGCTTAGGTGTTGTACAAACTGACGATATTAGTTCAATATAATATGTCGGGAAAAGTAAAGCTGATCGGAAGCTTTCCTCGAAAACGCTGCCAAAAACTTTTGAGTTATAACAAAACATTGTATGCTGGAATTGTACCTATAGATCTATAAAAAGTCCGCGTTGGTAGCTTGGGCAGCAGTCTCCCACAAACATATTGTTAATACAAATTAGAAAAAAATCTGTGAACGTATATTAATTTTGTGTATTTTGTGGAAGAAGTGAAATAAAATAAATAAAAATAAAAAATAAATAAATAAAATATGTCTGTATTCCAAGGAAAAGCACAATAACCATTTTTACGTATACTTAAAACAGTAAAATGATGGGTTATATACGAAGCTATTTTTAACAATACAGTATTGATCCTTATTCAAATAAATAAGTTAGATACGTTATGCATGTAATGCAGATCAACATTGCCTTTTACACTACTTATTTCAAAAAAAAATAATAACTAATGAGAGTAATGAGTTATCGAAACATAATATCGATGAATAAAAATGAATCGCCGAAACATATGTACGCGCATTACTTCAGTATTCCAGTTCCGACTGCACCGAATTGGATGATTCTATTTTTTATGTTTTCCACCACACGGTTTGTATATAAGATTTTTTTTTAAAACGGGCATAAGGCGGTACGAAGTTCGCAGGGTCAACTAGTTATTATTATAAATGCGAAAGTAACTATTTGTCTGTCTTATGCTTTCACATCTAAATAACCACTGACGTTAAATAATACGTTAACTATTATAATAATACAATTATTAACATAAACGATATTGTGAAAAGTTCTTATCTGCGGCCTTGCCTCGAGTTCGCGCGTTCTAGATATACCGCGATTTTTATGATTATGAGTACTCTATCTCTGTTCTAATACGTAACATAGTTTAATGGATTAGGTGCTATGTAAAAACCCAAACCGATATTTTAGTAGACATTTTTATTTTTTTATTTATATCAAGCAGGACCATTCTTTGATTCTTTGTTTTCATCAATCACTTATAAAAAGATCATCATAGTCGATGATAATAATAGACGATCAAAAGACCGCTTACAGACAAAATACAAGCAAACTACAAGTCCCTACAAAATATTTTCGGCTTTGTTGTTGTCAGGTGTACAAAGTCACTCAAGGCTACGAGCCGAAAGCAAACGATGAACTTGAACTAGTGCTCGGCGATTATATCTACATAAAAGAGGAAGAAATCAACAGTACTACAGACGGTTGGCTTCATGGAACGTCGTGGTTGACAGGTAACAAACAGTTGCTTACTCTGCGGCCAGTGAAGTCTGCCTTATCGTTAGTATACGTGCCTATTCTAGTAGCATACGCAACATGATATGTTTACGATTGTTGAAACATAGGTTTGGAGGTTAGTGGAGTGCAATTAATTAGCATTTGAACTCTTTATATTTCTTTTTAAGTGTTTAGCATTTTATTTTTAGTTATTTCAATCATATTTGTATTATAAAGTTATTAACTAGTTTTGTAATAAAGAATAGAACATGGTAAGTGCCAATGCTTTTGAGTTTAATTTATTATTATGTACTGTAATGTAACAATGACTAGGTACATGGTTCAATATCTTCAATATCAAACATTTAAGTGGCATAATTAGAAAAATGTTACTTCAGTTCACTTTAAACTTTAATGCAGTAAAGTTAGAATTGTAACTTGATGGGATGGAGGGATATAAAATAGGAAAAATAAAACAAGATTATATAAATACGTCAGCTAAAATTAGGTACGATATGTATTATGTATTTATGTAGGTATACTATAAAAGATAATGTAAGTTAAACATGTTGCATGTCACCAGCTTATTAATGACCCCCTCATATTGCTAGGGCTCAGGCCTTCCCTTTGGAAATAATCTAATAGGGAAAATGACCCACCACGCGCCACCATTGCAAATTTGTGGGTTAACGTCTGCAGATGCAGTCGGGAACAATGGCTTAACGTGCCTTCCGAATTACGAAGGACCTCGAAGTAAAAAGTTTTTGGTCATCCATCCTATGACGGGCCCTTGCGAAAGTTGCAAAACCGTTTATGTTATGTATTGCAGACCGAGCGCGCTAACCACTGCGCTATCGAGCTCCTAAGTATACCTCACTTATGTATAATTATGAATAAAAATTATATATGTTTATAATGTTCTCATCAATGCCTTTAGTTTGATTGATACCTATATTACACAACCCATGGCCATATATAAAGAAAAGAAAAATATTAAATGGCGCCACAAATCCGCCATATTAATTACTAAAAAACAAAAAACCCGACTGCGTAAAAACGAATTTTAAAAAATACATGAAAAATTAACTTAAATACAAACCAAAAAGAAAGAAACAAGTCCAGTAGTTTAGAATTCTGTTAAGTAATACGGAACAGAACGACTCATAGTCGGGGCCCCTTGTGAAGATTTCATTGGTAAAATTTGAAAGGGCCCCGACTGTGAGTCGTTCTGCACGCGTAGCATGACAAACTCGAGAACGTTTTGTCTACACTCAAATGTCACTTTTCTCGGGTGCGCCTATACGATATCTCACTCTCGACCCGAGAAACTGAGTTCGTCATGCTACGCCTGCTGTTGTGCTGTATTACTTAACAGAATTCTACTGCGCTTAGAGATGGACGTTTAAACGAAAAACACTTAATTAAGCATGCTTTTCTAAATAAGTGCAAAAGCGCTTTTTCACTTAGAAGAAAAGTATGCTAATGTTTATTGTACGTCCTGCCATCTACCAAGTTATAACTACTAGCTTCAATCAATTTTTCTGTTTCGGCATTTTTCTATTAGAGGGCAGCACTTTACATAAATGCACTGTATTATACTATTACGTGTTATATCCATCTAGTTTCTTGTCTACTTTTTGCAACAACTTTTGGTTGGTTAATCTAAACGCTTTTTTAAACGCAACAGAAGTTATTTATACTTAAAAAAGCAGTACGCTTAATGTTGTTGATGTAAGTGTATGTTGTGTTGAATGTTTATTAATTGCGTAAGTTGAATTGTATCCGTAAATAAATTGCTTCTTAAGTAATGTTTTTTGTTTATTCCTAAATAAACAATGTAAATAAGTTTTGTTATGAGGTGATGGTGTGAATATAAAACATTCTAAATGTTATTGAAGCATTAGTTTTAAGATTGTGTAAATAAAATGTAGAGAAACACTAATAGTATTGTGGTCTTATATTATACATTAAAACCTTTCTTTTGAATCACCCTATCTATGAAAAAAACCGCATCAAAATCCGTTACTTAGTTTTAAAGATTTAAGCATTAAAAATCGTACAATGTAACAACGCTTAAAAATTTTAAGCAGATATTTCCACCTCTAACTGGACTTGTTTCTTTATTTTTAGTTTTTATTTAAGTTAATTTTTTATAGTTTTTTTAAATTCGTTTTACGCAGTCGGGTTTATTGTTTATATTTAAATTATTTATTTTTAATTTATACTTTTTAGTTACGATTCGTTGACTGCGTTATAAGATGGTAAATTCGGCAATCTAGTCATTTCATTGAGGGAGTTAATATCGTGGGGATTATTAACTTGCAGTGGTCTAAACTACTGATGATTAGTCCCTCTAGAGACCTAACTCGGCTCAAAGCTACATGTTTTTTTTTAACAAAAATATTTGTTGTTTATTCTTTTTCACTGTTTTTTTTTTTGTTTGTATATAACTTAAATTAATAAGTAAGAAAATATGAGCGAGAATGATTGTTTTGTTAAACAACTTTTAATCGTTATATATCCTAAACTATTATTTAAAATGAAAAATGATAAAAGGAACCTAAAGATGGTTTTATAATACCTATTCAACGACAACACACTTGACATAATAATAAAACTCACATTAATCCTAAACGCAACAAACTCAATAAATTATCAACGCAAGCCGAACAAAAACGTAAAAAATAAAATCTTCCACTAAGAGTTTTCTATTCTGTTTAGCTATTTTGCAGCTCCAAATTTTACTCAGATGTAGTTTACGATTATATTCCATATTTATAAGTAAAATTTTTAATTATTGTTTATCTTATAATTAATTAGAATTCTTCTGACACAAAAATCGGACGGCTACCGGACGCTTTTTAAACTAGGACAAATCCGGTAAATTCCGAAAGGACGGCAACCCTATTCAAAGTTAATAGTATCGTTAGTTAAATTACTAAATTCCTCTGTTTAAATATACAAAATAAATTTGTAAATTAAAATGTTTTGTAACAATATTTCCTATAGATTTTGAACTCGGATTCACTATGTAAAGTTGTTAAATCACCATCGCTTCTATATCTCCCTACCCACAGTTTTTCTATTTAATGATCTACCGGCACTTTTAATGTGATCAGCTTAAACTGAATACTAATTATATGGGACTTTTAGTAACTAAGTTTTAAGGTTTAAAATAGAATTAGATTATCAGTTGTAACATAAAGCATTATAATCACGCTGATAATTGATATGAAAATGTTTTAACGTGTACGTAGCGATTAGAAACCTTTTTTTTGCAGGAGTCTCTGGCTATCTGCCCGCAGTATACACTCTCCGTACGGCAGAATCGGACGCTTGGACACTCCACCGCGCTATGTCGTTGACCAGCAGTAATAGTAAGTCCTTTTAGTACTTTATTGTCGTGGAAACATTTATTTACTTTTCGATATTCGGTTTATATTTATGTTTGCCTATAATGTGAGTTTTGTAAAACTTATACAAAAAAGAGCCATGTGCTAATCAGAGTCATGTTGCGCAGGTTCCGTACAACGTGTAACATTATTTAGTAACAGATTCAATCACATGTATTGTAGAATCGTATAAAAAAGTTTTTTTTTATATTTTCCTAATCTAAAAAAGATAAACATGAAAGATAAGGTACCTTCACAATGAACTTTTCTGTTGTAAAACGTATTGCTATTGTATACAACGACATAAGTTGTGATAATGTGATTTTATTGTGATGTGAATATTATGAGTACCTTAAATCACATAAATGACTTACATTTTCTCTTTGCTTGTACTATAAGACATTGTCTCAGGCCTTTCGTTCTAAATTGTTGGGGAGTAAGTATCCTATCGATATTGAGTTTCTTCCGATTGTAAATATTGTGCTGTTTGGATGCATCTTTTGATTATGTTAATTGAGATGCTTTATTTTTATTATGATTTCATAGGACAGCCGATGTTAATTTACTATACAGTATTTAATATTAATCAATATGATACATAGTTTACAAAAAAGCTTAATATCTAAGAGATTGAGTAAACAAATGGCGGCCTTATTGCTAAACAGCAATTTCTTCCAGGCAACCTAAGGTGAAAATGGATAAAAAATAAAGATACTATGGGGAGTGGGTGCAATATAGAGAAGGATAAATAAATAAATAGCGTTAATATATTATAATAAACAAAAAAAAATAAATGTATACATATGAAATGAATTAAACAGTTTAATAGTGAAAGAATAATATGAAAATAGTTTTAAGATGTGGAAAGGAAATAATTTCTAACTTCATCGCTAAAGGATCCCAATGATCGAGCCCTCCTGATACCTTCTGGAAGAGAATTCCACAGACGCACAGCATGCACAGCAAAAGAATAAGAATAGAAATCTGTATAGTGACGAGGGATTTCGAGAGTGAGGTTTGAAGAGGAACGTAATGTACATTGTGATGAAGAGGAGCGAAAAGAGAATGATTGTTTAAGATATGGTGGAGATGATGGGAGGAAAAGTATAGAGTAAAGAACCGTGAGAGTATGCAAGTCCCTGCGTCGGCGAATAGGAAGCCAATTTAACTTTGAACGGTAATACGACACATGGTCATATTTTCGAAGATTGAAAATAAATCTAATGCATACATTCTGCAGACGCTCTAGTTTGGTGAGAAGTTCTTCTGAGAGATCTGTATAGCACACATCAGCGTAGTCGATAATAGACAACATTAGGGAATGTGCCAAAGTGATTTTGGTACTGATCGGCAAAAAATTACGCAGACGACTCAGTGAACCATACGCAGCAAACACCCTCTTTCTGACTGATTCCACCTGAGGCTTCCAAGAAAACTGTTGGTCAAAAATAACTCCAAGGTTTCTGACTGTTTCGGAATAAGGGATAACAGTACCGTCGAAAATGATAGAAGGCAGCTCACTAAAGTCGATCCGGGAAACGAAATGACGACTGCCTATTACTATAGTTTGAGTTTTAGATGGATTAACTATTAGACCGTATGATTTACTCCAGGCACTGATAAGTGACAGATTAGAATTAGTAACCAAAACAGCCCTCGAGAGGCTAGTTAACGGTGCCTGAGCATAGATCTGGAGGTCATCAGCGTAAAGGTGATAGGAACATGAAAGAGACTGTGTGATGGAATTTATAAAAATAGAAAAAAGCAGAGGAGATAAGACGCCACCCTGAGGAACACCGGCATCAATATCACACCACGCAGACACTGTATCGTCAACACGAATACGTTGCCGGCGCCCTAGCAGGTAACTTCGAAACCAATCAATTGCAGCCGGAGATATATTAAGAGAAGCCATGACACCGAGAAAAATGTCAAAATCAACGGAGTTGAAGGCGTTACTAAAATCAAGTAACGTTAACAGCGTGAGCTGTTTGTTCTCCATACCCCATCTAATATCATCGGTAATCTTAATCAGCGCAGTAGTAGTGCTATGGCCCGAACGGAAACCAGACTGAAAAGGATTGAGGATTTGGTTGGAAGTAAGGAAAGCAGTAAGCTGCTGAGAGACAAGTTTCTCAAGAACTTTGGAAAGAAAAGGAAGAATAGAAATAGGACGATATTCGGAGAATTCGGTAGGGTTTGATTTTTTCGGAAGTGGAATGACGTTTGCATCTTTCCAGGATGTGGGAAAAACTCCAGTCAAAACTGAAGTATTTAGGATTTTGGTAATTATGGGGCACAGGATATCAATAATGGGTAGGATCATATTGCGACTGATAGAATCACTACCCACTGCACTGGAAGTAATAGATAAAATAGCTCTCTTAACACCACAGTCCGCAAATTGATGCATGAAAAAGGGGGAGTTAAGAGTTGGTAAATTCGAAAGATGATGCAGAGTTTCTGCCTTACAGTTTCCATCAATAGGAGACGAGGTGGTGAAGTGACTATTAAGTTGATTGATATCAAGTTTAGGAGAATTACAGCTACGTGTTTTACCAACCCCAAGTGACCGCAGAAACTTCCAAACTTTTCCCGGGTCATCGTTTTCAACAGATTTGTGAATATGGCGTCTCTGGGCGTCCCTTATCACAGTGTTACACCTATTTCTAGCGCGATTGTATTTCATCTCGTTTCGCTTCGAAGGATCGTGTTTAAATTTAGTTTTGGCCCTATTTCTCACTGCCATCAAACCCCGAATATCCTCCGTTAACCAGGGAGCAGGAAGGTGTTTAATTTTGATAGGACGTATTGGAGCATGCTTGTCGTAGAGTTCAATGATTAATTTGTTAAAATGCTCAACTTGTTCATCAACATCATTAGACGTAAAGATAGCCGACCAGTCTTTGTCGGCAGCATCTTCAATTAGCTGGTCTTGGTTAATGCTTGCGAAACTACGCTGAAGTCTGACAGTTGGTTTTAGTTTCGGAGGTCGAACCCGGTAAGAAACATATACCAAGTCGTGATAGGAAAAAGCGTCTGCAGAATATTGCCCGTGCTTAACAGCTAATGAAGGAGATGAGACGATTACTAAGTCAAGTAAAGAGGGAGAACAATTGGGGAAATGATGAGTTTCTTTTAAAGGAAGGATATGCAAATTTGAGGAGTTTACAATTGAATATAATTTCTTAGAACGCAGGTCATCTTTAATAAGGCATGTATTGAAGTCACCCATAATTATAGTGTGACTGTAAGAAGGCACAAAATGTTCAAGGAGTAATTCGAATGACTCGAAGTAATCAATACGAAGTGAGGGACTATAAAATACACCTAAAAGAACTTTAGTGTACGAGAGTGATACCTCAAGTAAGAGATGCTCGGCGCTATTGGGGGGTGGAGGCTGAGGAGATCTACTGAGTATAGAAAAAGGAATATGCAATCGCAGATAAATAGCCACCCCACCATGAGAAGAACTCACACGGTCATTACGGATCAACTGGAAGCCAGGTAAAGAATAGGAAGTCGATGAGAGACGAGGATTAAGGAACGTTTCAGAAATAAGAATAGCGTGGATGTTTTTACAAGTGAAAGAAGTAAGCATGTCTGGAAAATGAGCTGGGACACTTTGTGCGTTAATATGAACCACATTAAAGTTTTTAGCAGCATTACAGAAGGTATCATCTAAAAGCTCGCTCAAAGGGCGATCTGAACTATGAAAGCTAGAGTTCGATTCAGAAGAAGAAGAGGAAGATAGAAAAAGATCACTATCTAATGAATCCATGTCAAATATAATATAAAAATAAACTAAATAAAAATCTAAATATGTATACACTACTTACATATATAAATACCCACAGGTTGTCTGAAAGTACCTAATATATTACAATACATTTATACGTACACAACATCTTAACAAATAGAAGAAACGAAAGCAACAAATACACTCAACGGATATCAAACAGTCGTATTCATCAAAGCTGATAGAAGCAGGAAACACATAACAGCTGTACAAAGTTCATAAATGTGCCCCCGCCTTAATATTTTAAGTAGAATACTGCTTAAGGCTGTATGGGCTAATATCCCTACGCCTTAAATAAAATAAGAGATTAAAGTGACATGAACAGCTCAAAATGACAAGTGGAAGATATAAAGATATAAACATGTAAATAGAATGAATTTATAATAATTGTGTTTGTGGTAAACGGGTAAACTAACAAAAATTTATCGTTATTGATGGTGAAAAATAAACAAGATATAAAAATAGTTATACAGGAGTTGACAATATTAATGTAAGGTACTTATACGTAAAGATTTTGACAAATTGGTAAACACAAACCTACAATTTACTTCCTCTTTGCAGAGACCGCACGTTTGCCCCTTACGCCAGTGGATGATATACCTGTTGCTTGTCCTTTATTAGAAGAAGGCTGCAGCTTCTTCGCAGGCTCAATCGCACCCAATCTTTCAACATCGGTCAGAGACAGTATTCGATGTCGCTTGCCTTCCCCATCAATAGCAAAAATGCGCCCGGCATTGGTCCAACACTTTGATACGCCAAACCGTTCACGAGCCGCAACAAATATTTTATGTCGGTGTTTCGTAAGGAACTCGGACATTGTAATGCCAGAACCCTTTAGACCAGTTTTTATAGACCACAGTTTGTCTCGGACTGCTTCCACACGCAGCGCAACTAGTAGTGGTCGTGGCCTATCCTGCCGAGCCCGACCCATCCTTACTATCCGGCCCACATCACCAGCCATTACTTGAGCCGCCGGAAGGTGCTGTGATGCAATTCTCAAAAACAGTTCAGTTGGGTCCTCATCCTGAGTTTCTGGTACACCATGAAGTAACAATATACCACGGCGAGTTTGCATCTCAGTACTGTCACACTGGGTAGCCAACACAGCAAGCTGCTTCTCAAGGCTCTTGAACATTGCTAACACGAAGCCTCGAAAATCTTCAAACTCCTGTGCCAGAGTAGACAGCGAAGACGGTTGTGGGGCAGTGGTCTTCTGAAGCTTGTTCTCAAATGCAGTCATCCTCTCAGAAAAAGTATGTGAAAACGACTCAACAATGCTTCTGATATCCTCCATTTTTGTGCAAATTCACAGTGTTAGAGTGCAGTTAAAATATCTAGTGCAAATAATGTTGTGTAGAGGAGATAACAGCTGCAGGTATTAAACACTATCAGTACATATTTTTAGCAAGGATATTATAGAGATTTATAATGCAATAGTATTTTTAAAATAAATAATTTGCTAGAGCTAATTAAAATATGTGTACTCTCTTTTCTGCCTACCCACATTGATGATTTAAAATGTGATAATTTAAAATGTGACAATCATCAACGAACTACCCACTTGGAAAAGGATTCTTGACAGATAATCGGACAATGGAAATATCATCCAACGATTTCTTTTCCTTTTGAGGCCGCCGCCTACGCCGTATAAAAAAATATCAAAAGTGGGGGGTTCCTTGGAATGAAAGATACTTCTTTTTAATATTCTTTAATTTCTAGTATTAACAATCTTTAGTTATTATTAACCCGTAGCCGAGTGGTTCGCACGCCGGTTTCAAGGTGTCGCCATCTCTGAGGTCCCGGGTTCGATTCCCGGTCGGGTTAATGTAGAAAATGAACTTTTCTATATTGACTCGGGTCTGGATGTTGTCGTACCTTCGTTGTCTCAGATACTCCATAATACGGGGGCTTTAGCTACTCATCTTGGAATCTGAGCAATGTATGTGATGTTGTTTAATACTTATTATTTTATTTATGTATTTAAGCTCATAATAAAATATAAAATATCAATCAATCATCAAGACAGGACAACGCAAATTCGAAACGCAAAGAACCATAATTCAAAATATTAGCGGCCAATGAACGACCGCATTGACCATAAATCGTCTGAGTGTAAACCTATAGTAATGTGCACGGACGTTGCAGAATATAAAAAACGGATATATTTATTCAATTTTAATTTATTTCATAATCGTATTTTTCGAAGATGAACATAATGAACACGGCTTACGTAAACAGTTATGTTTACATCTTAATTGAGACGTAAACGGTTATGTTTACATCTCAATTGAGACAATACTTTTTGTAATTGATGTTTATTAAACGATTGATTGGATTACTTTATGTGGCTTGTATTCATAGTTAATATTTATTTACCGGCTGGTTTCAATGAAGGCCGAAGGTTCTCTACTTCATATTACCATTTACATTTTTTTAGAAATGAAGACTAAATTACGCCCTAATCATTTTTTTTTTTGATGGTGCAACTTATAAAACAGGGTATTTCGTAATTTTGTACAGATTGTTTGCAGCGTCAGATTACTATAAAATATCAAATTTCTTCATTCGATGTTGAATATTAACATTTGAGGAATTTGAAAGTTTTAGACAGCTAGATAGATTTGCTGTTGACTGTACATGAAATATCTTTAGATTTACAAAACTTTGTAATAATAATAAATAAAGTATATAGATGAAATGAAACATAAAACTCCACCTCAAAGGGTACATAAATTGTGTTAAAATAAAGCCTTCATTGTTTTTGATCAAAGTAAAGTCGTCTAAATAAAATCGATCCAATAAAGTTTGAGAGCCTCAGATCCAGTATAAAATCTTGTTAGCCAACAAACTAAGGTGTTTTAACTGGACACGTTTAGTTCTTTAAAATTACTGTAAGTAATCGGTTGTGTCTTCAAAATGTTTAAAGAGCTATTTTTCTTTTCGTTTTTTCTTATCTTAGGTGGTGATTGTAAATCAGAATCAGATTCTAATAATGACGGTGAAATGAGTTTTCCGCATGAGGATGCCTCAATGTTGGGCAATGAGAAATCGCAGGAAACTTTCAAAGAGTGGGATAACTATTGGAACACTGTACAGCTGCATAGGACTGACGGTATATTGAATGTGACGCAAGGTAACTATTCGTCGATATACATAAGTCGCATTCTGGTCTCATAAACGTAGGTGCTTTTTCGTCGACTCCGTAATTCATATCGCTAGAATGAAACTTGGGTAAATGTACCTATGCATGTACCATGCTTGTATTATAGATACTCTATACTTGTATCGTGTTTATATATGCAGCAAACACTCGGGGCCCGATCTAAGTGGGAGCAAGCCGGGCTAATGCCGAGAGCGGCAAAGACGAGGGTCGGTAATATTGAGGATGTCGATCGGTCGGAGGAATCCAACTCAATGGTCTCTTTAGAAAGTAAAATCTAAAAATCAACACCATACTATAATTTGCATTCACAATGCTATTCGATGTTTAAAAAATAATGCTCAAATATATTGCTTTTAAAATTGCCATACTTATTAGTAAAAAACGTATGGATATTCTTTGAAATAAATACTTTTTAATAAACTTATTCTAACGCCCCTGTAGAAATAATATTTGAAAATTATATTTCTAAATATCTCATCTTTAGATTAGCAAGCTCAGGACTAATTATAGTGTACGTTAAGTGAAAAGGAGGTTAAATATCATATTTACTCGGAGTGGCTTGTTTAGCTGGTTTTTCTAGCTGGATCGGACCCTGCGTACACACAAAACTCGTTGCTTTATATGCCTAAAAGGAAGTGTGTGCGTGATTAACTTGGACTGACTTACGTACCTATTAATAAATAACAGTATTTCTATTTTCACAGGTAGTAGTATTGACTGGCGAACAACCGCCGTAAGTGATGCTAAGGTGAGTAATATTACATAATAGTAGTTTGCGTGGGTTAGTGGCTTAATTGTTTAAAAAAATCACAGGAAAAGATAACAAAATATAAAATGTGCTGCCTGGCAAAAATTATAGACAACAAATATTTTTGTCCGTCCGTAACATTCCAAAAAATATAATAGGATAAGATTGGGCTATCAACAGCTAGTGTTAAATTTCATGTTTAAGTATGTTAAATTAATAATTTTCCTAGAAATCTGATTTTAAGCTACGCTCACGTAGATGTCTTCTTTCCATTTTTATTTATTTTGTACGCTGCTTTTCTATTTTTTGTTTGCTTATACCAATCTAACTAATTGACCATCATTACTTTCTCTTCAAATATAAAAAAAAAGTATAGATTCTACTATCATTCTGGCCAACTTTATTTCGAAAACTAACAAAGGTTATTCTAATAAATCACTTCATTAAAAACATAAAAATTTTACTGCATGAGTTATAGTACTGCCGATCTTGACATTGATTTTATGATATAAATACGTACTCCTTTTTGTAGGAATCAGAAAAAGATAAGAAAAAACGCTGGGTGTTCGCAATGCGCCACGGGGAGCGAGTTGACTTGACCTACGGTCACTGGGTGCAGTACTGCTTCGATGAGAACGGTACATATACACGAAAAGACCTCAACCTTCCCCTGACACTGGGTGAACGGTGAGTCTTATCTTGTTTTATTACATAGTCAACCTACAACCTAACGTCTAAATTACATTACATTACTACCTTATAATTAAATCTATATGGTACCACCAAATCATAAGTTGTAGATCAGCACACGTAGCATGACAAACTCGAGGCACGCTATATCTACTGTCAGGATGTACAAATCTGTCAATTTTCTCCACTTGATTTTAAACTTTCATGTTTTGAGTGTAGAGTTTAAAATCAACTGAAGAAATATGACATATTGTAGTAACCTGACTTGCAGCCGTGTGTACCGCGTTGGATTGTAATTAAATTAGTAAGTAAATTAACTATTTGAACGCGGGGTATTTATAAGGTAGTTTATTTAACTTTGAAATATGTGTTTCGATATGCTAGTATCGAATAAATATACATCATCACCATACTAAGAATAATATTTATGCTAACGCTAATGCGGTCTGTTTCATTTCCAATAATTATTTATTAGACAAGAAACATAGTTTTGTTTTTAAAATAAAAACATCGTATTTTTAAACCGAAACTATAATCAAACTGTAACGTTTTAGTTACGGATCATGAGCGGTGAATGTCCTCATTATGGTTAAGGTCCTATACTGTGTGTTGTTCAAAAATAAATGAATATATTCACTTATTGGACAAGGAACACGAACTGCGTTCCTTAGTCCAATATTTTTTTTTTTTGCTATAGAAGTAGGGCGGAGGTTTTCTGTAGGTTATTAATTAAATGTATTTCAATAGCATTTTCTTAAATAAGTCGCTTTTGAGATAAGTGTTTTTTATCACTTTTTAACCGACTTTAAAATTCAAGAGTCCTCCTTTTGGTTATATATGTTCGACGGCAAACAAAAAATACCTCGCCTCGAATAAAAATAATTTTGAAAGTCGGTCTATTGTTTATCATTTTTATAAAGTTTAAAGTATGGAATTAGGTTCTACTTTTTTAAAGTTTTTATATTCAATAACTTTTAAAATTGTTTTCTTTGACTAGAATTATAAAAAATATATCCTCACAAAAGCTAAAACAATGTATGAAAGCTTTTTCTTATTTAACTTCGTATAGAAGCCACTATGTTTAGTTACGTTATAAGGATAATAATCTATGAATCACCGTCTATTTGTACCAAATAATATAATCGGTCCAGTAGTTTAGAACAGGATCAACTATTACAGACACACGAGTGATCCTAGACGGGTTCAGTTTTTCTTTTTTTGGTACAGCATTCTAGAAAGTAATGTGATCCGTAAATGTCGTTGTTTTGACGTCCTGTATAGTCAACTGCCTGGCCTGTCCCGCCTATCGAACTCTAGCTACTTGGAATTTGAGCAATGTATGTAATGTTGTCTATTTATTTATTGAGAGCAGTATGTATGTGATTCTTTATTTTAATTAAAGGACATCACCGACAATGGCCCCAATACCATTAAATATTAATATTTCAATAATAATTACTAATTTATTTATTTAATTCGATCCAAATATTTATTTGACACGGACAAGCTGCGATCCAAAATTAATATTTAAAAGTACTTTAACAGTATTTATACAATTTATTACAATATACAATTTATCTTTTGATGTAAACCATCAAAAAGCTATAGATTTTTTAATTTTAAGCTTATCAATAGGTATATTATTTAACTTTAGAATGATTTATTTGTCTATTGATTGACTCAGAAACTTTAACAAATCACAACAAAAAACCGACTTTCTTAAAGTTGAGTTTTTTTTGTTTCGACAATATAGACATCAATATCATATCATGTACTTAGAGTGCCATCTCTTGATGGTTTTCCAAACAAATTATAACCTCAAAATGAATTATATTTTGCGTGATAATAAGTTCTAAAACTCGGTCGCGGTATAATAAATATATAATCAGAATTAGTTAGTGACACACAATAAAATAAGTATTTTCCTATATTTTTTTGGCTCTGGGTCCACCAATGTATGGACGTTAAGCAATGTCCTTTTCATGTCACATTTTCACAGAACCGGTGGCAAAGAATCTTATGCTAAAGATACGCCGCTAACGCGGATGGGTCGCTTTCAAGCGTACTTGGTGGGCGAAGGATTACGGCTGGCGGGCGTGAGCGTACATCACGTGTATTCCTCAGCGGCGCTACGATGCGTAGAGACGGCTCACGAAATGTTAAAAGGTTAGATTGTAGCCAGGAATATATATGACGGAATTAAGAAAAGGTGTTCGATTATGGCTAATACACACTACACAATTTGACTTTTGTCCAGCTAGATTTGCTGTCTCATAACTGGCATTCCATCGGCTATGTGTCAAGTTGACATTAGATTTGTAACTGCGGAGATTCAGCAACTCTTGTATAGATGTTAACAGGCGGCTGCGTGGTGGTTCAATATGATTCTAGTGTTCAGTGCAGTTCAGTGAGGACATTAATAAGCTAATGATGATACGACTTTTGATGAGAGCATTTGATATAAAAAAAATGGTTATTGTATTAAATTATTACAAATGAAACAATAGGAGTGTAGACAACATTTTTATTTTATATAAGTATACATAAAATATATCAAAAAAATTAAAAAAGTATCATATTAAAATCTGAAATTAAATTAAATTTTCAAAATTTCCCGCGAAAACGCCACTTCTATTATGGCGTCGCTATGAAATCACGACCCTCTGAAATTAATATCGTTATATGTATGCATAAGATTGAATCCTTTAAGTTTTGATATGAGTAAGAGGGGCGTGACGGTACGCACTGTTTGCGGTCACGTGACAACGAGTATAAAATATTTCTTTTTTCATTATTAATTTAAGGAATTTTTTAAATACAAATAGTATGTTAAATATTACCAGAGAAAAATTAGGTATATGTATTTATTTTCATTTACTGTCTACCCCCATAATAAAATTATCAACAAAGATTGATATCTTCAATTCAGGTTTACAAGCTGATCCGTCGGTTAAGATCCGCGTGGAGCCAGGCTTGTTCGAATATAAAGGATGGCACATGGTGAAAGGTATGGCGCCCTTCATGACCCCTGTGGAATTGCAGCGAGCTGGCTATAACGTTGATGTTAAGTGAGTATTATTGATATGTATTTTGACTACAGACTGACGAATTATAGAGGATTGTTTGTAAACCAACAACTATTTCACAGACTAACTAGAATTATAAAACCTACAAATAAACAACGTTTGATCAAGTCGTTTAACCATAGTTCAATACTTTGAACAAAAATGATTTTTCCAGTTATTGTTGTGCTGTACATTTATAGGTTTATTTATAAAGGAAAACTGCAGGTAAAACATTATAATTTATTTTTATATAAAAGGAAAATGTATCAAATAATAAAAACCTTTTGGTGGTGTTTTCGTACAGTTAACCCTGTATATGAACTCTAAGAATTTGTATTTTAATGTAATTAACAGTTAAATCTCTTTTTAACAGTTACAAGCCGCTCGTAGATCTAGATATAAATACGACGGAAACATTAGAAGAATTCTATAACAGAAATGAAAAAGTGATGTATTCGGCTGTGAACGAAACCGAAGCTTCAGGTCAGTGAACCTTAATAAAAAACAAAATTTAATTAATTCGAGTTATGGTGAATACATTTCCTTTAAGATTAAAATATTGCACACTTCTACAACACAGATTCTAAGATATAAATATATTTGAGACAGTTAAGCGTGTTGTTAGCAATCTCTTTTTTTTATTAATCTTAGAACATTATACAGTAGTAATGTAAACGGTTTTTCAATTCATATACGAAATCTACCAGTGAGGGCGTGTTATTGGGTGTTTTTTGTATCTGTTTATATTTGTAATTTCTGATCTCCATATATATCATATAGATGTATATATATAAATATCTATGTGATAATCCATGTATATAATTTAACAAATTGATAGCTTTTTCTAATAGTAAAAATATGTTATTTCTAGGGGACAACGTTATATTCGTTGGACATGCATCTACACTAGACATGGCGTCGTTCGCGATAAAACGTATAGATCAACCGGCGACTGAAGGAAAATCGTATCAGATCAGTAAACAGTTGTTGAGAGTACCGTACTGTGCTCTGGCAGCGATGAGACCGAACCCTTGGCGGCTAGTAGGACCCCCGTGTCCGCCTTCCATCAATTCTAGCTCAGGCAGATTCGATTGGACGATACTAGAAGAAGACCTTCACCATTAAAGTTTAATATTATTTACAAATTTTAGCAAAACCGAGAACTGAATGTGGTCGGCATATTTTTTTATTATAACATATTTGAAAACCAACGACTGCTTACTGCTCTATTATCTATACTGTACATAATATTGGCAATTAAAATATATATTTTAGATCACATATAAATCAGATTTTATTTGTGCATATTAATTGGTTAATAAAATAAGATTTGAGTGTTTGTAGTAAAGTGTTTAATATTCCTACGCTATGATCATATCAAAATATGCCACTACACATGTCTCATTATTTTATGTCATGATTATTAGTACCTGAATATTTAGATTTGTTTATCGACGATGTTCTTATAAAATTGTGATTTACATAGTAATATATGAATACAAAAATTTCAAGGAGTGGAAATATCATAATTACTGGTTATGTATTGCTGATTGTCTGATAAATTTTAAAATACTACGTTTCGTATAAAATGGGTAATTACTTATAGGAATTAGTAACTCGGTCTTCTTTTTACTAGACTGTAACAAAGGCAAGTAAATCAACCATATTACTATTAGTAGCGCATAGGTATGGCAGGAAAATCAACTATTAAAATATTACATAGATAATCTGTGATTTATAACTATAATTATTCCTTGTATAGAGTAGTGACGGACTATTACTAGCGGATTGAGTCTGGATATGTCATTCAGATGTAAATATGTAACTCAAATTGGAACTATTAAGATTTTTCTTTAATGTGTTTTCTACTTTTATAATACTGTTTAAGATTTAGTTGCTAAGGCTCCAATTGAATTTTATAGAATGAATAATGTACTTATTATAAGTGAATCCTCCTGAATTTTTAAGAGAATTTAGCATAAAAAAATAAGACATATGATAAATGCCACTTGCTATTAAACTCTTATAATTAGTTTCCATTTTAGCTGCTTTACTAGACTGATTTCTCCGCTTGGTCTTATGAGGATAAATTCCCAAAAAAACTTTTTGTATTAACTCAATCATCTGAATTTATGACAATTCTTTCGTTTGGGAATATTTCCTTATAAGAAGAGTCTAACGGTGCAATACTGAGGGAAGATGCGTCGCGTAATAGTTGGTCACGGAACGTCAAAACTGAACAATTACATAAAATGATATTCAACCTTCCATCGCTTGTGCGAGGTCGAATGTCATCTTCCGTCCAAAGGTTGAATGCTATCTTAACCGTAGGATCGGCACATATTAATGCGTCATGTGCCGTCTGTCGAGGAATGTCAGAATGAAATATTAAATGTAACATAGGTATGATTACAACTTAAAAACACTCAATGGATGATCCGTCGCGTACTAATGCAACGGCGAGAAGCTTGACAGGAATTTTTTCATTATCATTTTTTACATGTATAAATTTATTTTATTTTAATTTAAATACTTGGCAGATTAGCCATTGATAAGAAGAAGACGCTTGACAGATCTTCCGTCAGATTTGCGCCAATCCTTATGTGAGATAATTTTAGGTACCTAATTGTGATATTATTTTGGAAAATAAACTATTGCTAATATTACCATGTTGTTTTTATATGCAAATTGATAGATTTATTTATGCTATGTAGTTTTGGCTGACTAGAAGTAAATGTAGGTAAATAGCAACCAATCAAAATGCATCCCCCTGTCATGTTCGATTTCGCTATAGAATGGATCCAAACCCACCAAGTTTATTATTTGCTTCTTGAATCTCTCAGCTCCTGTACAGCATAGAATACTTTCCCGATTGTCTAATTAGGTTTCCACTAAAAACCAACAATCCAAAATCTTTGTTACACCATGGAATATACTCTCAATTTATTTCTTTCAAAGTATCTACTACACATTTACTCTGACTAATAAACTTTTGCAATCGTAAAATTAAGGACCTTTCTATAAATGTTTCCTCCGCCTTTTCATCTCGTCTTGTTTCGAAAACTAATTAAGAATGGTGTTGTTATTTATGCTTTAGAAAATATGAAATATAAAAGCAGTTCGTCAATTACATTTTATTTTTTAATAACTATAAAATGCAAAGATAGTTTAAAATTAAGTAACATTAAAATTCGACTAGAAAGAAAAAATAATTTAATGATTATTATATTGAAATTCTAATGGTTTTATACCATTTAATGATATGGATATATAATTTGTTACACAATCAACACAGTACAAAGGCACATTAATATTTCGTGAGCGGATTGCATTGGCACTTTTATCTTATTTATAGTATTAAAATTAGTATCTACCCAATTTAATACAAAAGATAAAGAGATCAAACAAATGTAAACAACAGCAACTTGTATTGCACTAAAACCTGATAATCACTTAGATTCTATATTAGAATAATTCATTCTTTCAGAAAGAACTTCCTCAACGATTTTTTGAATAATTTGCCTATCTTCCGTTGTAAGATCTTCAGGTTTCGTTTTATCGTCATATATTTTTCTATCTATTAATCTAACAATCACTTCTTCTACAATAGCGTCAATATTCTCATTTGTATGATTATGTAAATCGTCTTTAATAATCATGGTTTCCAATTTCTCGGAAGAATCTGATTGTCCAGCTGTATCATTATTATCTTGTACTGAAGGTGCATCTAAATCTTCCAATTCATTTATTACAGGTATATCTCCTCGACTATCAGACATGACTTCAATTTCATCAGTAGGTTCGACGGTTTTAGAAAGTTCTTCTGCAACATGTTTATGGCGTTTCATTATCTCTTTTAATTTCTCCTTGGCCGAGGCTATGACTTCTTTACGAGTTTCAGACTTTATTTTAGCTATTGCTTTTCTTTTTCTCTCTTGTCTCAAGGTTTTAAATTCATCTAGAGCCTTTTTAGCTTTGCCAAGCAAAGGTATTTCTTCTGATTCATCATATTCATTCTCCTCTTGATCTACATATGTAGTTTCTTCAACTTTTAAAGTGTTATCATGATTAAACATCAATGAATCTGAAATTTTCTCATCACTGGCATTATTCATCTCATCAGGTACTTCACTTGATGTTTCATAATTTATCACATTCAATACAGATTCTTCCTTAGAAACTTGATTTGATTCACTATATTCATTTATGATGGATGTATCGATGGATCTACCTTGTGGATGTTCTCTAAAATCTTTTCTTTCTAAAACGAAAATTGCCGGTTTCGTTTTTATTCGGACAGGTGGCATCAGTTTATAATTGACAGCTACTTGTGAAAATGTTTCGATACTATCTAATATTAAATGAGTATGAGCAAAGGCTTTGATATTAGACGAATATTTGCTCTTAGCCTCCAAAAGAAGATGTGTATATTCCTGCAGTTGGTTAATTTCTAACGATTCATTTTTGGAGTAGATCCAGTTATCGTTTATCTGTGTGAATCTTGTCACTCCTGTCTGAGCTGCAAGGTTACTAATATGTACATGTACGAAGGGTTCACCTTTCAATAACTTATGGAATCTACAACAAAATTAGAAGTATTTTTTAAATTCGACTATAACTATTAATCTGCACATTTATTAAAAATGATAATAATTCAAAAAATAATAACATTTAATGCATTATTATAATTTTAGAGTAAATATATCTTACTTTGAGATCGCAACTCCACCAGGATAATTTGTCATAGCAACCATTACAAGTGACAAAGACATTACAATATTACCTATAATAATTATTACTATTCCCCAAAATAAAAGTTCGTAAATCGGTGCTTTGGTTCGTCTTATAAATCTGAAAGAGAAGAAAAACATGATTTTCGAAGCACTTTCACCAGTGTCGGATTTAATATTTTTTTTTTTACATTTGAAGCTTTTTTAGAAGTTTTTTAGCGCATTATCGCGAGTGAACTGCCAAAATCATTTTCTAGCGTTACACTCGTGATAATACGCTGTTGACGCATTTTTATTTTAACTGCTTCACTAATCTACCTTAATTACTTATTTTCTTTATTAGACATCTACAAATGTGCCATTGGTGATATTAAACTCTAAAATCCTAAGGCTACTTACACAAATGAGCATGCTGCGGCTGAAGCAATATTGAGCAATGGGAATACGTATATGATGAACCTAAGTTCTTTATGTGGAAGAAAAGAGTACAGGAAAATGTATACAAGTGCTGGTGCTACTAGAGGCACTAGACGCTTATCTAAGTACACTCCAACAGGAATCAATATTAGGCTGGGACCTAGTCCGCGTGGTAGAGCTGAATAGAAATACCAAAGGAATGGCGAAGTCTGTATGGTATGTAGTTAAGGAATTATTGCAACAAAATAGTAGCGCATCGTTTTGTCTATTGTTGTACAGGTGAGGTCAGTGACCTGCACAACAAAATAGTTAAAATATTATATTAGTATGGTTTTCTATCGACGCAGAAACAGACGAAGTATAAGTTGACTCTTATCTAACTTTATTTGAAGTAGTAAGTGACATAAAGTTTTGAATACCATGTCAGTGGTGGTCTGTTAAATTGGTACTTTTTATTGCACCAATTACATTATTATGTTTTTATGCAACAATTATAAATAGTTTTGATGAATAGTTATTCATCTCAATGTGTATAATATATTAAATTCTATGTAATAAAAAGGATACACCCCAGTCAGAACTTTTGTTCAATATAGTGTTGTACCAAAATACTTCAGCTTCGGGCCACAACAACCGCTGCCAAAATATTGAGTCAACTATTACTGTTAGGAGTACTAGTCCAATACCAGCTGGCATAACAATTTTGCACAACCTGAAAAAAAGGCATATTTTATTTCAGTAGCCACCAGCGGCTACGCCGTAATTCTGTATTATTTATATCACACTGTATATTTATGAAAACTGCATTTAAATCCGTTGCATAGTCTAAAAGATTTCAGTGGACAGGCAATGGGAAGCTACTTTTTTATACTACACTGGATAATAACAAGAACCGTATATTAATAAATTTCGTAGGATTCTAAACAAGAGATAAATTGCAGTATTTTACGTTAAAATTTTCGTAAATTGATAAACTTACCGAACTCACGCGTAAAATAATAAGTAAGCAGTAACCAAACTGATCTATTGAATAAGTGTTCGCCTTCGTAAAAAAGTAACCCTGTATTTTAGACGTATTATAATTGAAACTAATAATTACAAGCCCTACACACTACACCTGTTAGAGAAAGACCAGGTATTGCAATTACCAAACAAAATTTACCACAAAATGTGCATAAATTTGCGGAATGTGGCGTAAAATAATACAATTTATCTCATTTAGAATTCCATGAAAATGTACAAACTGGACATACTGTAAACCGGTGGTCAATCTCATCTGCATATTTACATAGATATAATTTTGTTATTCTACTCACATGTTGAAGTCAATTTTCTTGAAATACAGATCCATTATAAGGAAGAGCCCTAATAGCATAGCAAGTTCAGACCTGAATATTACAATAGCTGCTCCTGAAGATATGAGGAATTGTTTGTGTCTTCCAGTAAACCATCCTTCGAATGCTAATAGTACTATAGAGGGAAAATATGAACTTTAATAATATTCATCACCATAGCAGATTAGTGTATGGTGGTCCATACTTCCTATTTAATTCCTAGGATGGAATTAGATAGGAAGAATGGACCGTAACTTACCAATGTAGCCCAAGTTAGATTGATGTGTTAGCAATTGTAGACACAGCTAGGACCAAGAGTTTAATGAGCATTCTGAAGTACAGAGGAGCTTGAGTAATAGGTATATATTATTTTTGGACACCTACAAAATCAACCAATGCATAAATTGCTTAGTCTCTGCATTGGAGACTGAAAGCATTAAACAGCAACATGCTCCTCGGATAATACTTATATGAACTTACATTAAAATTATCTATTATAAAATGTAATGTAAAATAAATTTTGGTTAGACAGTATCTTTTTTTATATTCTTGTTACAATAATCACATATTTGGAATAGAATATTGTCAATGGTAAATTTTATTGATTGAATCTATTATAAAAATATTTATATTTATTACCTTGTTAAAATATTCATATTCACCAAATATTAGATTTAATAATCATATCAGTAAAGTTTGCTGCATCAGTATTAACAAGAAAGTTTATGCTCTACAATTATAAGATACTACAATAAGATACCACAATTTGGACCAAAACAACTTTGTTTATTTGATTTTTTATTTTATTATCTGTTATAAAAATATTACCTAACCTATCGAGTGACCTACAGGGCCAAATTAACTTTATTTGTTTTTTTTTATCTGTTAAAAAATAGCCTTCTACTACGTGACCAACAGGGCAGAAATAACCTAGTCTTAATAATAATTTATTGCTGTTTAAAATGTCTCGAAATTTGGCTGTATGCATATAAATCCTTTTGCCTAGTCCTTTGCACAAAATGCAATTTTACATACCTATTTTCAAAAAATTGTATCTCAGAAACTCTGCACCTTGATACTTTGGAAAATTAAACCTCTCTAGCATCTGTGTGTATGAATAAAATATCAACACAGTCTTCATAGTCGCCAATACTAAAGTTAAACCCAACTAATATTAGTAATTCTAGAACAAAAATTTCTCCTGATTAACATACCTAATGGTAGTACCATAATATTGGGCAATGGTCTACTCATGTAGAACATAAAATGGTACTGAGTAACAGTAATAATAGTAAACCACCATGAAAATGTATTCCCAAATTGCTTTTGTAAGGCATTTCTTAGCCGACTCCATGTGACTATCACTGTGAGAGCTAAAGTAAGGCGGACTGAAATTAAAAGTATATTATTTTTTTAACACATCAATTTCACCATAATTTTAAAAAATATAAAATTGTGAAAATAGAGATATCTATATACCGTTATATTTTTATTACTATATACTGACCAACATATTGCATCCAAAATTTATTGATATCAAAGATATGCAATAATCCCACAATAGGTGCAGATAACACAGAAATAATAATTGGTCCAATAAACGTACGAGGCACCACGCCCGGGAATTCGTTGTGATCATACTGGAAGAAAAAAAATCAACTCAGCTTATTACCAGATTCCAAAATATCAGCATCAAGAAATTCCAAAATTAGATTTTCTGTATTACCAGCGAGAGGTTATGCCTATGATACAAAATGTCATGAATAGCTTGTATATTAAAACTTTCCTCCACTTTTGTGAAAGGACACGATAGAACATATAAGCTGGCGATGATGTACAGTAGCTGGACCATATTTATTTCCTCAAAATGTTTTCAAAACTAAAAATCAACCCATAACTCGCAATAATTGTATATGTTACCACAACTGTCACTGTCATTAACATATGTTCAGTGTTGCCAACACTTTACTTTGCAAAGGGAGCTAGAATGTAGATAGAAGACGGCAGATTATCCAAAATGCCCCTGATTACAAAGAAAATGAAAATCTGCAACCTTCGATCAACAATACGACTAGATAACGCTCGCATACTAAAAGAATACTCAAATTCGGCATCGTACACTGCGACACCAAGGAACATAGTATATTCTGTGATAATACTCTAGGCGACAATTGAGTTCCGGAACTGGGTAAGTCTGGAGTCACGTTGTCAATGAGAAAGTATTAAAAAAAACATTAGTTCCCGAAATTAAACTAGATGTCGCTACGGTACGTACTTGATATCTCCAACCGATAAAACCGGAAAAGTGGTCAACTTTTCCGGTTTTATTTCGTGTTTAAAAGTAAATTAGTTTTCAAAACTCAATAAACAACTCATATTCTATTTGTACTTTTTCGTATTTGTATTGATATCTAAGTTTCGAACTTTTCAAATTTCAGTTTTTTAATATGTTAGTTAAAAGGAATGGAAATGACTGTCTTTGGTCTATTTGTTTCCTGCAAAAATCAACTTTTGCTAGGGGTATTATCATTGTGATCATCGCCATCTTTTATTCATTTCATTTTCATTTTACATGTAAAAATTAATTTATTTACTTGACGTTGACAAAATTGTGCGAAATGCGCAGATAAGCCATTAATTAAAAAAGAAGAAGAAGAAGAACTTTTGCTAGAGTCGCTATCTAGTGGAGTTGCTTTTTTAGTGCTTTCGTTTTTTTTAAATCTTCCTCATTGGTAAAAAGAAAATGTAATATTTCACTACTCTATGTATGTAGAACATCAAATGTTTGGTCAAATATTCGTGAATGTTTACCATGTTGGCGCATGGGTTGGCTCAGAAACAAAACGCTGTTATTTTGTTGAAAATACTTTGATTATTAAATATAGACATTGTAAAATCACTTTTACAACTCGAAGATGTGACATTCTAACAGATACATTTTTATTCCGTGTAGTAATTATAGTTACATTTGCAGTTTTAATCGCACTGTGGTGGCACACGTCCGAACGTTATAGTATAAAGACAGAGATTTTAACCATACGGCCTAATTTGAAATAATAATTGTAACTCAAAAAAGGGAGAAACAAAATGTGTAATAATGGTTGTGGCGTGTCGCATAGAGAAGATTGATGTATCGTGACAGAAATATTTAAATTTTAAAATTTTTTAAATTACACCCGAAAGCAGCGACAGCACTACACGACACGCTTGACATATAAATGTGTTTCCACGTTAGACTTTGTGATAAAATGGTTTTTAACAAATTAAAATTGTTTAGTTACATTAACGCCTGTCCCATGGACGAATACTACAAATACTACTACTACTACTACATTAAAACATTGTATTCATGAATTTCTAAACGGAATGTTACGTTTAGCATTTCCTCTTGCCAAAAGTTGCACAATTATCGTCCATTAAAGGAAAAATCACTTTTCTCATAAGAAGGTGATATTTTCAGAGTTTAATTTTGTGTGTAAATTAATATCTTTACATTGTTGAATATTGTAAGATTGACTTATTTTATTCTATAAAACAAAATATTTTTTCTATGATATAACTAAACGCAGTTTTGACAACAATCGTCAACAATGGTGGAACGGATTCTAAGCTGTGCTAAGCTGTTACTGACGTTTTTAGGCAGTGTTCGTTTTATGATATAAAAATATCAATAATGATCAATATTCCACATGAAATACTAATTGCGACAATATTGCAATAATATTTCGCTTATACTTCACTGAAAAAAATAAGAATGTGTGATGTTTGTTCAGAATTTTCGCAGCTTTTAGTAAATTGTAAGTAACATTATTTCTAAATTATTTAAGATATTAGCAGTTTTGCAACTTAAATCATGATCTTTTTTTCATTAAAAGACTTTCATTAGCCGTACATAAAAATATAAACACGAATTAATGTTCTGATTATAGGTGAAGCCAGATTGACCGACGATGTTTCTCAATACCCAACAATAAGCCAATCTGAACTAGAAACTGTTCTGAACTACATTCTTTCATGGCCTCAAAGGTAAAACAACTATATTTCCAATTAGTCAAATGCTTTGATGTAAAACTATATTGTCTAGTTAGATTTAAATGTTTCCTTTGTCTTGTTCTCTAAGTATACCTATATATTTGATTACTACAAGATTACTTGTAATGTGCTGTTGAATCAATTATCTCGTATTTGCTTTTACACACAGTTATTGGAAATTTAGCTATATGTGTTCATATTACTTGTATATTTAATTTTTTAGACAATGCATGTGCTGCTATAGAGATGTGAAGAACTTTGAGAGGTTCTATTTAATGGTGCAGAGTATACTATGTTTATCAGTATGTCAACTAAAGCAACTAAAGGATGACTTGATAGAAGCAGCTAAAGTACTTCTACCTGAAGACAAACAAGATACATTAAAACCTGATGATACATCAATATCAAGCAATGAAGACAAAAATACTGAGCAAAGGCATTGTACTCCTGATCCAGATAAATCATCATCTCCAGGGAGAATTGAATCTATAAAAGATGCAAAAGATGAAATATTATCAACATCAAATGATGATTCAGAAGTGTGGCCTATGCAACAAAAAGAAAAGCTCATGCATATTGTGTCTAAAATATTTCTACTTAATTTCCCCTTATACCTAGCTTGCAAGCATTCTGCATTAAGTCGGTTAGATGACCTCTCTGCTCAAGAAATATCAAATCTGAGTTCATACTGTGATCTGCATGATACTGAGATACCAGCTTACTTGTTAAGAAATGTGAGTCTCTTCTGTAAATTGGGAGGAGTGTGTGCCATGACATCTGTATTTGAACATGCAACACCAAGTACACTTCCATTGTCTATGGCACATGCAATAGTGGCAGCAGTAGGAAATCTGAAGCTATGGTTGAACTTCAGGGCTGTAGCCCAATTGTTTATGCCATTGAGAAGTAAAATATTAAAGTACATGTGTAACTTGGAAGATAAAGACCTTCGTGTCCCAGCTGTCAAATCTATGGCGGGTAAGTGATTTGAGTACATTCGACCACTGGTGTCATTAAATAAATTAAAAATAATTTTAACCACTTTATACAATTTAATCCTTATGTATAATTGTGGAATTTTTGTCAATTATTGTAAAAAGTGGAAATATCAAATATTTTCAAACAATTCAAACAGATTTCGAAAATTCCTAATAAAAGTAGAGTTGAAGAGACTTATCAATATCTATTGTTAATTTTTCACTTTTTTTAAAAGTCAGATTTCTTTAAAAACATTTTCATATATAAATTCATTGATATTGTTTAGATTTCATGTGGGGTGCTGCTAAGGAGCCTTTAGATGCACCACTTGCATTTGATGTCGAGGGACTGGCATTGGCATTTAAATATTTCAATAGTAGCACTCTTACTATGCGTCTTGCTGGAGTGGCACAGATAAATGCACACATAGCAGCTCACAATGAACTCTGTGCTGGAGAGCCTGCAGCAGACACTGAATTAACAGGGCAGCAATTGGCGACATGGCTTACAAATAATAACATCATAGAACATTTATTTGGTCCTAACCTACATGTTGAGGTAAGCTCTCAAACATGGTAAATTAATAATATATTTCATTCCTATGTCTCAGTAAAATTGTATGTTATAAGTTAGTTAATTATGTGTACTATATATAATTGGCATGTTAGAATTCTAAGCACGAGTTGCAAGCTTGCTTCATGGTGAATTTTAATTGTTTTCTTTTTCTAATATCTGATTATTTTTAGGTCATAAAGCAATCTCATATGATCCTGAAATTCCTTGCTGTCGAAGGTCGAGTGACTGCTGAGCATGTTGAATTGGTATGGGCGGCAGCGCAATTAAAGCATTGCGGTAGGCAGGTGTATGATCTTCTACCAGGTTTCATTCGTGCACTTGCGCCGAAGCCTTGTGCTCATTTGTATAGTCTTCTGTGTGCATTGCCACCAAAGGAACACACAGAGCAGGTATTATTTTTGTATATTTTTGCATTTCTCATTAAGAATATTTTCCAAATTGATTAAATATAATAATTAAAAAGGTCAATTAAATTACCTTTAGTTAAATACAAAAATATTGTAAAAATATGATTAAATTTATCTCTTTTAAAAGCAGTACATATTACTTTTACTAGAAATAAACAGTGTTATACATTTTATCATAAAGAAAAAGAAGACCTAGAATTTCATTAAGTGCAGCCAAAGAAGTATTACAGAAAGAAATACAGCTATGTGTAGGCTGAAAAGTCCTTTGGTTAGAAAGAGAGAGAAGATCGCGGTACTCTGTTCTGTCTGACTCTACTGACATATGTATAGAAAAGGACAGCAATAAACAAATTCTTGAATCGATTTATTTACTCCATCCTCATACTACGGTACTTTATTCCATCCAGGGTATTTTTATATGTTGCACTGAATGAATGTGATTGCCGACAGAGTTTATACCTGGCGTCGGCATTGATGCGGGCGATGTGGTCCCGAGGTACAGGCGGTGGGAGTGGGTCGGCGGGCGTGGGGGCGGGCGCGGGATCGCCGGCCGCGGAGCCATTGAGGCCTGCGCCCGCCTGCAAGCCCCACCACAACTCTTCCTCAGAGGCCAGCGTTAGCATGGACCAGACTAACTCTGATGACGACCCGGTGAGTGCAACGGTAGACGTCTATCGCTTGAGCCAATTTAAATTCAAAATGACAGCAATAATACCATTTGCTACTTGATAGTTATAACAATAAATTAATAAATATGTTGAATATGGTAACTTATATGTAAACAATAACTATGTAGTATTTCTTGTTTTAAAATAAATTGCGAGTATATTTTACCAAAATTAACTTGCGATTTATAGTTTGCATTACAAGACCCGAAACGCGAGCGCCCATGACGGAGCATCGTGCGACGTCACATTTCAAGTGATTGATTGATTTCGCAGGACAATTAAATTAATGAATAAAGATGTTTTTCTTTTATTAATAACATTTTTATAGTGGTTTAATATGATTATATGAAAATTTTAAAAAACTTCCCAAAACCGTAAATAGCATGGGCGTTGTACTCTGAGATAGACTTTATATTGTAATACTAATCACAGAATTGCTTTTGAACATTTGTCTGAAATGCCATTCTAAATCAAAGGTTCTATATAGATACAAAATTATTGAATAATGTTTATTATAGTGTGAAGAACTAAGTACTTCAGGTGAGGAGGCAGGACCCACGCCACGGAAACAAAGCAAACATCAACGTGAACTTACTGGTAACTTTTTGACATGTATTCTTTTTATTTAAATCTTTAGAATTATAATACAATAGAAAAGCATTAGGGAAACCTAATTTTTATATTTTTACATTACAGCGGAACAGGAATGGCTCCGCGAAGGCGAAGAACTGACGAAAAAGGAGTGTCCGACACTTAAATCTTGTCAAAAGTAAGTTGTTATTATTACTATTGATTTGTCATACGGTTTTTATGAAACTTACATGGCATTAAATCTACAGACGCAACAAGCGCGCCGGCAGCAGTGGTAGTGCCAGTAGCGGAGCGGAAGAACTACTTCGTCCACGTAAGAAGAAACTTTACAAGAAGCGACACAAGCCTGGCAAAACAAGACATTTCCGTGAGTGCATGGTCTCCATACGACTTCACAAATGATTTCTTTGGAAATATCATATAAATCATGTGGATGAGAAATCACCAGCACATACCGGGGTGATGGTTACGTTGAGCGGGAAACTAGATCTACTAGATGAGATAGTTGAATTATATTGGTCCGCATTAGTTGATTTAATTATTGTAGCGATATAAACCATTAACCTTAAAAACATACTTTGATTCACCTATTTTTCGGTGTAAGTCACTGCTGCAGATTGAGCAATATGATCTTTGGCATTGTTATGTTGTTAAATTTTGGCAAGGATGAAATTATTGAAACGAAAACAAACGAATAGAATCTCGATTTTCATATGGCAATATAAATTGTCATCTGTTGACAACTGTCAAGTCAAAAAAAAAGTAAATTGTTGTAAATTATTATTGAAGGCCAAGATATGAAGTCATTTTTTTAAACGGTAATAATAGGAACCATAAAATGAAGAAAATAAACTAAAGCGGATTTGATTTAGATGTGTAAGCGTTACTGCAGTTGCAATATTAGTAGAGACTAGCAATAAAGAAATATATAAGCAATGCTTTGTTTATTGTATTCATGTTAGATTCCGGGTGAGGTAAAATATTATTGGGTTTTTCTGTCGGATCGGGTGCTGTCAATATATAATATTAGTTGTTACTGATATAGAGTGCACAGGTGTATGTTGGTATACTTATGTTGGTTTATTATGTTCCACTTAGATGACTAATCTTTGTCAAAATTTGCGAGATGCCCAGAATTCGCTCAGGAGTATGTTCAATGTTAGGAGGCATTGAAAAGATTTTATTATATTTAAATATAACAAGTATCAAGACGTCATCATCCTTTTTCCCCATTGTTGCCTTCTACAAATATAAATTTCCCGTTTTGCCATCAGATTCTGGTACACCTATACATTGAACATAACATTTGAACAGCTGAACATATTTAAAATGAGTGATTTGTTCTGTTTTGGTACAATTTATATCTAAAAACTTTTATTATTATGTGTCATATCTTTCGAAAAACTATTACGCCCCCGTTAATTTTCAGCAGCTAATCAGCTAAAAGCGACAGATTTAGCTGAGTCGGTTTCTGAAGTAGAAGAAGAATCATCTGGTAGTGATACGGCTCACTGCCAGTTACTGTGCGATAACGTCGATGCCAGGTATGCATTGCCAATGGGAGCAGCGAAAAGAAATTAAATACTTTAAAAGCTTTTGAACTTTAATATCAGTTTCTTTTTAAAATTAATTAATATCTGTCTAAAATGAAAACCTCAAGATATCACCAAAATATGAAGTGTACACTTTTTCATTAAGGTGGAGCGAACTTTTAATCTTTTTTATTATTTTCTACTCTGTTTCATTCCACTTTTTTCTCAAATATCATTTGCATCAGTCTTCTAAAGTGAATTGTTACAGTTGCTAAAATATAATTTTATATAAGTTTATGCTTGGATAGGAGGCTGATGGAACTACGTTTAATGGAGAGTTACAAACGTAGAGGGGCAGAGGGCGAGGAGGAAGAAGGCAGTGCTTCGTCAGCAATGTCGCCACACTCGCATCCACACATCGCCGACTTGGACGATGACGATTCCGCTTGCGAGGAGGAGCTCGCTCGTCTCGCAGCACAAGTATGTCACACTGTAATATTAAAGTTATGATTAAACTATATAAGACCATAATTTATTGTTTATAAATTTTCATTTTGAATTCGGCGACGAAACGACCATGCATTAATGTCTGTGTTATCATGACGTCGATCCTTTGCATATTTATTTTAACACCAACAGAGCGATTTATATTTTTATTTGAAGTTACTTGACACACCGCCCAAAAAGTGATTTTATTTTGCAAAAATATACGCTATATATATATAATATCCAGATACCGTGTCTGTACCCAAAAAAGTGAATACCACTGCCGGCAAAGGCAATTGCTATTCTGTCGTCAGCCTTTGCCGACGTCATGCTTAAATTATACTCACAAGAATGATAAGAATTTGAGCATTACTTTTCGTGATTTGCTGGCGTATTTCTTTCTAAATCGTACAAAATAAAAAACTGAAAAAAAGGACCAAAGAGTTGAAGTATTTAAACATGAATATTGCCATGGGTGTAAAATTTATTTCCCCTTATTTAGAACGTTGTTGCTTTCCGTATTTTTAAATAACTCGTTTTAATACATAGTCTAAATGGTTTTAGTTTAGATTATTATCTTTGGCCGTAGCAATGACGCTAGTCGGTGGGTAAATAAAAAAAATAACAATAGTGTATTTACTCAGTGAACAGTAAAAAGGAGTACATTAGTACTTACATTATCTTTGATAAACAGGCAAGTGTCCCAATATTAGCGTCTTTGTTTGATCAGTCTGGCAAAATAATATTTAATTTATTAAATTATTTTAATGTTATTTAAATGTAACTAAATATAAAGACTAGTAATTTTGTTTCTACTATAAAACAATATTATAGATATTGTTTCGCTTTAATGGGCGCTCTCCATTTTTTTTTTACATTTCCAACCAGATCAATAACCTTTATTTGCAGTCATTTGACTAAAATAGGATGGTCTATAAATACTGGTAGTACTAATATTGCGCCTGATATATGATACCAAATTGTGCGGCATAATAGCTTTTAACTCATATAATTATTCGCAAACTATTACGTTAATTGTAAAATTGTTCGCTAAGCTATAAAGTGATTTACATACTCATCAATTTTTTTCTGTAATAAAGGTATAATTACAACAAAAACATTCGAAATTATGAATTTTGGTATAACTTTGTGATTTATTCCCTACGGATAGATTTAAAAAATATCATTATGGCTATAATAGGACCCTTGGATACATTTTTTAACACGTTATTTCTCAGTCTTAATTATTTAGTTTAATGGTAGTTGAAAGTTGAGTGATTGTAGATATACAAGCCCTATAATGAGCTATTAACTGTAATTCTTTTCTTACTTCATTTTTAGTAGCGAACAGTTACAAATGGGAAATTTTATTAATCATCACAATAAGTTGAAATTACCAACGTTTTAGGGTAATCATTGTATACTGTTATCACTCATGTCACTCACATTAATGAAACTTGACAATTAATACACGCTCTTTACATAATCACGCTTAACGGCTTCACTGTTGTCGTTGCGTTTTGTAGGGGGACACATAATCTGGGTAATAAATAATCTAAGATACGCAATCATAGCCTATATAAATATTAAAAATTACTATTTGAGGAATAATACAAAATATATATTTTTAGTTTATTAGATTCATATTTAATATTGATGACTGTCAAGTACCATATTGATTTACTTGTGATTGTGTTAGGCGCAATGTTTGACCGAGTATCAACCAGCAAGGGCAGGGGGCGGGGGCACCGCGACTGCTCCTCCCTGCGACGTGGATGCCGTCTGTCGTCCCGGAAATACGCTCTTGTGGGATCTCTTACAAGACGGCAACATCGTGAGTGGGACTATTTAACATTTCTAATAGTAATACATATCAAACGCAATGTTTAATGTAAGTATGCTTCTGTGTACATATACGTTTAGATTTCTTGTTTTTTTATTTATGATCGGAATAGCGAGTCATTGTGATTTATAAAAACACAAATTAATAATACATAAACAAATATGTCAAATATCTTATAATGTATTCCGAATAATGTCCATATTAACTACCTACTCAAATATCTGGTAATGAGGCAGTGTCATGGCAGTCTATGACAGTATCCGCTATTATTTTATTATAGAGTATTGCTAGACTGCGCTCGACGCACGGAAAATCATTAGTTGCGTGTGCTAGGTTGAATATTCTATTATACGCATTTTAACAGTTTCATTACATGATCTTCATGCATGTTAATATTTTTTAATTATTTTATAGGAACAATTGGGTGAAGGATTAGCTTTAGAAGCGGAAAAGGCCCTCTGCGCACTATTATGCTTTAGCACAGACAAATTCATAAGAATAAAATTCATAGAAGGTTGCTTAGACAACTTAGCTAATCATAGGTGAGTATAACATTTTTTTATGATATAGACATTTGGCAATATTATTAAGTTTATTATTAAAATATACTATTTTCTTTTACTATAGGTCTGTTGCGGTATCCCTTCGTCTACTACCGAAATTGTTCTCGTCATTTCAACAGTTACGAGGCATGGATATGCACCAGGTATATTTAATCTTTAAAATATATTTCATATTTCTAAGTAAAGGAATTAAAAAACAAATACCGTTCCGTGCTTATATGCTCTATTTTCACATAATCTATTGTTTGCTAGGTGGTAATGTGGGCGGAACGAGAACGCGGCATGATGAGATTGTTCCTAGAGGATTTGCGACATTATATGCAGCAACCACGGGCGAGCGGCGATCATGCACATTACGCGCACGTGACCGAACTTACTGTACGATTACACTTCCTCACGGCTATATTCTCGCCGGTCGGCTCTCCACAACACTTTAGGTAATGTTTTGGGAGGAGTTTGCAGATTCTTTTTACAGATTTTTGTGACAGCATTGTGATTGATTAAAGTTAGCTCGGAGCGTGATTGTGACTTTTCCATCATAGGCATTAAAATAATGAAATTCCAGATCTTTCAATGTGTTATGGATATTTATGCAATATATTTTATAAAAGATATTTTATTCGGGTTTAATTACAAATGTTAATGTAATCCATTATAATATACTATCTTTTATATCCTATTTGAATATTGATTCATATCATGAAACAGATATAATTACAATAACAAATTGAATAGTAAATAATGGTTACTATGGTAAAGTTTTAATTTCCTATACAAATTTCCACTCCCATTTTTACCCCTTTATTTACTGTTTTCCGGTTAAAATATAGCATATGTTCACCGCATATGATGAAAGAATTTTTAAAATAGGTTCAGTAGTTTCGGAACTTATTCGATGCAAACAAACTATCAGATCTTTCCTCTTCCGTTATATTATACTTTTTTTTCACATATTTTCATTACTTTTTCTTCACAACTTACACCCTGAGACAAAAGCGCAATGCGGACAAAGATGACTGTTTGACATCACTAATTACTATTCATAATTGTCTCGAATTACTAGTACATATAGTAGTATTTCGATATTACCGTGGCACTGTGTTTAGATACTAACTGTGTTTAGACGTATATGTTAAGTATAGCAAAATATTATACATATTTGGACAGGCTAACAGTGGAACAAGTTGAGGAGTTGTGGCAATGCCTTGTGGTACGCGGTGGTGCTGAGTGCGCGGATTGCTTGTACTCGTGGCTGCTGTCACATACGAAATCACCTGAGCAGCACGCGTTGGGACTGGACGCGCTACGATTCCTATATGTGGAGAAGATGCCCACACTTGATCCTGAGGTGACACGATTGTTACTGCTTTTGTGGATTACACTATAGTATTTACTAGTCAGACAATTTTTATAACACTAATTTTAGTAATCAAGAAGCGTTTGCGTAGAACATTGTAAACAGTTTCTGTGAATATTTTTGTAAGAAATTGTCAATTTGCAATGCTTACAGAGATTTCTCTTTCCATTCTATAGTTCTTAGAATTTTTATTCGTTAATCCAATTTATAGAGCGACTTTTGAGTTAGAAAATTTTGTTTTCAGACAATAAGCATAATGGGTTTAAGCTTATACCAGCAACTGTGTAACTTGGCCCGAATGGCGTTAGGTGCGGGTGATTCACGTGACTCTGCCCATCCGCACACACTTGCTATGGATCACCTGTGGAAGATTGCACTACGAGCTAACAGCACAGGTCTGTTATTTATGTGTAGCTTTACATTACGTCGACTTATCCAACATTCACTTTGAAAAATGTTAAGTTGAGTCTTACGAAAAAATATATTCTCAAGAATCAATTTTGTGTCGAATTATGTATTTTTTGAAAAGGATTAAACCGTTTCTTCTTGGAAATTACCGTTTATATTAGACTTATATACCCCTATACACAATATTGGGGCTTGTTGGACAGCGGTTTGTACGATCTATCGGCAATGCAGAAATTAGCCACTTTCGCAAGTTCGTAGGATGGATGGCCAAAAATTTTATTATCTCGAGCTTATTCATGATTCGGAAGGCTGTTGATCCTGGTTGCATTTGTGATCGTTGAAATACGGCCCACATGATGGATCATGCATGGCCAAGTCGCCCTATTTGGTTCTAGTAGGGACAGGAATATTCTGATGATGATGATACAGATATAACACATTTGATATTGTTTTTCGTAAGAGGGTAAAAAATGTAATTTTGCTAGCCACTGTTATGATTTCGAAATATGACATAAATTAATACATTGATATTATATTATCCTTTATTAATTTCATTAGATGTCTCAATGGGAGCAATCCAGTACCTGAATAGCTATTATATGGGCCAGCAATTGCAACAGGAGGATGATTTCGTTTCGAAATGCATGTTCCATTTATCATCTGCTGCGGAAAGGTTGATATCTCAAAATCAAGATGACGAAGCTTCCGCTGGGACGTGCGAAGAAAAATCGGAAGAAAAGAAAGAGACGGAGAAGGCAGTTGACAAACAAAATATTTACGAGCACATGACGGAAGAGGCTGCGTTACAGTGCGTACAGCGTGCCCTTTTATTATTAAAGACACATCTGGACACATTCAAAAGAAGGTAATCTTTTTTTTTATTAACTCGAACTAACATTTTTTTTGTAGAATATTTTCATTTTAATTTTTTGTACTCCTGTGTACTTGAATTATCTATGTTTTTTTTTATGTATTAACGTAGAAAGTCCTATCTTCAATGTCAAAATAAGGGTAGTAAGTGAAGGAACAATATCGAACTCCTGACTAACAACCGGTTTCTGAATTGAGAATTTGAAGTTGAGCACGTCTCAAACCATGCTTAAGCCATTTTAAACGTCAATTAAATAGGTTATCATTACTGATTTATATTTTTTTAATGATCAGTTAGCAAATATAGCAAATCGATAAAACTAGGACTTTTTGTCATATGAAATGTATAAAACTTAAATTATTGAGAATAATCAGTTGAGATTTTGTGATTTCTCAATTCAGAAATGGAGTCACAAAACATTGGAAACTGTTGTTGTAATGCCATTTCAATATCACTGACACTTATTTAAAAAAAAAAAATCTCTACTTTAAAAAGATATTTAAAAGCCATTTACAGTCAGGCCAACTGGGTTTTAATTGTGGCGTTTGAATAACATATATTTTCGATGCAACCTTTATTGCTAGATTACAAACGACAACAATAGCGGTCGTAATAATGTTGCAATATTCAATCAATTCGAACGGAATTATGATATTAACATAAGCAGATGCGAGATCTTGATCAGTATTATAACAAAATTGTGATTGTTTAGATACGCTTATCACTTACGTCGATGGGCGTTGGCAGAGAGTGGGGCGTGGGAGGGATGCGGTGGGCCGGGAACTGTACGACTGACTCTGCAACCGGCTGGCGCTGGGCCGCGAGCTTCCTTATCACTACACCATCACGACCTTGTGGCACATTTACGTGCACACGTGCATGTCTGGTGGGAAAAACAAGTGAGTCGTTAGCGAGCATGCGTTGGCCAAGACGTGAAGAATAAACTAAGGTTTCTGGAGTAAACTTTGTAAGGCGGAAATTAAATATCTTAGATGTAACTAAAAAAGTTTTAATGACAACAAATCCAGCAAATATAATGAAGAAATGAAGGTTATTGTGTTACATATTTATTTACATGCTAATGTGACTTAAATTTTGAATAGATACAAGGAGAAGAAGGCGTCACTGCGTTGTCTACAGATGGTCCTTTGCGTATGATCACACAGGGCCAGGAGCTTACTATTGACTATGACGAAAGGACACTCTACGATATGGGCTTTAAAGATAATCAGGTATGTTTAAAAATCACCATCTAATAAATTATAAGGTGGTGTATACAAACATTCGGAAATAAATAAGATTTCCATTTGTAGAACTTCTATGCCGTTTTGTACGTATAATTCTGATCCAAATCCATTTTATTTCTATTTGATTGGAGTCCGAAAGATACGTTTGGTGCATACACATCTTTTATCTAACCAACTATAAGTTTTTTAGGAAAACATATTCGCTAATTGTGGAACTATGTATAAGTATCTGAGCAAATATGTGGACTGTGATAAATGAGTTACCTTCCTCTTAATTAGCTTGAAATCCACACACAACAGTAGTCTCATCAAATCCTCACCTCTTTTCTCTTTTCATGACAATTAAAGAAAAAGAAATGAGTTGGATATTTACACACCAAAAACAGGTCACTGTTAAATCATAACGAGCACTTGCGCGAGCATTACACGAAGCGTTACCTTGTTGTGTGATGTACGTACATTACACATTAAGTCCTTCTGGACCAAACTTGTGGAGAAAATACACGTTTGTTTGCACAGTTTTGCCATTACCGCCCAGTAACTGAGAGTTTATGGCAAGCATGGAATAGACAGGGCGGTCTATATAGCGAATGGACAAAAAGAAATTAAGTGTTTTTGTCCATTCGTAAATATATTTTGCTATGTTTTGGTGTAAATCTTAATTAATTTTCAAAACTGCTTTCTTTTCAATAACCAACGTTTACACCATTCAGTGCGTTCTCTTTTTCTATTCTGCAGAACAAGTGCTTAACCAAGTACAGCTACCACAACGTCGTCATTCATTGTAGTATGGTAAACCGTACACGTCCTACACACAACGTCATGTAACTCAACCGAAAGTTTATGGCAAAGCTGTGCATATAAATCTCAATGTCTATGTGTCATATGAAAACTCGGTTATGCATGCATGGCTAAAACCATCATCCAAACTCTACACCACCATTAGCGGGATGCATGGAAAACCAGATGGAATATTATCACCCTAAGCTACTGACCAGTTCTGATACACCTGTTTAGTTGGTATTCGTGTCTGTGGGCGTGGGTGGTCGCGGGGCGTGGGCGGAGTGGCCATCTGCTCAACCGGCACCGGCGCGTGCGCGTCTCCCCACTTTGCTCCTACTTGATCCCGTCTGCTTCCACCAGCTGTTTACGCTCATGCAAGCCCTGGCCCAGATGAGAGAGCCGGGTCCCACGTCGGTAAGTCAACAAAACACATTACGAAATTATTTTATCTGCGTTAATTAGCTGTTCGCGTTAATGGACGCTCTAGCGCAGTTCATTAGCAGGAACCTCTGTCGATAAGACAACAAATACACATACATACCCAATTTGGTTTTGTTTATTTTATATGTAAAGTTATATGCATACTTACCCTTATAAAGGATTATTGTCGTTGACCTAAAATTCATGTGCCGTTTAATTATTTTCGGTACAAGGTTTTTTCCTATTAGATAGCGTTATAAAAGCTCTAAAATTAAACTCGATTTGATTCAAGCAACTTTTCTTATTGCCTTCCGTTTTGTTAAGAGTATAAAATAAACATAATCTCGTAAATACTTAATTTACAGGAACCAGTCGCTCATACTAAAGCGCAACTGCTTTCTCGACGCGTATGGGATATACTACAAGCGGTACCACTTAACCCAACTTTGTTAGAAGCATTCCAGAACCCCAGTGAAAGCAAACTACCTGAGCTTCTTGATCCCACCAGCCCTCAGAAACTAATGTATTCATTGCACATCATAGATAAACTTAGCTCGAATAGTACTCCTAATGTGAAGGAACCGACAAGTGCCATCGAGAAGAGTGAAGAGGAAAAAGTTTGCGTTGAGAATTGGAATGACTTGTTTATAAAAAAGGGTGGCTTAAGACTTCTTTACGATATAATGATGTCAGGTGGGATTATTTAGATGATTTTTTAAAGAATTATATATTTACTTGATTTTACTACACTTTGTGTCAAAATTCTATCATGCCAAAGCATTTATTATGTCACCATTGAGCCTTGGATACAGTTCTATAAGTCTATCTAATCTAATATTTTTATATCGGTCTGTCTTTCCGAGCACTCAGTCGTGTTCAAGCTATAATAAACTGTTTTTTGATTGCCAGGAGTACTGCAACGTAGTGACGACAGTGAATGGCGGCAAGATTGCTTAGCTTTATTACTTCAACTATTATGTCGTATAGGAACATTACCATCTGCGGATCCTGCGCAAACGCCTAAATTACATCCGGTAACTATTAGATGATCTCTTTCTTCTTGCTGACATTATAAAAACCTTGTATGAAAGTCTGCTTGTTAGAGGAATTAAATTAATATTAATAAAAGAGGACATGAAAGAAGAAAGAGAGAGAACTATGAGATGACGGCTGAAAAATAAGAATGGAAGAAGAGGATATACTGCGTCAGTTAGTACCAGGGCAGCAAGATGATAATTAAATTATTAATAAAAGAAACTTTCAGATGTTCTACATTCTCAAAATATAGAGAGCATAATCTAATAATATCACTATACTTAAAAAATAGGAAAACGTGATATTGTTAATTTTACTGTTATGTTAAATTAATTTCAGTCGCTGCTTTCTCTGATGACAGTAGAAGAAACAACAGATAGGCTAATATCTATATTATGCGAGGCCGCTGTTCTCAAGGAACCCGCCACATATAAAACTGGCTTTTGGGGGCGAGCACAGGTATTTATCTAACGTTACACACTTACCTAATGTATTAGTGTAATAGGGATACTGACTAAAACAATATTAATTACGGCGATACATTAAAAAATTACTCAGGACGCATACCTATTTAGATTTCCATATAGTTTTGACGTATTCAGCGCCCACTTCCTTACTTTAATACCTATCAACTCACTTATTTCTTGTTAACTTGGAGCAAAGTAAAAAAATATCTGTATATTATTTTTTTGTTATCTGACTGACGGACTTAATAAAAAATCCTTTTTTTTTTTACCCAGACCCTGTTGATATATCTGTTCTGTTTCTGCGTGAGTATATATTGACTGTTTTGGAATTTTTCCAATAACTCTGTATCTCGAACTTCTCTACGCTACGGCGTTAGTCCCGTCTTCATTTGCAGTCGTTAACAAGTCGAATTCATATCCACAGGGAAAGTCCCAGAATTATTTTTTTGAAGGAGTAGATTAATTTCGTATGACGTGTTTTCATAGGTAGTACAACACGCAATGCGTATGTGTGTATGGTGGGCGCGTGGAGGGGGTGATGCAGTAGCGCTCGCGTGGTCACTTCGCCGCGCGGCGCCACGTTTGTTGTTGGATGACGCCGACCCTGCTGTGAGTATTTCTATCGAAATTTATCGTAAAGTTCAGTGTTTCAAACTTTTTGAATACATGACCCGCTCCCATGCTGAAAAATTTTGTCAACCTAGTGACATTTAAGAAATAGCACCACGTTTTGATAGTTTATTGTAAAGTAAATTATTCCATCCTTGTCACAAAAATTGTGTTTTACTGTAACCATGTAGAACCTTGATTTTTTTTTGCCCACGACCTACCGAGTATGACTCTACAACCTCAAAAAGGGTCACGACCCACACTTTGAAAACACTGGCAAAGTGAAACAATTCATGAAAATATCAAGGATGACTAAATAATCATTACTCAAAAATTATATAAAAATATTACTTTATTATATTAGAAGTTTATACTTAAACTATGAACATTTTTAACAAGAAGTTAAGCAGTGACTGGCTGTACATTATTCTAGTTTTGCATTACTTGCATTGGTGCATCAACTACCACACTAATCATTGTGTGGTAACCATAAACTATATCGTGTAAATCTTTTAATGTTAGGTACGTCGCGAGGCTGGCAGTGCTTTATATCGTCTGTGTGCGGGGGGCGAGGTGGCAGTGTTAGCTCCTTTATTGCAGTTGTTGTTAGAGCATTTACCACGTGCCGCAGATATGCGTCCCCATCACACGCCTAACCATCAACATCATCACGAGGTACAATAGTTATTTACTCAATGATTACTTAGTTTTTGTAGTCATGTATTCGCAAATGGTAAATTCCTATGCTCTACTAATAATAGAGAATTTTAGTAACTTCTATTATCATGTTTTATACATAAAAACGTAAATGTTATTAAAATTTATAAGAGTAAACAGTAATAGTTGAATCTGAACTATGTTGTAGCCTATATCAAAATGGTTTGTATAGAAAAACCTCTTATGTGTAATATTAATCTCTAAGCAATATATTGTAAATTTATTCATTAAAATTTGTAAGAGTAAACATAGTAAAAAAATTGTAAGAGTAGTAGTTGAGTCCAGCCTATGCATACTATATCAAGGCAATATATCAAGACGTCCCGCTCTTTCGTGACTTAAAAAAATTTAAACACCTTGAATTTACAAGTTAAACATTTCCTTAATAAACATTCTCTTATAGTGGTCGTTATAGTGAACTAAAAGCCCAAATATGCTGCTATAACATGTGAGAATGATTTATAGGTAATTGGTAACTATAATATTTTCCAGGTCGTCCACCATCACGCGGAAGAAGGCAAAGAGCCATACGGACCGGCGTGCCGAGACTACTTTTGGTTAGTCTGCCGCTTAATAGACGGCTTGCCAGAGGATTTCTTCAAAGGTTTGTTTATTTACACTCAATACCAACAAATACATTGTAAATAAAAACATACTCTTCTATTTTACAAACGGGAAATCATTTTTTTAGATCTTGGGTTTCAAGTCAGTGTCTTTATTCTTATTTACAGAAGGCGCAACATCTGAAGACAGCGGCGCGCCTGATCTGAATGAACTTTGTGAACAGATAAGTTCCTCATTAGAGAAGCGCGAGATCATAGAGAAACGCGCTGAACCGTGCACTCCTGATGACGGTCTGTATGGCCAGCTGAGTTTACTTACACATTTGCTCAAACACCCGCTAAGATTCAAGACTTCCGAACAAGGCACTAGGACATTAGAAATGGTAGGTGTATATATTAACTGGGATCTTTTTCATTTTCACCTTATGTCTGGTTTGTATTAATTTTTTTTCTTATAATGTTTCTTCACTAAATTACTAAATTATATTTTATAGGTTTTCGGCTTTCTATTTGACGTGCCAAATCCCGATCAAAGGTACTTGCCCAAATGCAAGTCGCAGAAGTCTCGTGCGGCAGCTTACGATTTACTAGTGGAACTAGTGAGAGGAGCTCCAGACAATTATATGGTGTTACATCATAAACTTATGGAGCACCATAAGCCTGGTGAGCATAGCAATTGATATAGTTCGTAATATCAAATCCGTGCGAATATTTTCCTGCATTAAATATTAATAACGAAAGTAATATACAATAAGTTTTAACGACAATAATTTCATAAAAAATCCTCATTAATCAGTTTATATTAAAGCATACAATAGATACAAAAAAAATAATATAAGTCATACTATGTTTTATAAACTTTACTTTTGCTATAGGCCCTCAGTCGTCTTACCCGTGGGACTACTGGCCGGCGGAGGAATCTCGTTCTGAATGCGGCTATGTAGGGCTTACTAATTTAGGCGCAACCTGTTACATGGCCTCTTGTATGCAGCATTTGTACATGATGCCCCAAGCGAGGGCCGCGGTATTACGAGCCGATCCTGCCGCAAGTAGACACTCGCCTACCTTGCACGAGATGCAGCGTATGTTCGCTTATCTTATGGTGAGTGACGTCATATTACATATAATTATCAATACTGTCTATTGTATGAAGTTTTGTATGCATCATCTGTATTGATTGTTACGAGTCGATTCCGCTACCATTCTTCATTCGCTTATGATAAGTGACGTTATATCACCTATAAATATCGACGTCACCGTTTCTGAATTGTCACGCAGAGAACTGTAGATTACACCCACTTACACCATACTCATCTATATATATAAAAATGAATCGCAAAATGTGTTGGTAAGCGCATAACTCAACAACGCCTCGACCAATTTGGCCAAATCTTTTTTTAAAATGTTCGTTGAAGTTCAAGGATGGTTTTTACGGCGAGAAAAATTAGAATTATTGCTGGAAAAACCCTAAAAATAGCCCTTTTCTTTTTCCCATACAAATGATTTGTAACTAAAACGTAGTCAATTTGAGCTTTATTGCTATGGTATAAAGTTCATATTAAATTAAAAGCACTCACTGTTGTCTAAGCAATGTAGGTGTGTTCCTAACGTCAAAGATCATATCTATCAAAACAATGTGCGTGTATGCGTTGGAGCACAGAATACATAGTTGGAGGAGTTTAATGTCGCGTTCCGAAACTCGCGTTTCTTTTGTATTAGTTTCGGCACGCGAGATAAAATGCATCAGTTTCCACGTCATTACATCAGTCAAACAAAAATCGCGTTACCAACAGTGTTTTATTATTTTTAATATCCAAATTTTAAATCAATAAAACAATTCGTACGGCTTAAAAGGATTTGACTTCAAGTCATATCAAATTTAAAAAAAAAAAAGTTGTCTGTGACCTAATCTACTGAGTTTGCTTTTGTCAACTGATACACGAAACAAATTCGTATATCGTGTTTTGTGCAGAGTGTTTACTTAGTTAGTGTTTGTTTAGTTCGTGATTAGTGAAAAAATAATTAAATCTTTTTGACAGGACGAAGTCTGTCGGGTCAGCTAGTACTTAATAAATTTTGACTTTGTGGTGAACAGGAAAGTGAACGCAAGGCGTATAACCCGCGCAGCTTCTGCAAGGTGTACCAAATGGACCATCAGCCTTTGAATACTGGGGAACAAAAGGACATGGCCGAGTTCTTCATTGATTTGGTCTCTAAGCTCGAGGAGATGACTCCCGAACTCAAAAAACTGGTCAAGACTCTCTTCTGTGGAGTGCTTAGCAATAACGTTGTTTCATTGGTGAGGATTATTAATTTATTATTCTGGTACATTAAGATACAACTGATATGGCTCATTGATATACTTACATGGAAGGCTTAATTTTGAAGCACAGTAAATCTCGGTCAATCAGGAAGATTCAAGGCGTATACGCAAGGCAAAAAAACCCGTCAAGCGATCCCCGCTCCTGACCAACGCTGAGTGTGAATGACACGGGCACATAATGCGTTGTGACTTACACCTTATAGTTATTGAAACAAGACTCATTTGAAGTTTCAATTTTACTTTCGGTCATCGTTGATAAATCTCTGCACAAACGAAGATTAACCACTTTGTTTTCTGCTATAATTAAAGATTTTCTATACAACCAGATTGTTTGGGGGCTTTCAATAATAACGTGATCATTGTTTTTCACATTTTATTTTCTAGTTCTAAAATGAAGAGAGACTGTTTATAAGTTATAAAACTATTGATTAAATTTTCGAATAAATCGGTTTCATTCTGTGTGATTTAGACGTTGTATGTTATCCATTTATTAAAATACTTGATACAATAATGGATACATCAGGATTGCCCGCACGTGTCCCGCACTCTGGAAGAGTTCTACACGGTGCGATGTCAGGTTGCAGACATGCGCAATCTGCACCAGAGTCTCGACGAGGTCACAGTCAAAGATACGCTCGAGGGAGATAACTGCTACACTTGTTCTCAGTGTGCAGCCAAAGTCCGCGCCGAAAAACGGTAAGGCAATTATTTACATTGTCAAGTTAAAAAAGGGATTGAAGGTGCTTAATTCACTATAACAACTAATAGCCTATCAAAAACTTATCTGCCAGATAAATTCCAAATTTTGGTTTCGCAAGTCTCAGGTAGAACTATATAGGATAATATCAGCGACTTAATTGTTAGATACTAACTTTATCAGCAAGCGGTGAAAAATCCCTTTACTATCTTAGACAATACATATACAGTAAAACGAAATGTTAAATGAAGACTTAGTTTCATATAACTGTTTAAAATTAAGCAATTTTTTTTTTGCAATTATATTTTTTGCCTGTTTTTAAAATTAGCAGCTTATTATCGTTTGACATGTTCTTAGGTATCTGCTTACTATCGGCGTCTATCGATATGTTAAAACCATTTTACTTGATAATAAAGTTGAATATCACACTATAGGGCATGCTTCAAGAAGTTACCGCGTATTCTATGTTTCAATACGATGCGGTACACGTTCAACATGCTGACCATGCTCAAAGAGAAGGTCAATACCCACTTCTCATTCCCGATGCGGCTAGACATGTCGGGTTATGTGGAGAAACACCTTATGCCGGCTCAGTATCAAGGTCAGTGATTTTTGGTAGTAAATATTACGAGGGTCAAACTGAAAGTTCTTAGAAAATCAAAAACTGATTACATTAGCCAGTTATTAGTTTTATTATATCTTTTCAAAATATTGTCCATTCACGTCAATACACCGCTGCATGCGATGGAACCACTGGGAAAAGCACTTTGCCCACTCGTCCTTAGGGGTCTCTTCAATGGCATCGCGATACGCAGCCACCGCTTCTTCAGCATTCATAAACCGCTTTCCTTTAAGTTTTTCTTTAATTTTTGGAAATAAATAAAAATCACAAGGCGCGAGGTCGGGGCTATACGGCGGGTGACCCAGTAATTCAACGTTTGATGTCGCCAAATAGTCGATCGTTCGCTTGGCGGTGTGCGACGAGGCGTTGTCGTGGTGAAGGAGGATCCTACTGCGAGGTCGTTTCTCTCGAACTTTTTCCAAGACAAGTGGCAAACAATTGGTAGTGTACCATTCTGCAGAAACTGTTTTTTGATCCTCTAACACAATTGTTGCAAAATGACCTATCCTTCCAAAGAACGAGGCCACCATTTTTTTTCCCGCACTTCGATCTCTCTTCACTTTAGTTGGCAACTCCTCGAAAGGAAACACCCACTGAGCAGATTGTCTTTTGGTTTTAGGATCATAACAGTAAATCCAGCTTTCGTCACCTGTTAGTATGTCGAACACAGCATTTGAGTCACCTCCGTTAAATCTTTCAATCATTTTACGACACCAATCCACACGATGGAGTTTTTGAGCCTCAGTCAAATTATGAGGTATCCACCGGGCGCAAAGCTTCCTGACCGCTAAATGTTCGTGGAGGATTTTGTGCACTTGACTCATACCGATGCCTAAGCTTGTCCGAATCTGTTGATAGGTCACTCTTTTGTCAGTCTCTATCATACGCCGCACAACACAGATGTTATCTTCAGTCGTCGCCGTAGAAGGCCGTCCCTCACGTAAATCATCAGTGAGATTAGTGCGACCACGTTTAAACTCATTAAACCAGTTGTAAACAGTCGCACGAGATGGGGCTTCATCGTGAAAGGCCAATCGTAGTCTATCATAACTTTCTTGTTGACTTAAATGACATCGAAAGTCATAAAAAATCATTGCACGAAAATTTTCTCGTGTTAAATTCATGATGACGTGACACAGACAATTTTCAATTTGCCGCCAAATCGTAAAACAAATGACAAATGAATGAAATATATACTCAGTAATATTGGCAAAGAGTTATATTTTCAAATTTTAGAATTATTTTTTTATTATATTGTTTATAAGTGACCAGTTCTAAGAACTTTCAGTTTGACCCTCGTATTTCCAAAGTTACACATTAATACAGGTTAAAATTACAGTATTTATGGTGTAAATAATAATTAGTATTATAAGCAATTTATCTTAATGTATTCAGTAATTATTCAGAAACATTTTAATAATGTGATTAAATATGTCATTTGATTGATGTGTCCTTTGTTATTCATAGAAGAAAAACGGAAATCCGAAGAGTTCAAAAGGGAAGGGGAAAGCAGCCCGAATGTGGAAAGTGAAGACAACTCTGAATTTGAAGAACATTATGAGTAAGTCAGATTATTCTGTATTATTTTCAAGTTAAATTATGTATTTTATAATATTCTGGCTTTAACTTTTAATCTATAACCATGTTTTAAAAAATCCGTTCTCTTTACATTGTACAGAAAATGTCGTATTTTATCAGTTCCTTGTTTTTGATCGACGTCTTCTCGACATCGACTGACTACGGTTCTGAATTGAGAATTTAAAGTTAAGATCGTCTCAAAGTGTATTTAAACATCACTTAAAGATTTTCAGTTGATAAAAGTAGGAGCTTTGGGCTTGTAAAACAAAAAAAACATAAGCTATTGAGAATAATAAGTTGAGATTTTGTACTTTCCTCAATTCAGAAACCGACTTTGACAAACGTAAAAATTTTGTTTTGGTTCCATTTTTTGATGTAATGTATAAAATATGTGGGTCGTCACGAACTGCCAATTTCGTATATACTATCACAGATATGAACTGATTGGTGTAACGGTACACACGGGCACAGCCGACGGTGGACATTACTACTCGTTTATAAGAGATCGAGAACACGAACATCACGATCGCTGGTTGTTGTTCAACGACGCTGAAGTTAAACCATTTGATCCTGCGCATATAGCTGCCGAGTGCTTTGGTGGTGAGATGACGGTTAGTATGTCGCTGCATATGTGAGAAAGAGTTAGATGGAAAAGTTATAAAAATCACACCTTTTTATAACTAATACTAATAAATATGATACATAAGTATACTTAATGCTTTGTCGGAAGGATACCCGTCCTTGTGATATAGCGTACAATATAAAGTACAACCTTAGTATTGCAAATAATAAACTTTAATATATGTCAAACTAACTTAACTAACCTTGCTACATATCATTCTTATAAAGTATCACTATTGTATTGCAAATAATAATCTTAAAGGTATGTCAAATCAACTTAACTATAATGTTAGATGACGTCTCAGTGATATTTAGACTGACTTCATTTCTAGATGTAACATTAATTACCCTTAAACGTTTTACTTATTTTGTATTTCAGAGTAAAACATATGATTCAGTGACAGATAAGTTTATGGATTTCTCGTTTGAAAAAACTAACAGTGCATACATGTTGTTCTACGAACTAAGTCCACCTCGCAGTCAACGCGGTTCCGACTGTGGACAACAGGAGGAAGCACAGGTAATTAATTACTCTAATATCTGTAAAAAAAATGAAGTTTTTCACATCAACATAATTTTTTTTTATAAATATATTACAATTGAAATTCTTTTGAATGCTGTTACTATTGTGTAAACTATGTTGGACGAATGAATGAAATATCTCCAATATTTCATGACTCTTTGATGAAATATAATGATTTATACTTTAAATTGATTTAATCACAATCCTATTTATACGGTTTAGTCATCAAGAGCGGAAGAATCTTCAAGCTTATCGTCGGAACGGCGCAATAGCGACGCTTTGCAAGTGACGTTACCGCCCGATTTACTCAAGTGGATATGGGATGACAACATGCAATTCCTACACGACAAGAACATCTTTCAGCATGCATACTTCACGTGAGTGAACAGGATGGACAGACTATTAATTTTATTGTCTATGTAATACTATTTGCTTTGATTTTTGTGCTGAAAATAGTGTGAAACATTGAAATTTGTGCACATAATATAAGTAATAATTATGTTTTAGGTTCATGGGACAGATGTGTAGTTCTGTGCCCCAGTCGCTTCTGACGTTGCGGCCGGAGATCACTGAGGTGGCGGCACGCCTTTCCACTTCCTTTTTCATCGAGACGTTTATACATGCCAAAGAAAAAGTAATTAATCAAGTCAACTCAATTATTTTGATTTTAGAAACCAATAAACAAGTTATTGGTGGCTAAAATCATAATAAGTGAGTGTTTGCTGTTGTAGATAAGAGTGTATAAGTGATAACTAATCTATTTCTGAGGTGGCTAACGGTTTGAATCAATATTGTTACACTATTAAAATAGTTTGGCGCTAACCTACAATTTACAATAAAGGTTATTAATTTATTTAATGTTTATTTTAGCCAACAATGGTGTCGTGGGTTGAGTTGGTCACAAAGCAGTTTAATGCGTCCGCTGCAGCTTCTGAATGGTTTTTAGGGCACATGGCTGACGATACGTGGTGGCCTATGCAGGTATATTGTTTAGATATTTGATTTTGTAAGTTAAATTTATCATAGTAAATATATTTGAACATATTTAAATCATCAATTTATGTTTTTTCAACAGGTATTGATAAAGTGTCCGAATCAAATGGTGAGGCAGATGTTTCAGAGGCTGTGTATGCACGTAATACAAAGGCTGAGGTAAATTATATTCTTTATATCAAATAATTGTGAACTCAATTGCTCTATCTTAACATTGGTATTTGTTTGTTGCAGATCTAGTCATTGTGCCTTATACCTACAGGGTGTTGAAGAAGGCGAAGATAATAGCAAGTTGGGAGAAGCGAGTTGTGTTACTAGGTTTATAAGAATGTTGTTATCATTGGTAAGTTTTAGTTTTCCATTAGATTTTACTAAATATTTTGCAAGTGAACCTTTGCCTTAATATTAGGTTTTGTGAAAATAAAAAAAGATTCAATTTCTCTAAAATAAGATAATTGCCACAATCGTTGGTTGAACATACTTATTAGTACAAGGGTATTTATTAAACAGATGGAGAACGGTGCACGTTCGCACCTGCGTCATTTGACTGAGTACTTCAGTTTGCTGTATGAGTTCAGCAAGATGGGTGAAGAAGAAGGCAAATTTATGCTTCGTATCAACGCCATTTCTAGCATGGTGGCATTCTATCTCGGACAGAACGGGGCCACGGTAATATTTCAAAGTTATAAATAAACCGGCACAGATAAAGAATATGTATATACGATTTTTTCACAAAAGCTTTTTGTTTAAATTTTAAAATTCAATTTTTTCAAAAAATTTTTGGTGCAATGGGAGAACTATACGACTTTGTTCTTGATTATACATACTTTGTAAATAAATCACTTAAGCTATCCAAAATTTTTTTCAGACATGGTTAGCTCTCCTCATTTTAAAATAATATTGTTACGACTTAGGATTCGGGATAAAAATTGACACTAATTATGGTTCACAATCCGAGTTTATTTAACACAATAAAATTATAAAAATAACACTTCAACTTTACTACTTCATATCACTAATCATATTTCACAACACTTTGATAGTTCACCGCTCTAGTTATCGCTTCGAGTTTCGAACGAACGAGCAAGCGAACGCTTCCGATCGCTCTTGCTTTCAGATGAAAGCACGAGCGATCGGAAGCGTTCGCTTGCTTACTGAAGAATGCCGGGACGGGGAGTCCACCGTGTATTTATAGGGACAGATACCTCATCTAGAATGTTTTAGATCCTAACGTAGAAATAAACGTAAGTACATAAGAACATTCCAGGCATTACCAATAAGTTCTATAATAGCGATCGGTCCCTTTCTTCCCCGGTGACTGACCTTTCTCGCCGACGCCGATATAACACAGGTATTTCAAGTGTTAGTGTGGACGAACCGCGCCGCTGTGCTCCGTAACAATATCATTTTATAGAACATTTTTTTTTCAGGTTGAATCTCCTACGGAGGAAGCGAGTGGCAGTGGCAGCGCTAATACTGAAACCGCTGGGGATAAACTAAGGCCGGGCGCTTTGGACAAAATGGTGGCTCTCGTGGCAGGACTAGTTGAACGATCACGTGATACATCCGGACAATTATCGCTGCAGGAACCTGATGCGCGCGCGTTGCTGCACGCCAAGGTGATTACAAAATATGGACTTAAATTGTTTTTATCACATCAATACATGCTGCCAAGTCGTATTTATAGCAAATAAATAAAATTTTAATTAAACTGATCAAATTTGGGAAGAGAAAAATGATGTATATTTATGAACAACTAGACCCCTATAAAATTAACTTAAAAGAATAATTAACAGTGTTCGAATTCTTTGCAGGGTTTTCCTTTTATCTATCAACAGACACGCGACTGCTTAAATCTTCAGCAGACGCGATCATTGATATTTGCATTGTGTCGATGGAATGAGCCGCTCGCGCAAAAAATTGTTAACATGATATTTCAAGCTATCGCCAAACATTCTGAAGTAAGTATTTTTTTAAGATAAAACTCTCAACTGGCACAAATTAATCTTAACGAAGAGAATTGCCAAAAAAGAAATACGAATAACATGTTAAAAATATATTTGTTTCAGAGTTGCGGTCCGTTTTTTAAGTTGCTTACCCTGTTGGTGGAGGGTAGTGGGGGTGGAGCGGGTCCTTCGGGTGGGCTGCCGTGCTTCACGCAACTAGTGCTCGCTCGTCTGTGGGACGTTGCGGATGTGTGCCCACACGCGGCGCTAGAGTGGCTCGCTCTACAGGTTGGACATTTACCAGCTTAAAACTATTTGTACATATTCAAATGCTATCGTTTCGCTTATCGCATCAAATCCTGTTTATTTTATTTTTAAGTTATATAGTAAATAATAAATACTTAGATTTATGAAACACGTGTATAAGATACGTAATAATGTTAGATAGCGTTCGCGATACTTTAGGAATTTTGAGACAAACCTTTCAAATACTGATCATAATCTCTGGTCACGTCATTATTTTCACATGACTGGCCTAGGCCTATAATTTTATGGTTACAGCTTGGTAAGGGTGATAAACTGTATCGAAATCCGTTGCCACTTAAAAAGAGTGAGAGGAGATATTGTGAAATGATTGTTTTTGTAAAGGTGCCTCGTAACAAAGCGGCACACGCGTGGGCGTTACGAACAGCGGACCGGTGGGTGGAGCAACAGCTGCTAGCCTCGTGTGTGGCACGAGTGCGCGCCGCCGCCGCGCTCTTGCTAGTGGCGCTAGTGCCGTCACAACATTTCCGCGCTGGATACACGCGTGCACGCCCCCCTCCCGCTTGTCCCCACCCCGCCAAACTGCCCGACACTGCCCACCATACACTGCATCAGGTAATTAAAGGATAATGCATTTTTTTTTGTATGGCGATTCGTACCAATTTACGTCAACCCAAATTACCCTCAACGAGTCAAGTTTTTGATTAACTTTTCACTACCATCAAGATATTATCATAATTTGACCTCCTTTTTGAGATATCCGAAAAAAAAATTATGAAAACCCGCCGTAACTTTTTATTGATATTTAATAACTGTGTTTCTTTTTATTGATATTTAATACTACACTTCCGTGATAGCACTCAATTGAACTGTTCTATTCATTTTCAACAAATAAGCAGGCACCATAAACGCCGACCGGCGTATTCCAAGAAGAGTTACTATCTCAAGACAGCAAATCACTTCAAAGTAACTATCTAAATACCGTCAATAGTTTTTATTAATTAAAAATAGCTTTATAACCCGACTGTAGCAAATACTTCGATTGACATAAACGGCCAAAGAGTGAAGTGTTTATTTAAGGAATAAACAAAGATTGAAGTCGATACATCGACACTTGACATTTCTATATTTCGGTTTCTGTTATGCTGGTTTGAGTTTCCAATAAAATACGTAATGTATTTTTTTCTTAATTAGAAAAAACAATTAAAGATCATTTATAATAATTATTTTACACTATAATTATGAATTTTGACAGTAGCTAATTGAAGATTTTTAGATCATTATTAGTTTATAAAAGCAAGGTCAATTGTAAACGGAACGTTATTATTCGTATATGCATTTTTTTATGGAAACAGACGAATTGTAAATTATTTATTATCACTTTTTAATGCGGTTAAAATTATGACTTAAAAAGCAGTTGCAAATACATATAAACAAAACATTATTTTTTGGTAATAATGTACTGTGACGCAATATGGTACGGATAAAGGCAATCTCCTTGTAGCGACGATACATCCACACTTCTGTCCCTACCCTGTCAAGCTGCGCGATACCGCACACCGTCAGTAACACTGCGACATACGTTACAAAACGAAATAAGTAGACAATTCTGCTTCGTAACTTCTTTTGTTCAGGAATAAGGTCTTAAATCAAGTAAACAAATTAACATGATCTGTGTTGATAAGTAAACATTCAACTTCGACGTGAATGTTTTGTTTGGCAGGTGTACACGATGCTGCTAGGGAAGTTGAAAGCTGCTCGTAAATATACAGACATAGCAGTACATGGCACAATGAAGCTGACTGCCTATTTCGGCGTTATGTCATATTGCGTCGTCAGTAGAGTGGAGAAGTTAATGGTAAGTTGATGTCAAAGTGCCTGGTTGATGAATGTATAAAGTTGGATACCAATGTAACTTGGATCATATTGTCTATATTTCGTCAAATAAAATCGGCCTCTATTGTAGGTTACTAGATGAGAATAGAATTCAATATGCAATGTAAATAAGAGAAATTTAGAAATAAGACGTTCAGATCATAATTTTGGTTGAAATTTATGTGAAACTTATGCTCATCTATATCTTATGACGAGGAAATAATTTTCAGTTCGGACAATACTTCAACGACTTGTGGGATTTATATCATCCGGCGATATCAGAGCCATCAGTGGCTGTGCATCCAAATAAACAAGCTTTACTTACCTTCTGGCACGCGGTCTCCGTGGATTGTCCTGAAAACGTACAGCTAGCTGTTTCCAACCAGAGGCTTACTAAACACATTGCCTTCAACTACATTCTGTGAGTATTTTTAAAAATAATATATAGAAGCCATGTAAGGACGTGCTTTCTATTTGAGGTTTAAAATGTTACATTTTTCCTATTGTACTAACAGTGCAAACTATTTTAACAATCGAGGAGTCCAATCTTAGAGATCAGAATAAGCAGTTTGTCCACAAGTGGTCCTTTTCCTCCAATATTATTTTCCTGTGATATTTTTTGACTACCTGATTTGAGCTAGATTTTTTTTATGTACACAGTGCGGACCATGAAGATGGCGAAGTGGTTGCATACAATCGCGCGATGTTACCGCCTTACTACGCGTTGTTGAGGCTTTGCTGTAGACGATCGAGCGCGTTCGCACGCTCTCTCGCCCAACATCAGAACATTCACTGGGCATTTCGTAACATCGCTCCACATGCCCATCTATACCCGGGCGCTGCAGATGAACTGTTGAGGTGCGTTCTTAATAATATTATTATTTTACTTTCTCAGTAATCTTACAATAGGGTTATTGGTAGTAATGAACTAAGAAATCTATTAATTATTCTTTACTTACATACTTTTACATTACTTTATTCAGTTCTTTTAAGATAAGGAGGTGACATAGGTAGCTACGTCTTTTTATCTTAAGTGATTTGTGAGCTCCTTGAGATCTCTAAAATTGTAAATTAGAATAAAAAACCTGTTTATTAATATTCCCATTAAACCGCGCGATCGCTTTATTGCTGTTAAAATAAGTCTACAAAGGATTATAATATCGTGGACACTAATGCGTGGTCGTTATGAGGCCGAATTGAAAACGAAAATAATAATTTTTCGGTCTTATGTTGTAGGTATAATTTTCGGAACAAATATGTTTACATCGACATTTATTAGTATAGTTTCGTTTTAAAACATTTTTGAAAATTTTTGAGTAACCTTATTGACGCGGTATTTGTTGTGCAGGCTAGCTCGCCTATTAGCTGCCCGTGGGGCGCCCGGTGCCGCCAGCGGGGGCGCAGGCGCGGGCAGTAGTAATAGTAGCAGTAGCAGCAGTCACAGCAGTGGCGAAGCGGACGTGCGAGAAGCGGCCGCCTTCCGACGAAGTACCCTCGCTGCATACTTGCAGGGTGAACTCACTAGACACTCCGGTATGTTTTATTGTTTTTACCAAACAACTCAATCCGTTCAGAATTTCTGAGTAAATTAAATGTGACACACTGACGGGCAGACGGACGAACACACGACCTTTCGAGATACGGAAAGAATTAAATTAAATGCATAATTGGTTAGATATAATAATTCGCTTTAATTAATTAAAGTTTGCGAATGTTCCCACATGGTTACAAGTTTAAACTAGAAAGGTACAAAGGTGAGATGTTGGTGCTGTCAACTTAAAGGTGTAGATTAAATTTCTGCCTCTGTCAAATTTTTACTGAGCATTTGTGGCGAATCAGGGCCGCCGTTCTTTCTGTGTACTCTATTTATCGGGCCATTGTCACTGTACTGTATTGTAGGGATTTGTAAGATGATCGCTACCAATACTGCGTCTGTGTAGTATGGAAGGAAGAGCGAAGTGGGTCTATAAATTTTACTTGAGTCAATATTTCCGGTATTTTGTTCCTCATATGTTATGTTATATTATGACTTATAGGTCTCAATGGCAGGACGTGTTGGACGACATTGATATCCGCCTTTTGTACACTAGTCGAAAATGAAGATGATAGGTTATACGTCGTATACAACGGAGGACTACAGATGACATTTGAAGTGAGTACTTTAAGTTTCATGATTAAAAATTAAATAACAAATACTCTAATAAGTTACGATTAAAAAAATAAGCTATATTCCCAAGCAGCAAAATGTGGTCTAGTAATCATCCTGGAACCACAATTTTATCAGGACTATAATGGAATAGTAAGCAATTATAACCACGGAAAAGGGCCCAATTTACAGGCGTATTTGCTCTAATTCAATATCTATAATAGACTTGATGAACACCAGTTCGTTCAATAACGACCCTATAGTTAGTTTACGTAGAACTATTTGCTCCTGCGAAGCTAACAATCAGCGCTTAATGGAACTAAATACGACAGTAAAAAATCTCTTATAGGCTCATTCAAAGTGTTCTGAATTGGCAAATGTTGTTGCACATATTTATATTGATAATGGTAAATTTTCATCCATTTCTAACTATAAATAATATCTAAAATATTAATTATAAGTAAAGTGTTACTTATGTAACAATAAGTAATGGCTGGCGCATGTATATTTTCGGTGAAGTATAATAGGTTTTCTATTAAAATTTTTACTCGCCTCTCAGTAGTAGCGTTTTTAATAAGTTAGATTTCGAAATAATTTCGGTTTCAGTAAGATCATATAACGAAAAGTCGCCATCTTGTCAGATGGTTTTTCCAAATACATTAAAAAACCATTTTAGGCGTACTTTGTCTAAAAAGGGCAGACATTAGAACCGTTGCTTGGCCATATTTTTTGGAATCAGGGTTCAACAAATATTAATATAATCTGAATATTTTTCATATTTTGTTATAAAATTTTTGTTTAGGTATCAAAATTTAGCTTAGTAATGTTTTTGGACGTCGATCACTTTTTGACTAAAAGCGATTTTCGAGCCTTGAAAAGCTTAAGGTGGCCTTGGGAATAAATTATTGTGTAAAAGTAAGGTAGGAAATCTAAGGTAGGAAAGGTAGGAAACAAATAGAGTAAAAATTTTTAATTTACCTTGAATAAAAATTCATAAGCAGGTATCAATATTTTGTTTATTTTTTTTTAACTTCTGACCCATTAACGAGTTTGGTAAGTATTTTAGCAGAAATTATAACTACTAACGGAATTAACCAATCAGTGAATTATTAAAAATAAAGTAATGTTCTTCAAATATTTATATAATTCTGGTAATTCACAATGTGTACAACAGCGGTATATTTGATATATTTGAACTGTACACAACAATCACAAGCTTACATTTTATGTTTGAAATTTTAAAGACGTTTTCCTTTTTATTGTCGTTGATTTAATTGAAATTGCATTGATATATTTTAAGAAATAACGATTTTATTGGTTGATCGAATGCAGCTTGTGCTTGTTCAATAACATTAACACGTATTTCAATATAATGCTCTCGGGTCTACAGCCCATTTTCTAAGATCACCATGTAGTTCAAAATTAGAATAGCCTTCAATATCGCTTTCATCTTCTGATACAGATTCCTCATTTGATAATTCAAGGTCTGAATTCAAATCGATTTTTATCGATAAAGCGTCATTTTGTGCTGAGTTAGTATTATAAACGTTCTGTCTCAAATTATCACAAGAATTATTTTGTACGGAACTATTTCCTGTTTCTACAATACTTTCTTCGCCAGACATAAAGTTCAAACCGGACACCTGAATTATTTGCTCATAGGTTTTCGGAACTTTTCGTTTGTAAGAACCACTTCTTTTTAGCCGTTTCTATTTATACAGATCCATTTGATAACAGAAGTTAATAGCAGTTCGGCAAGGAATAAGATTTATCAGAATTAAAATATTTTGGTTGAGACTATAACAACTTTTGCAGGATCATATTAAACCAATACATTCTTGTATCAAAACCTTTATAGTAGTATTGTGATTATAACAATATTAAGTTATACCACTATAAAACTTATCCATTTTACTTATAATTGTTATCTAAAGTGGATTTATAAACCTATACAAAATCAAGTAATAAATGCAAATGGTTTCCAGTATGTTTAGCACTTTTATTGGCGTACTTTACTTGTAATAGTTCTATAATGAGTTATTTTAGCAGTTATAAGAATAGCTTACTAGTTTATCTACTCTCGAGTACATTTACACCCACAGCATCCTTTTATAGGGCACCTAAGCGTATAATACATCTTTAATTTCGATCTATAAGAGGTTATAAGTTGATTTAGAAGAGCGGATATACTACAAGGCCCAAGTGACTCCATGCTTCCTATTATAAGTGTGACAGTAAATACTATGACCGTTAAGAGAATGTTATAAGTACTGAAGGCCTATAACATCTGCACTATAGGATAATTTTGCTGCTTGGGTTTGATCGATCTGTAGAGCAGTCGCTCCGTTAGCAAAATGATACCGGTTTGAATTTTCGAGTAAACGAGATGATAGAAATTTTGAAGTATTTTTAATAGTCAATTCATTTACTGAATAGTTTTTTGAACGTTGTTTTATTTGCAGGCGCTGCAAAGTTTACATGCTGTATATATGGAGGGGGGAGCGGGATCAGCTAGTAGTAGCGCGAGTGTTCGCGGTGAATTAGCGGGTGCGTTACGCTGGGCCGCCGCGCTGCTACGAACGTTACGGACGCGTCGCGATACTAAAGAAGCGCGTGCGCTACTGCTGGCTTGTAAAGATTGGCCGGAGTGCGCGCGTCGATTGGTCGCTATGCTTGCAGCGCACCATCGCCTCGATCATCTCCGAGTACCTTCCCTAAGTAAGTTTTTATACAATGATTATACTAGTTTCTAGATATGACAATAAATGGAGTTTCAGTAAAACAATAATTCGATAACAGTAAAACAATGACATTATGACCTTTTTGTCTTATTTGTTACTTTGAATTGTTCAGTTTAAATATACAGGTGTATTTCTACTTAGATATCGATTGTGTAAGTCAATATAACTTTTAAAAAAATAACTTTTATTAATAAACAATACTTATTGTTTATTAATAATCGTGTTAAGTATAGGTGTAAAACTAATTTACTTCAATGATTATGCTAATGCGTTAATAAAATGGTTGTCATTTCAAACACCTACCTACTAAAATAAATGAAAAGATATGATTAGAACATCTTTATCGTAAGTTTCAATATTTGTCACAATATTTCTTTCGGCTGTTTGGGTGGATGCCTGTACATTGATGGGAATACGCTCTGTAGTAGCGAAAAGTAACAAGTGCTTGAAAGATCCGTCAGTCCTGTTAGGTCCTGGGTTGCTTAGCGGTTAGAGCAGTCGCCCGGATTGCGAAAGGTCGTGGGTTCGATTCCCATCCGGGAATGTGCCGGGGACCAAGTGGATTTTTTAAGCATTTTGTATTAAGAATAATGAATATTTTAGACATCATATTTCATAGTATGATTTACTACTTAAAACTTACGCAAACAGTATCGAAGTAGGAATAATGTCGGAACGCCCGGGTTCAGTTCCCGAACTGACAAGTTTTTTTTTGATAAATGCATTATTTTCACTAAAATCGATGACATTGTCCCCAAGAATTGATCTTCGTGGACTTTAGAGTCCCATACTGGCCGTTCTTATTGTTACTATGATTAATCTCCGGTAGGCGTTCTCCGCGAGATAGTACTTATCGGTGGAGGGGCGGCGCTGGGCGCGCTAGTACCTCTGGCGGCGACAGCGCGCGGCGAGCAGCGCGCCCGCTCACACATGCACGCGTGCGGCGCCCGCACTATATCACATACGCCCACCGCTGCAGCGCACAGACCTTACCACAAACTCATCGGTAAATACTTATCCTATAACTGGTTCGCCACAAACGACCGGTTTCTGAATTGAGAAAAGTACAAAATCGCAACTGATTATTTTCAATATCTTAAGTTTTATACGTTTTACATGGCAAACTGTCAACCAATTATTAAAAAATTAAAATCCGAAACCAAAACCTGTTTGAGACGAACTTAACTTTTAATTATCAACTCCGAAACCGAGTGTAAGACTTCTTTGTTTTTTTCCAATCTACGATATGTCCACACTAATTGAATATTGTTAATTTATTATTGTTGCTAACCATGTAACTAATGGATATTTTATTGGCCATCTGTAATATAAAGTTTACATAAAACTATCATGTGTTGTTGCAATTCCCGAATATACATATAAATAAATATACTACTGCCGTTCTGAACTAAAATTGTGACACAGTACGAGCGCGCATTGACTTGTTGCCGTCCCTTATAAGGAGTACAATCGACTGAACAATATGTTGTGTTGACACACCAATTTAGCGAGTAATTTTCCAGTACTGATCAGCTTGTCTAGTAGTTTACATATTCTTTGTTTCGTCATTATTTTACAAGGCTTTATTTTGTATATTATCAAATCTTGACAATTAGAGATTCATGCCCACTTTCCATACATTGATTGAGCGGACACACTTTCTTTTGAAGGACATGTTTATGTTTCAATTAATTGTAAATACTGTTTTGAGGTTTTGAGTCAGAACTGAAGATAATTGTTAAGCTAGTTTTCATTTTTAAATTAATCCACTAAAATCAAAGGTTTTTATAGTTTTACTCTTAGTTGTGGAAATAAATAAATGTAATTGTTAATGTATACTGTTTTGACCTCATGACGAACAAATATATTTCCTTACTAGTTGACATGAAACGTAACAAGCAGTCTTTATACGGTCCGGATCGTATTGTCGTAGTGTTCGTACAACTTTTAAAAATAATTAACAGTTTCACTATTTTGTTTATTTTAAGACTTATATCAGCTATGAAATAAGTTAAAAATAAGCTATATTTTGAGATAATTATGTGACATTAGTAGACTATAATTAATATTTATTTGATAATTTTATGGTCAAAATTGGATATGATTTATTTATTTATTTCAAGAAAAAAAAAAAGCTGAAATTTTACATGTCTGTCTTAAGTTTATAATTTTGTTTCAATAAACTCCTGTTGTTTCTTGAGTTCTTGCCACTCGCCTTATAAGCGTTTGTTTATAAGGATCTAAATACCTATTTATATGTTGATTTTAGACATATGCTGTCGCGTAGCGCGTACACAACGTTGTATGTCGGAACAGTTGGTGTTGCTATCGGCTTTGTGTGCACTGGAAGCGGTTCCCCTAAAATTTAACTACTTTGCCGCTTTCTGGCGGGACGTTGCTGCTTCGCCGGTAATTACTATTCTTTATTTTTATTACAGATTATTCTCAATTTTGATATTTTATATGTGTTCTTTCAATTACACAGTTTAACTGATATTACGGTTAGTATTAATGTGTGAGTTATCAGATCAGGCTACTATCAACTTTGTTATCAAATCCATAAAAATATTGTCTGAGCATTATGTGGTCTGTTCATCACCGAATAATACTTACAAATTGCTTACATTGTTTCTATAGGCGGATGCAAAGTTAGAAGAGATGCTGTTAGAATGTAGCGTAGTATCAGAGTACATGGACGCTGTGTTACTAGACGAACGGGAATCTTTGGAAGACCCAGCTATTTATCAGTTTATGCAACACTACTATCCTAAGGTATCTTAATAATAATTTAAACTTTATGCTATAATTTTTTTTTTAACTCTTGACGCAACGTTTGATTATTATTATTGCTCACAATATATTGTGGTTAACGTTTTTATAGCGAATTTTCATTTATGTGGGCTGAGAATATATTATCATACAATAAAAGATGAAATAAAAAGACCATACAAAGAAACGAATACGTGCTGTGGACTAAATATAAATGAAAACACCCTTTTCAGTCCATTGCGCCGAGACGCTTTGGTTTAAAAAACTAAATATGTCAAAAATAACGAAAATTCATATTTCCTTTCAATCAAAAGAAAATTTCTCGTTTATCTTTTGTATTGATGTTAAGCGTCATAGTAGTGTAACAAGCTAAAATTTAACGCCAATGAGGAAGTATTTAAAAAAAAAGACATTTGTTCCTGAAATCAAACTAGATGTCACTACAGTACGTTCTTGATTTCTCCATGACAACCCTTCCGGTTTTCTTTCATGTTTAAAAGTAAATTAGTTTTCAAAACTCAATAAACAACTCATATTCAATTTGTACTTTATCAAATTTGTATTGATATATAAGTTTCGAACATTTCAAATTTCAATTTTTTTAGTATGTTAGTTAAAAGGAACGGAAGTAGCTGTCTTTGGTCCATTCGTTTCCTGCAACAATCAACTTTTGCTAGAGTCGCCACCTAGTGGAGGTGCTTTTTTAGTGCTTTCGTTTTTTTTAAATACTTCTTTATTTCCTCATTAAATCTGACACTTTATTTGCACAGTAAATTGATAAAAACATTTGTTTCTATGTCACGTTAAATAATTCTTCGGCATTACCAGAAGTTAAAGGACGGCCTGCTCGTCCCAGTGATTATTCATTTTTCGCCGACGTATAACTACACGCGCAGTTTATACGATGCTATCGCGATTCAGCGACAACACTACACCATCTAGCGACTGCGTTGTTAGAAGGCAGCATCCGTCGCTGCGTAACATTAGATTGGTTGTGTGTTGACAGATGGGTAGTGGTGGTTCGTGGAGTAGCGCGGAGGCGTTATCGGAGGAGGTGCGCGCCAGTGCGGCGGGCGCGGGTGGCGCGCGCACGTTGGCGCACGCGGCCCGCGCCCTAGCGCTCGCCGCCTCCCGCCGCCCCTCGCCCCCGCCCGGACCCGCGCGGGCACTGCGCGCCGCCGCTCTAGCGCTGCAGCAGCGGCTGCACCGGGACACGGGTATGGAGATATTTTATTGAAACGTCTATCTTAAGCACCCGTACTTGCGCTGCAACGGCGGCTACACTGGAACACGGGTGTTATTGAAACGAATATCTTATGAAAGTCTAGGTACACTGTGGTGGTTGTAAAGTTGGATCTTTGATTGCCTCTCTTCCCAATGAGAGTATTCCGCAGGTTTTATCAGGCAGACCACGCCATGAGGTGATATATGGCTTTAACTGTGCATGACTATTAATTAATCGAGTGAAAATTAAATAAATAAAAATCACCACCAAGTTTCAAGAATAAATCGTAACACATAGTAAATATACTTTTTAATAATTAAAAAGGCGAAAAACTTATTCTTAAAAAATAGTAGATTAAATTGCTCGGATTAAACTAAACGCGGCGATTCAGCAGATCTAAGAAGTTGGTGTGAAAATGAACTCCAAAAAGGAGATTTGATGGTTGAAATTTAATTTTTTACTAAATTATTGGTAGTAAGTTAATAAAAATATTTAGAGTTTCATTTAATGGAACAAACATTTTCAGCAATCATTAGAGGTCCGCACTGGGTTTCCCTTCTTAGTATTTCAAATACTGTTATATCATGCGTCAGAAAGATCTTGAACATTTTTGTCACGATCTTTCCGTCTAATAATAAGACATCTGTAGTATAATATGCTTTTGAATAGGCGAGGAAGAGAGTTCGGACCCGGAGACGCCTGCCGAGCCGGTGGCGACGTCCGCACGGTGCCGCACGCCCTCCGGCAGTGAACCGGAGGATCCGCCGGAGGATTTGCCCGTTGACGACGACGACGAACCGCCCCCACCCCGCGCCCCCGACACCCGCGCTATTATAGCGCAGGCCGCGCTCGCTATACTCGCGGCCACCGCGCACGTAGCCGACGCGTAACCATCCACCGTTTTAAACCAGATGTATGTACAACAGAACCTTCCCGACTAGTTTTATTGCCATATTCGAACATAGAAATTCGCAATGTATAATTGAAACCTATGTATTTCTATAAAAAAAATATCTATAGTGCAGTCGCCAAACAGAAAGAATTTCGTGTGCTGACTTTTGTCCCTACTGAAAGATATCGTGAACATTAGTTTTATTTTACTTTGATAAAATTGGCTAGATGCAGTCTGCGAGCGCAATAGCTAAATGTTTGTGAATGAGTGTAAGAGATATGTAGTGCTTGGTCATTGTACGAAATTATTTTTGTAACCGTGCTATAGTAACACTTAGATATCAGTGATCGGATAAGTACACTATATTCACACATCTTTTTTATGTGAAATGACTTGCGAGCTGTGCTACGTTGCGGTTGTTGTAGTAATTTTGGTGTATTCGAGAAAATTCTAGTTCTGCTCTCTATCTAGTCTTTCGGCTTCTTTTATTTAACCATTTTAGTTGGGTTTGGATTGTAAATAAAAATGTAAATAATGATACCGTTACTGACGGGTGTTTATTAGGTCTTATTTACTGAAAATGCAAAAGATACCGTTTGTAACAGTTCTGAGTCATGTCGCATAGAAATGTTTTGATAAATAAGAATACCCCTGTCCCGATCACTGCACAATTGTGTGCGATAGATACTGTCGATGCACATGTCGTATCAATAGTGTGGTTATGTATCGTTGGCGATGAATAAAAAATTATATCTAGGTTTTACTCACTTTGATTGGGTCATCCGGCATCAGTGCACGATTCTTAGGAAACGCGTCTAAATGTCGACAGCTTTTATAAAATACAATTTACGATCTCTATCATATAATTTCACGGGCATTTTATTAGGGTCGATGCACACTTGACGGAAGATCGGTCGAACGTTTTAACGAACGGTGCTGTGCGTTAGTACGCTCGACGGATTACCGATTGAATATCAAAATATTTGTTAGTTCTGACGTTATAGATATGCACCGATCCGCCTAACATTGATATTTCAACTACGATGTCTATGTTATATATAGCTATGAATATTTCTTAACGTACTTACTTAGAAGAAAAAAGATCCGCTTTTACACCGATATATGAATTTAATGTTGTTCAAAGGGAAGGCGATATATTTATACGTCTCTTATGAATGCTGTTTGATGTACTTGATCGATCCTTGTGACTGCACCAAACAGATCATCGTATAGCGTAACTATCTGAATTGTAAGTAATTATTCCCCTTTAGCTCAATATTGTAAAAGAAGTGTGTATTTGTTTCCAGGTTACGTGATCGTAAGTCATTACTAATAATAATTAGCGTGTTGAAAGTGCGAACGATTATGAGATTTTTACTAATGTTCACTTAGTGTTGTATTATAGGTAATTACAATTAAAATATATTTAATACATCGATGTTTATAGCTTACATTCCAAAAGTGGCCATCGGATTCGATGACCTGTCTTCATTGAAAATTTACTCTTGAGAAGGTGAGTATCATCCTTCTATCATTTTCATGGATACCTATTGAAGAAGAGCTGTAAAATAGAGTTACAACTGAATTGTAATCATTGAGAAGAAGTTAGAGAATTGTCTTAAAAATATCTATACTTTTCTCGGCATTCAAATGTAAATTTCTTCTTCCACCCAATTTCTTCTTGATGAGCGCAATTTTTATGACATAAAATTTACTAGCGTTTTAGACACCAAGCGAATGATAAGTTTTATGTGACGGTTGTATTTGTAAAGATTTTAAGAAGTGAATATAATTTACGGTGTTCAAAACAACAATAAACAGACTTGATTGATTTTTTGAGAAAGATTCGTTTAAATCGTAAATGTAGTTATATCGTTTCGTATTAATAATTTAATTACACCTGTATATCGACAAGCCGTAAACTATGTCCGCTCTAAAATCAAACATAGATAACATGGTCAAAATTTTATATCGTTTTTTAATTTTATAGTTAGGTAGTGTAGATATTTGTCAAATCGATGTTATTCAGAGGTAGCTACTTTAACTGTATCAATTGATATTTATAAAACATGCACGTTCCGTGCTTCTTCAAGACGATTTGCATACATTTTGAAGAACTACAGAATCTGTAACTTAAATTCAAATAGCCGCTTCTTTGAGACAAATTATGGTATACACAACTTTTTGTTTCCCGATATTAGTCTGCTTAATTTCTGAAGCACCTACTTCAAATTAATTTAAACACTTATTTCTAAGGTTCTGCTTCGGTATGAAAACCGCGTTGTTTCTTTTTCCTAATATTTTGATAACTTTTCAACATAAAGAATCTCTGATATTTTTAGGATAATTGAAATTTATAAGTATGAATCTGTTTATTCTTTTGACTGCATTATAAGTATTTAATATGAAATCTTACAAACTCGTTGAGTCTTTGCGATTACTCTATTCCTCAAAAATAAGTCGTATGTAAATATCACTTATATGAAATTATCTTAATGCTGAATTGAAATTAAAACAACTCGTTTTAGTGAAATGATTTGAGTGGCTTTCCTTCATTTGATGCTTGAAATTCTACATTTCAGAATTATGGTTTAAATACGTATCAAAAATATGATTATGTTTCGGCTGTGAAAGGTTTGTTAGTTTAAGATAATGTGTGTACCTATTAGAGAAAATTCACCGCTTACAATGTCCGAGTCTGAGCTTACGTATAACAAATATATCATATTGTAAGTCGATACACCCGTCCAAGTCACGTACATTTAATTTCTTTTTTTCACTTCATTAAAAGTTTGGCCATTTACGGCGTAGCACAGTCAAATACTTTCGTAAACTTCTTTACTTTCGTTCTGCTTAGATTCTTAAAGAAAAAAAAATATATGCACGGGTCGCATTTAACACAGTCAAACAAATAGGACCAAACTGCTTCAAAGTTCTTTTATATGAACCCGTTATATTGACTTTCTTTTAGTTTAGGGAATACATTCAATTTTAGACTTTATTATCGACGCTGGAAAGCAAACACGTAGTAACCCGCAAAACCAAAATGGATATTTAGAGTGGAAAATCTTTATATTTTTCCAAAAAAAAAAACTTTTTGGTATAAATTGACTAAGGAACACTTAATTTATTACCATGGACATTTATAGGGATTATTTATCGAGAAAAATAAAAGTTTTTCTGCTCTGAAGAACAAGTATGGTTTTGCGGGTTACTACGTGTTTGCTTTCCAGCGTCGATATGTTTTTTAAGCTCATTATGTTTATTACCTATATGATATTCTTTTTACTTTTCATATTTGGTACCTATTCCTTTTCAGATAAAATTTCATAATTCTTAATTTTTAAAAGTGAGAGTAAATGCGACCATGTTGAACGTTAAAAAAACGCGTTTGTGTCGATATTAAATTAGTACAGCGATCCCATGGTAATAACACTGCCCGATTTTTTAACATTAAAATAAATACACATTATTGTAGATTTAAGACTATGTATATCTCACAATCTCGTTGTTAAATAATGTAACTGCAAATCACATTTGTCCATTTATTTTTTATTTTTATAGTGTTTTCAAAACTATATAATGGCAACCCATCACAAAATTTATTAATAGCTTAGATATTATGCCAAACAGAGACGTGATTTAAGATATCCCATATAGTATGTGTATTATGATCACATAGATATTTCTCAAATATTCACATTCATTTACCTGCCGAAAGAAAGATAGATGTTGAGAAATTTTATTGCAACAAAGCAATAATGTTTTACTGAATATGAATTACTTATTCATTAATGTAGTCTCAATAATCCATAATAATTTTATGTGCTTTATTATTATTGTATTACTGTTATCGACTTTGTTTTTAAGATTATATATCAATATAGTTTGTTGCATGGTGAGACAACAGTCACTGGAAAAATTGTAAAAGGGTTATATAATGTGGTGCTATTAATAAGATTTGAGTGGCTGGAAACAGTGTATTTAATTTTGTCCTGATTTTAGAGCTTATTAATATATGTAACCTAATATAACTGCTGTAATTATCATTTATTAATTTTAAGACAGTTTATGTTTCCATTGATGGATGGCATAAAGTGAGAGGTTAGTTAAATATTGATTTACCAACCAATCACACTAACCGTTTTTCATTTTTTAGCTTGTATGAAAACTTATGTATTATAAATAGATTTGTGTTACTGAAGCTTAAGTTTCAGTCAAATATAACTGTGTTATTGAACATGATTTGTGAAAATTAAGAAAATACTGTAAATCGGACTGGAAAGCCAAAGTAAACAGTATTTTATAAGATATGTCTTTTATTTCAACTTCAAATTTTGTAGTGGGTTATGTTTTTCATTTATGGTATTATAATTGATAACAAGTGAGGACATTCAACAAACATAACACTAATGTCTATTGGGAAAACAAAATAAGCAATTTCATTTGAAAAAATTATATTGCATTTTTTACTTGCATCACTTTAGATTTAATTTCCACAGGGAATTTATCAATAGAATCATAAACGCAGCTTAAACAAAATAGTTTAGAATAAAATAAACTACACTCTTTACTAATACAAACAGTTTTTTTACATATTGCACAGTCTGCACCTAAAACTATTATTTCGCCTTTTCCAGGGGGACTAAAAGGGTCCTTCATCACATAACTTGAATACTTCAGAATCACATTGCGAGAAAACGGTGGAGTTGTGCCTTTATAATGTGCCTTTTCATTCAAATTGCATGAAGCACATTTGAAGTCATACTCCACTTGTGTGACTTCTTTGGCTTTTGATTCTGCCATTTTTACTGAAAAGAAAAACATGATAGGTGTTACTGTTAAATGCCTTAGTAGTATTTAAATTAAATTAAATGCTATATTGATTCCTTGCGCTTTAAATTTGTTAATAGGTACACTTAGATTTCCAAAATATTCTTAATTACCTATGTATACGAGGGTCAAACTGAAAGTTCTTAGAAAATCAAAAACTGATTACATTAGCCAGTTATTAGTTTTATTATATCTTTTCAAAATATTGTCCATTCACGTCAATACACCGCTGCATGCGATGGAACCACTGGGAAAAGCACTTTGCCCACTCGTCCTTAGGGGTCTCTTCAATGGCATCGCGATACGCAGCCACCGCTTCTTCAGCATTCATAAACCGCTTTCCTTTAAGTTTTTCTTTAATTTTTGGAAATAAATAAAAATCACAAGGCGCGAGGTCGGGGCTATACAGCGGGTGACCCAGTAATTCAACGTTTGATGTCGCCAAATAGTCGATCGTTCGCTTGGCGGTGTGCGACGAGGCGTTGTCGTGGTGAAGGAGGATCCTACTGCGAGGTCGTTTCTCTCGATCTTTTTCCAAGACAAGTGGCAAACAATTGGTAGTGTACCATTCTGCAGAAACTGTTTTTTGATCCTCTAACACAATTGTTGCAAAATGACCTATCCTTCCAAAGAACGAGGCCACCATTTTTTTTCCCGCACTTCGATCTCTCTTCACTTTAGTTGGCAACTCCTCGAAAGGAAACACCCACTGAGCAGATTGTCTTTTGGTTTTAGGATCATAACAGTAAATCCAGCTTTCGTCACCTGTTAGTATGTCGAACACAGCATTTGAGTCACCTCCGTTAAATCTTTCAATCATTTTACGACACCAATCCACACGATGGAGTTTTTGAGCCTCAGTCAAATTATGAGGTATCCACCGGGCGCAAAGCTTCCTGACCGCTAAATGTTCGTGGAGGATTTTGTGCACTTGACTCATACCGATGCCTAAGCTTGTCCGAATCTGTTGATAGGTCACTCTTTTGTCAGTCTCTATCATACGCCGCACAACACAGATGTTATCTTCAGTCGTCGCCGTAGAAGGCCGTCCCTCACGTAAATCATCAGTGAGATTAGTGCGACCACGTTTAAACTCATTAAACCAGTTGTAAACAGTCGCACGAGATGGGGCTTCATCGTGAAAGGCCAATCGTAGTCTATCATAACTTTCTTGTTGACTTAAATGACATCGAAAGTCATAAAAAATCATTGCACGAAAATTTTCTCGTGTTAAATTCATGATGACGTGACACAGACAATTTTCAATTTGCCGCCAAATCGTAAAACAAATGACAAATGAATGAAATATATACTCAGTAATATTGGCAAAGAGTTATATTTTCAAATTTTAGAATTATTTTTTTATTATATTGTTTATAAGTGGCCAGTTCTAAGAACTTTCAGTTTGACCCTCGTATATATATTATAACTAAGATAAATCAATATATAAAATACATACATATAGTTTTGCAGTTAGATTCAGTTCAGATTCAGTTGCAGTTAGAGTCATTTTTTGTAATAACTTTTTCTTTTGGAGCTTCAATAGGCCACCATGAAGGTTTCACAACTTCTGCAGTATAATTTCCAATTTGAACTAGTTTCGCATCAAGTGCCTCTTTAATTCTAATGAGACCTAACCCATATTCATTTAGAACTCCCTTTAGTTTTCCTATATTTGACTTAGGTTTATTACTAGCAGAAATTATAGAATCTTTTTCTAAGTTTTCTTTGAGTGGTTCATTAAACTTTAAGGGCATTATTCTCTTTCGAATAACACCTGTATGGTATACCCTCGCTGTCAATTCTTGGCCAATGTAACAACCTTTGTGAAAACTTACTCCATGTAAATAGTCACAGTTTACTTCTAAAGGAAATGTTGTTCCAGGAGGAAGATCCTCTGCTCCTTCACTAACTCCTAATTTGTATCTTAAATATTTATATCCAGTTTCATCATTTTCAACAATAATGTTGTGTGAAAACTTTTGTGCTATCTGTGAGCCATCCATGTTTATAGATGATATTATACGAAACCCAAGATCAACAACTCTTGGATCTTTGTATAGGCTAATTGAACTTTTAAGATCAATGTTCGTTTCAGGGGTGTCATTAGCTACAGTTAAATTCCACAATCGATAATCTTGACTAACATCTTCCAATACAACTTTACGCTTCAGTTTATAGAGCGTCAAATGTTTATATAGGACTTTGAAAACTTCTTTATCACATTCTATCATGAAAGATTCATTATCTTCCCATTTATGGATCAAAGTATCATATAGTACCCTACCTTTATTATTTAAAAACATAGCATACATTGACATCGCACCTTCTTCGAAATGACGCATATCGTTCGTGATGAGTCCTTGGAGGAATATAGGTGCATCATTTCCTCTAATTTTCAACAATTTCCTACTTTCTAAAGGATATAAAACACTTTTAGGGGGCTCGTTATGTAAAAGTCTTATAAACTGAATAAATAGATTACGACGAATTAATGTTTTATTTACCTGACAGTAAGGAATCATTTCTAGGCCACTTTCAGACTATTCACATCACCCGTTCTATCATAAATTACATTAATAACAAACTAAAAAATCCATCAAAATATCAATCGCACTGGTCGCTAACAGATTTTTTATAATATTGTAATCTCTGAGTCTGAGTCAAAGAGTACAGTAATAATACGGAAAAAGAGTGCCCTCTCGCGTGTATTTAGTGCCAATCAGAATTGAAGCGCCATCTGCATTACTTCCCCAAAAACTATTGCTATATAGGTATACCTATAGTAGGTATGTATTATAGTTATAGGATTCTTTCTTCGCGCCACTCGAAAAATACAAACTGTAAAGACTGTAGTAAAACTTTTAAAAGAAAATTGAGCATAATGAACAACTTTCTTTTAAAAGTTTTACTATGGTTTTTACAGTTTGTATTTTTCGAGCGACGATAACAAAAAGAGGACAAAAACTTGAAAAAGAAACGACATTGTTCACTTATTATAAGTTGTTTATTTCGATAAGTTAAACAAATGCATACAGCACATGATCAGCATAGTCATTCATAAAAAATACAAGTATACATTTTATTATTTTCTGTTTTTGTATTGTTTCCTCTTATTATAATATACTTGCGCTGTCAATTTGGTCTCGTCATCACCCTGGTAATTAATTCTTCCACTCAAAATTCTATTTACTGACTTGCACCAATTATAAATAATTAAATGTACAGTTGTTTTAACAAAATGTTAATAAAAACAATCAGTGTGATAAGAACAAGAACACACAGGAGGCAGTTACAAATAATTTTACAACAAAGTATATTTCCTGATATATTACTTTTGGTAAAAAAAAAATTTAACGTTATGTGAGTAATATTTTGCATATCACGGAAGCAATTTTCTAGTAGAGTACTTGGATAACATAACCAATTTTTATATTCTTTTGATTTTATAAATGTATTATGTAGGTTCTCTCCATTTTTATCTTGCGATATATTGCTGCATGCATTGCATTTCGCCTTTTTCAAATATTTTCTTAATGCCCATCCACATACATAGTTAATTTGACCGGCGTCACTATTCTCATTAGAGCCCATTATAATATTTTAATTAATAAATATTTCACTATCATTTTTGGGAATATCAGTAGTTTTTTAAATTTCCTGTTAAAAAAATTATGTTTTGTAGACATTGATTATAATCTGCCTCACAGTTTATTTTGAGTGAATGAGGCGTGTTGAAATATTTAATAGCAATGATTTATACGCTCCTTCAAATCCAACAGTGTTAGGAGCTATGTTTCTAACTCCTGATATTCCCAAAGAAGTTTTCAATGGGGTCTTGATTTAAATTGTTAGTCAACAAACAATCTAACCTATAGTTTTGATACAAAACCTTCCAAATTGCCTCCATGTTTTCAATTGTTTTTATAAAATTTTTGGATGAAGGAATTACACTTTCTGTTGCAATGACTTGACCAGCAATATTTTGTTTTTTTTTTTATGAATTTTACACTATGCAAAATTTTTTTTGCTCTAGTCCATAACTCGTGATGGGTGAGATTCGCTTTACCGGACCTTTATAAATTTTTCCATTGGGAATGTTTAGCGTGTTGATATTTAGACTGTCAAATAAATCATCAATTAATAATGTTATGTTCACCAGTTGACGACACTCTTCTTGCAAATCTCCTCGCGCCGTAAGGTGCTCAGCAACTACAGCAATACTGTGACTGAATACTTGTGTTGCTAATTTCACTCTCATTTTATTATTTTTTTCAGGATCAATGTGTTCCTCCGTTAGTTTATTTAATAATCTTAATTCTCCATAGCATTTATCTGCCGCATAAACTTTTTGGTAATATAATCAGCAACTGTAAAATAAAAAAGAAACCTTTTGTGTACTGTTTATAATAAAGGTCCATGATAATAGTTTTTAAAATTATTTACTATAACTGTTTAAATTAAATACCTTGTGGAGGTGCGTTCTTTTAGATCTGCTACACGAACTATAGTTATGTTCCCTGATGATATCTTCTACATAAGGGATGTACTGAGAGTCAACTGAAAATTAAAGATATATCTATATTATTAATACCAAAAAATAATCTATGTCTTCAACTAGTATTTGAGAACGAAATCAATTATTTATATCAGAAATGATTGTAGTATCTACTTCTATTTAGTAATTTTTTCTCGCTCTTACATTTTCCACAGAAAACTACTGACTATATATATGTTTAGTAGTATAACTTGTAGTCTTTAGTTGTATAACTATATAATCTTCATAAATTAGATTATAATCTTTGTATCAATTTTTAGAGATTATAATAAAATTGTAATTAAACATTGCTAAATATATAAAATAATGGTTATATTAATTACTTGGTATACAAATTAAACTTAATGAGAAAAAAAACTTTATTTGAGTGATATATAGAATGATGGTTATATTAACAAAAATTAAAACAGGTGAACTTTATATAAGTGCTAAATGAATTGTTTTTAGGCGTCTTGAATATTATATATGTTGATATAAAAAAAAATGAATATTACTTAATACAAGTCTTATTTTAAACAAAATTCGACCTCCGTAGGCGAGTGGTTCGCACGCCGGTTTCAAGGTGTCGCCATCTCTGAGGTCCCGGGTTCGTTTCCCGGTCGGGTCAATGTAGAAAATGAACTTTTCTTTATTGACTCGGGTCTGGGTGTTGTGGTACCTTCGTTGTCTCAGATACTCCATAATACGGGGGCTTTAGCTACTCATCTTGGAATCTGAGCAATGTATGTGATGTTGTTAAATATTTATTTATTTATATATTCATTCACCTCCACCTAATATAAGATCACACTGAGCTAATTAAATGTCTTGTTAATGTCAGTCAGTAAATGTCAATAGTCATTATTTCAAATGTACATTTTATAATAATAAAATTATTGATATGAAATTATATAAAAAGTTATTATAATAATTAAGCATACCCAGTATACTAGTGTGTATTAATAATTATTTATTTACCTGAAGAGGACATTTGGGAAGATTGCAATTTATCATGAGATTGGTTGCCATACTTTGAAGAATACAAACTTTCCTCTGTCATTGTTGGAAACAAACCTGTAATAAAAATGAACAATTATGTAATTTCTTCCATAAAAAATAGATTATTAAAATCTTTATTTTAAATTTAATTCAAATTTATAGTTCCAAGTTAAATTTACCTGAACTTCTTGACAATTGACTATTTTCTTCATTAGGAGCAACTGGGAGCTCCTCAAGAATTCCCCTTGAACCTGGAAATTATAAAAATACTCTTTTGAGTTTTACTAAAACAATAACTATACATGTCACTGGTTGGTTGGATATGTAATGGTTATTGGTGGTAATTTTTATATACAGTAGAAATTAGAAAACATCATGTGATTGATCAATATATTAAATTGAATCATTACAAATCTAGCTGTGCTCGTGACTTTTAGGAAAGTGTATGTATAGAATTTAGTAATATTATAATTTGTCCTGTTACTATTACTAAGCCAACATAGATTTGGAGTTTTTTTTTTGTTTTGTTTATTTGGGTCAACAAACAGTTTTACAATAGCATTCCAATTTATGATATGATGTACACAGTTTTATAATTGCAAAAGCAACGTTAACTACAAGTTACTATGAGTAGTTGAAAGTTGCATATGTTATCAGCTTAAACACTTACTAAGAAAAATGAACACTACACAAACAAAACTGTTACAAATATGATAATATATATTACTTTATGATGATATGGCATTGCAATTTAGTTCACTTATTCTTTCTTAACTAACTCTTTGAATTTTGTTTTGTTTAAATTGAATATGTCGATTTCATGTAAACCATTGTTATAAAATTTTGCTACTCAATGCACTGGAGATCTCTTGCCTGTATTTGTACAAAATTTAAATATAGCAAACAGTTAGTGTTTACGCAGGGAGCTCGTTTGCGCCCGCTTAGGTACTAAATAATTAATTTTATTTATTAATTCAGTACAGTCATACTCACTGTGACATATATTAAATAAGCCAACCGCTTTCAGGTATTGCCGTCTAGATTTTAAATCTGTCAATCGGGGCCATACTAATTAATGTTCACATGACACACAAGCACATCTGCACCTATATGGAGTTTGTCAAAACATAGCCCATCCTTTTTTTATTCCCATTGTTTCATAATGTTTGTTTCATTACACATTTTTATGTTATTCCCAAGATTTGTGCCTAAGCGATTTCTAAACTTTTACTGTATTTCAAAATAAACATACATACCCTGTTAATGCACTGATGGGACAGCCAAAGCATTCAAACGTCTAAAACGACTTGTATGTCTGTCTATAAAATGAATATCGCAAACTTTTTCTTTTTGTTTCCAGTTTTCCACCAACCAATGTAACCCAAGCTTTGAAACATTCAGGAAACTTCAGGGTTTGGGAATGAGTGCATAGTGACATCTGAAACAGGAAGTCATGGCAATATTATAGACATTAAAGATATAGTCATTATATAGTTATTATCTCATTCTTTCCACTTTATACGGTGTGTTATAGAAACTTATTGGTTATTTTTGTTTCGTTAGTGTGTTGATAAGAAAATAAGAAGGAAAATAAATAATTGATAACCTCATTGTTAAAGTCTAGATTTTAAATCTGTCAATCGGGGCCATACTAATTAATGTTCACATGACACACAAGCACATCTGCACCTATATGGAGTTTGTCAAAACATAGCCCATCCTTTTTTTATTCCCATTGTTTCATAATGTTTGTTTCATTACACATTTTTATGTTATTCCTAAGATTTGTGCCTAAAGCGATTTCTAAACTTTTACTGTATTTCAAAATAAACATACATACCCTGTTAATTCTCTGATGGGACAGCCAAAGCATTCAAACGTCTAAAACGACTTGTATGTCTGTGTATAAAATGAATATCGCAAACTTTTTCCTTCTGTTTCCAGTTTTCCACCAACCAATGTAACCCAAGCTTTGAAACGTTCAGGAAACTTCAGGTTTTGGGAATGAGTGCATAGTGACATCTGAAACAGGAAGTCATGGCAATATTATAGACATTAAAGATATAGCCATTATATAGTTATTATCTCATTCTTTCCACTTTATACGGTGTGTTATAGAAACTTATTGGTTATTTTTGTTTCGTTAGTGTGTTGATAAGAAGGAAAATAAATAATTGATAACCTCATTGTTAAAGTCAATTAAAAACATGATGTGAGTTAGCTGCATTGAAGTTTAATAGATTATTATTATGCTTACCACTAGGTGTCGTCCGAAAGAACAAAGTCGGGGCATTACGACAATAATAATCTTAACACAAAACAAACTTAAATAAGCGTCCTGTCGCGATAAAGTTCTGAAACTACAGAAATCCACAGCACAAATACACGGTAAGGTGGAGAAGAATAAATCTCAACTCGACACACTTAACTTGAGGTTTTGTAGCCACTAGAACAAAATGACGAAGACAAAATACAAATATATGAACGCAAGAGCACAGTAATCGCCATATTGATTTTGACAAATTGATCCAAATAAGTAAAAAATTTCGTCTTTTCGAGAGTGCGTGTAGCGTCATCTAGTATTGTTTATGCACACCTGGTAGTACTCATAATAGTTTTGGGGAAATAAAATGGATGTCGCTACTATCTTTGCAAAATTATGGCTACTAAGGGAGTGTCCCCCCCGTGGTCTGAGTCGAATGGTCGAATGTCAAGGTATTGTGAGCTGTCACTGTCAGTGGATCAGTTGAAGGGATGGGCACAGAGACAGCATCATATAAAATATCGATTCCACTAGATGTCATCAAATGTCTTCTGATAACTATTAACAGTTTAAAAAAACCTTTTCTATTTACAATAAAGTCTCCACCACACAGCTGCATTATTATCGGTTCATAAAGCGCGGTTAAAAATTCAGAGTAAAATAATTTTAATGATTAACTGAATGCTTAACGATAAACATGCTTTTCTATATATCCCAAAAGACACGACACGTTCCCGAGTCGTCGTTAAGGTATACAGTTATTACGATTGGAACAATACAATATATCTGTAATTTATACGTAGAAATCTTTGAAGTTAGGTGTCGATGCTACTACCGGTTATTTTGAAAATAAATAGAAATGTGCTAGTTTAGCCCACTCATTGATACACTATACGGAATGATTGAATAACATATTTATTTTAAGTTCTTACTTTATGCTCTCTAGAGGGCACTGTTGCCAATTTAATGAAACGTCATATAGTCTATAGAACGCAGAAAACTATGAAGTTTCTAATGATACTTCATTTGTCCCGTTACCATGACTAGTTTTTAAGTTGTAAGAGAAAAGATGAACATTCTTACATACATAGAAACCGCCCAAAATCATAACCCTCCTTTTCGCGTCGCCATAGTCGTATAAAAATACTGTATTTTTAACATTTAGGACGTTGTTAGCTTATTAAGTTTGTTCCTTCTTAATAGCATATATTTTCAAATGGAAAAATAAATAAAACAAGATTTGGATTTGTTACTTTTTATCTTCACATGAAATTAGAACGACGTTTTTTATAAAACAATATTTATAGAAATAAAGAATTATATATATAATTAACATAAAAATATGTAACATTTTCATGAGAGAAATGCGTAGTATTCACTATTTTAGCAGAAGTGGCTAAAATGTTTAAAAATTAATAATTTTAAGTATACTGCCTACCTAATAAGATCAATACTTACTTAAAAAGCAGATATTTTTCTATCTTTAAATCTATCTTAAAATGCTAACAAGGTGTAGGTATGCCACACAATTTTATGAAGTGAAACAGATAGTATAGTAACCATACCACTGGTCTGGCTACCACATGTCATATTCTCATGATCATGGCTCATGCAGAGCGCTTGAAAAAAAGTTAATATGGGGTCAGATTAAGTAATATCTTTGTTAAGAAAATTGGTTTCCTGAAATCATATCCCTCAAGAGAGGGTATTGGTGGGTAGGTCTCCAAGAAAGGAGAAGATTCCTACACATTTTTCTAAGGATCACCCGGTGGCAGGAATAGTGTGTAAAGTATTTCCCCGATGCTTTAAAAAAAGAGGGAGGTTTTTTTAACAATACCTACTGAAAAATCATCAATCAAGCCGCCTCTCTTGAGGCGTGTAAGTCATTTCTATTAGGTCGGTATTTTCAGTTTTCTTTATTGGAGTGGTCATTAGGGAGGTTGGCGCGGAATCTTGTTGTTGATATGCAGATACTGTTGGCAATTCCGTGATGCTGGTAGGCTCGGACTTCATAGATGTTGCCTCCTGATGCGATGGAGACTCGAGTGGCGAGCGTCTCATACGTCTGCTATCGGACTTGCTCAGGTGTGGTGTAATTTTCTATGAAGATGAATATCGGAAATTTTAGTAAGTAGAAAATGGATTTATTATTCATATAGACACAATTACAGGAAGAATCCTCATTGATTTACGTGTTAGCGATGTATGTCGCCGCTGAGCAATGTATGTGTCGTTATATTATGTATTTCCAAGTGAACGAAAATATATAGGTGTTGGTGAAAATCTTATAAAGTAATTTAAGGCACATTATCTTACTCCTTGCGGATCTTTGATGAGGTAAACTCCGGTTTTCTTGACATTAAAGTCTGGTGCAGTCAAGCACCTAGCGAGGAGTAGTGCTGCGACGCATGTCCACGAAGCCCACACCGCTGCGCTTGCAGCCCGAACGCTCGCCGCGCGCGCACCCATACCCCATGTTGTATTCCAGTTGTTGTATAAATATGGCTCCACGGACGAACAACTGGATAATCACATTTTTAAACGATTTATATAACTCTTGGTATGAAAAATGATATTAGTATCGAACGACCGCCTAACTCTCTAGCTTTGATTCTAGCTATAGCTCTAAAACATTTTATCGTTATTATCAATGAATTAGTTGATATTCTTTTTGAAATGTTTCTTTTTTAATTTATATAAGTATTTAATTAAAAATTGGTTTGCTTTTTTTTGGAAATAGCTTTTTCGGTCTGTCTGATTTCAACATTTTGTAAATTTAGTCTAACTTTAGTAATGCAGCAAACTTAAATAACCAAAGGCATTGATTTAATAAGTAAATAATAAAACAATAAAATTGTATAAGAATATTAACATATTCATTGAAATAATCAATAGAACGTTCTTATAGCTATGGCTAGAGTTATAGCGAGATCGCTAGGCGGTCGAATGCCTGGATGATAATTATATGAAATGACCTACGGATGGATAGGGAGCAAAATCAGTTTGTACAGTCAACAGCACGTCAGCCTATACAAAACTGTCAAAATTTTCCATTTGATTTTAAACTTTCTCACATTGTAGGCACAGTTCAGAATCAATTCAGGAAAATTGACATGATGTGGTAAGCTGAACTGTAACCAATTATATTTTACTAATCGTATGCTGTAAATTATTTACAACCAGTCAGCGCAGTCATCCAGAGCCAGAAACACATAAAATTTGCTTAGAATAGCTTCCTCTATGATAACGATATTTTTGTAAGAACTAAAAAAAAGAAAGTGGCAAAATAGTTACCTCCATTATATTAGGGTATAACCGGCCCCCAAGCAACAATTTCATATTCAAAATGACAGCGCATGACATAATTATAATGAATTTTAGAACAGAATTACAATAAATGTATGAATATTGCAGAAATTGTTTCAAGTTCCGCTGATTCCATTGCCTAATCTATTAAGGTAAACTTGTCGTCATCATTCTCATTTTCCCAAGAAGCAATCATCAAATGTTATTTCTTCAGAACATCAATCAAGGCATATTTGATTATATTGCTGTGTTTCTAAATTGCATTTCTGATCTACATAAGGACAACTCATTATATTTATGATAAAATTTTTCTAAATCACAAAATTTCCGATACTAACGTGTACACAAAGTATTTATTTCTCAATAAGAATTAAAAGAACTATATCACTTCCAAAACTTCCCATATTTCGGAAGTTTTCAGGTAAACTTCCTGAAACTTTCCTAAAAACTTCCAATGTCCCCGAAACTTTCGGCAATTTTCAACACTAAACCTTGTGTACAAAAGAATCAAGTTTTTCTAGTGAATTTAAAATATTTTACATTACGAAATTAGTTACATAAAACTATTTTCATTGCATTTATTTCGCTTTTTCGTTTTTGATGAAACTACTTTCGCGCAACTAATTTCACGTGGTTTTACATTGGCGTAACAAAAACTAGTGTCGCGAGACCATTTGCGTACAGTGCAGTAAAGTTTCGATGTTGATGCTATTATGAAAGTACTTTCACATGTGCTGATATTAGTTTCGTGAAACTTGTTCCTAGTTTCAATCAACTACTTTCGTAAATTCGGTTTTATGTATTAAAAAAAAATGTATTAAAAAAATAGGTAGAATAGTCAATAGTCATAGGTTCTCTGTCACTGTTCTTCCTATTTTTTCAATTCTGCTTATGTTTACGTAATAATCGCATCTCAATATAATCTCAACTACTTGCATTGTTCAATCTTATTATAATCTTTATGCATTAAAATAAATTATTTTTATAGTTTGACTCGTAAATGTGGAAATAAATTAATATGAAATTGTTAAATTGCACTTTTTAACCGTATGAAGAAAAAATATTTTTCCGTAATAGATGAAACGAAAACGTAGCAAACCGTCACTGTAGGGTTAGAATCGCATTAGGGCAACCTTTGAAAATATTTATTAGCCTCCAATCAGCCTCACAATTTTTATCCTGGCTTTATTTTAAAACTTAATTACACTATATGAAATAATAAAAAAATAGCTACATTTTGAGATATATCGTATCACTCTAGACGCGTTAATAAAATTTTTAAGTCAGAATTCGACATGATTCTTTTCTTTATAATATACATAAGTAGCTACTCGGCGGCGAAAAACTCGGGGGCGAAACACGTGTAGAGTGGTAATTTTGCGAGATTTGTTGCCGTTTGTACATGTGAATTTGTGTGGGGGCGGTACATAGCAGGTTTGAGGATAATGTAGTGTGGAAGTTGCTAAATATCATAGTTTAGAGTAATGAACTTTCGCAAATAACGCTTGATTTTATTAAATACTAACGTAGTTGAGTTGGTAACGTTGACGAAAGCAGCGCAGAACTCATGCAGTCCACCGTTGGTGCGAGCGAAACTGTGACCGGTCAACGCCACTAGTACCAGGGCAAATAGTAATGCCGGCGTGAGGATTCTCCATGGTTGCTTTAGACTAGAAGAAAAAATAAAGACATTTATTGACCACACAATATATGAGTCTTAATTTCGGATTGGGTTTTATGTTACACTTTTTATACGCATTATTAGGACAGGAAATGAAGATTCAATCCGTAAATAAAGTCTTAGACAAATTTGGAACTCCAGAAGTTTTTTGCTAGTTTACACGGTAATATAAAATAATGTCTAATATACATCTGCGGCTATAAATTGTCCATTTCAAAATAATTATAATATCGGGTATTAGACGTGATTTTACAATGACCAGCGCCGACGTTTCGCCCGGGTTGCACCGGCCGTGGTCACGTGGTCAAGAAATCGCGTCTAATACCCGGTATTATTATAAGTAATATATTTAATAATGCAGTGCGATAGTTTAAAAGTGAATATTTCAAAATAATTTAAAATATATATGTTACGCGTATTGCATTCTAGCCATATAAATATCTAAATATATATAACTCAAAGGTTGACTGACATAGTGATCTATCAACACACAGCCCAAACCACTGGACGGATCGGGCTGAAATTTGGCATGCAGGTATATGTTATGACGTAGGCATCCGCTAAGAAAGAATTTTGATCAATTCTACCCCCAAGGGGATAAAATAGGGAATGAACGTTTGTACGAAATTTTGTCAATATTAAACCGATCGGGCTGAGACTGTATGCATATAGCTACTATCACGTGGCATCCCCTAAGAAAGGATATTGATAAATTCCACCCCTACGGGGATAAAATAGAGGATGTAACTTAATTTTAGGTATTTTACAGGATACAATGAATAAATATTCGTTAGAAATTCTGCTCAAAGTAACTTTACCACGCGGACGAAGTCGCGGGCAAAAGCTAGTTTATTATAAAGCTGAGGAGTTTGCTTGTTCGTTTGAACCCTTTTATCTCAGGAACAACTGGAACAAATAGTTTTTTTTTGTTTTGTGTTGAATATTCCATTTATCGAGGAAGGCTATATAACAGCACGATATATGACTAATAAAAGTAAAACAGCAATTAGAAATGTTACAAAAACGGGAGGATATTTTACTTTTTCAGAGTTTTCCTTGCATACGCTGAGTAAACAGTGAAATTTAAGCTAAAATCATCTATTACAAAATGATCCCTATTAAAAGTTCTAAAAAACAGTCATTTTTAAATGGTTGTGGTCTTTATTGCTTTCTGATTTTATCCCACAAAGTCACTTTAATTTTCAATTTTTCGGTTCCATAGTCAACAAGGAATCCTTATAGTTTAGTCAGTCTGCGATTCAACTCAGAAACGATTTGCATTATAAAGGTGTAATTTAGCATGAGTTTACACTTATATCAAGCCGATAAAGTGGTAACAAACTTTTTTCGGTACATCCCTTGCATGTAATTTAATTGAAAAAGAAAAAATGTTTTCTTATCTCCCCATAAGGTGGGGTATAATAGGTCTTTCAAAAATATGAGTGGTGTTGGAGGACTGTTTTTCGATTAAGTTAATCATTCGTGACTTATAAAGCTTCAAAGTGTCAATTTTCGTTACAGTCAAATGTCCCGCCCTTGCCGCTCTACCTAATAAATGGTTGTTGTTAGAAACTATCTTACTTAAGTTGACAAGTTTAAAATTTACAAGTAATAGTTAACCAAATGTATATACAAATACGTGTAATAGTTGAACAACTCCTTTGAAAATAACAAACGTGTTTTTTTGCGTTTTTTATGGATAATGGTACGGGACCCTTCGTGCACGAGTCCGAGTTGCGCTTGCCCGGTTTTTTCAAAAATATATTTTAATGGAGAACTATTCATCGGACAGCAAAATAATATATGGGTGACTATTAACGTGATAGGTACTTTAGTACAAAACAAAGGAGCGTTAAATTGCGAAAAATGTAAAAACTACCGATAATTATGAATGACTTAAAATCAAATAATATTTGAAATGAGCTACTAAAATTTTTAATTTAAAATAGCAACAAAAATCCAAAGTATTAGAGTTAAATAATAAATTGGGCAAAATCCAAAGTATTAATGTTAAATTATTTTGATAATCGTTCGATACCTAGAAATTAAAGAGATGGCAGAATATGTTTTAGCGAAATTTAATTTGGCGTCACACATTAAATCTCTGAAAAAGTTTAAATGAGAAAGTAAGAACAAGCTGCTAAGAGGATCCAACTCTTAAAATGAAAGAAAGCCTTTATTTGAAAGTAAGAATACACAGTAGTCAAATATATAGAGCAAAACAAAATGACGGCCTAATTGTTAAACGGATTCAATACACAACACAACTTCTATTTCAAAGAATATATATGTTTGTATATTTTTGCAATGTGAGTCAAGCGACGATTCTACTGCGCACTAAAATGAAAAGAAGAACTACTGGACTATTCTATGAAGATATGCGTGTTATCCACACAGACACTGATAGATTTTTTTTTTTATTTGGTTCCATCTATTGGGCAGGCCTATGCCCGAGCAGTGAGGACGCTGATAAGCTAATGATGGTGATATAAAGGTGGATGCTTACTGGATTTTAATTAAGATTAGCTTTAAACTCCAGTATAGCAGGCCATTGTGCACATAGCACCCTCGGTCACGTGGGTGAAGGGGGGTGTTACAGCTAGTTTAGATATATGAGCCTTTACTCTTTTTTATTTTTATATGTTGCGGGTGCCAGTGTGAGGGGGGCCCAAAATCATTTTTATATAATACCTACTTACAGTTTGAAAAATGGAGCGTAAGGGGGGCGGGGTGGCATAAAGTCCCTTAGAGGATTTTGAATTGGAATGGCTAATGGTTCGATACGGGGGGCTCTGTGGGGCATGCGGGGTTACGATATCTTGGTGCAGGGTATGTAAGACGGGACAGGTCGGTGTGTTGGAATGTAGCTGGGGCTGAGGGCAAAAGAGTGGGTATGCCATCGGCGTTTGACTAACCTTCGGGCGGGTCCGTGTAGATGGAGTTCCACACAATTGAACCTTCAAAAAAATGAATGTTGATCAATAAGTTTCTATTTAGTAAACTCACCCAGATCTTGGTCTGCCGCCACCGGGACACATGGTGAAAAATGTGATCCAAACCAATGCACACATGGTTGCCATTATCGGCATATACTCAGCGAACTGACACTCGCTATCCAAAGCGAAAAGCGTTCTTGTCGTATCTAGCACCAATCGATGTGTCTTATTCCCTGAAGAGTGTAGTTTAGTTTATATGTTATTAATAGTCAAATATTAAATAAGGTAGTGTCGCCTAAGATTGATAATAATTATACAAGTGAAATCTATTCAAGGGATTGGCCCTTTTAAAACAGGGGTTTCTCATGCGGTACTACCTTATTTAAGATTAAAAGTTAATAAAACAAATAAGCATATCATTTAAAAAATATCATAAAATTATGTTGCTAGGTAACTCATCCAATTATATATAATTCCTTTTTCGTAACAACCACTAACGTCAATGGATACGATAAATATATATATTTTTTGACGATGTATTTATTTCATAATTTACAAATTACTACTGGGATTAATCTATGAAAACCACACTGAATGTTAGTGAATTTGGAAAAATTGTTAGTGAGAGTATCGAAATAACGAAAAACACTCAATTTAATTTTGAAAATAAGAATGACAAACGTTTTGTTATTGTCCTTTTACGACCGTGTATCAGTTTTGCAGCGAATATAGTAATAGATGGATCACCAGACTGTGGTCGCAGGTGTCCTAAGAAAAATAAAAATCATCAAAAATAATCTTACTAAAATCGATGTCGTTTGAAAGATTTTTTTTTTATTGTATTAACTATTTGTGTGATAATAAAAAGAAATTAATAAATTCTCCTTTACCCAACCAGATCGGGTTGAAAATAAAAATGGTGGCGAACGTCAGCAGCCTTCAAGTACGGAGAGATATTACCATTCTATTTCCGACTTGCATTGTGATTTATCTTTGTTACTAAAAGTATCCAATGCATTTGCGATTGATTAATTCGTATATCGTTCGTGAGAATGCCTATTTAAAAAAAAACTGATTTTGATGCTGCAGTTGTTACTACATTCGGTCTGCAATGGTGGAAGTCTACCAACTTTAGCAAAGGATGGGTGTCAAATCTAATATTGTTTTGAGTTCTTCCCGATTCGAGAGGTACATTGACCGTTTGACTGCATAGACCTATTTCAATTGGGAGTCCGCAAGGTGGACATTGGCTTGTCCTACGTTTCTTTCCATAAGAAAAAGTAGTAACAGCACAAGATGTAACTGACTTACGTATAAATGCCCGAAATTAACTACTCCATTAGAATAAATGGTTAATATTTTCAAATTATATATTGAAGTATGCCTCTACGCTCTTTTTGGAGTGCAATGTGGGCTTAATAAGGCTGATAGAGAGCTATAAACTTCTTTTTGTGATAATTCTAATTTCGTTACATTATAAAGATGAAGTTTTCTTAATGAAAAATTCTTAAAAAATCCACTATGTCCCTGGTACTCTGAGATGAGATTCGAACTCATGAACTTTCAAAATTCGGGCGACTGCTCTAACTACTGAGCTTCGTTACATTATTTAAGACAATAATTTGAAACTTACCTGTTACTATAGTCACGTTTCCGATTTCTATCGTTGTTTCAAAACTTTCCATTGTTTCATTATCAACAATTGTTTCCCTTTTCGATAGTAACTTCTCTGTTGAGTTGTCATGGAGGGTTTCTTGAGCAACCGTTTCATTTGGCGCAAGATTCTTATGAGAATTTTCCTTAGAAATATCTTCGTAATTGTTCATAAACTCTAATATAATCGTAGTGTTTGCATTTGTTTGGTCCACCATGTGGAAATCTAATAGACGAGGGAACAGTACGCAGTTATTGTCGACCAACTGCATTGCATTTTGTAGTAATACATAGTTTACTACTCCAAAGATGGCAGCCAAGGAGAAGAGTATCAGATGCCATACTGTAACAAGAATTGATGTTCCCAATTAGCAAATTACCAGACAGGCAAAAAACAAGATCTAAGAACTTCAAACTTATCACTATGATATTATTAGAAAAAATATTTTTCATAACAAAAGAGTAGTAGTATTATAAGTAGATTTTAGAATGGTAGTAAATAGAAAAGACCAAGATTGTAATTTCTTCCTTACTACCAACGATGGTTTCTAAGGGGGTAGGGGGAAGTTAAAAATGGGTCAAGTTTCCATGAAGTTTCCAATGAAACCATAGTTTTATGCATTTTTTTATAATTTTAGACTAAATATTTTCGCCTGTTTACTTTAATAATATTAAAAGTTTTTACTTTTACTTATTCCTAAAAGTGGTTTCATGCTTAAATTTTATATATAACGTTTGGAATCAGTATTAAGTTTATATTGATTTACATAAACGTAGACGTGTTTAAATTCTCTTTGGCGTATACGAAAGGACTATCGCTATTATACTGCCTTCCTTAGCCTAATCTGCAGTAACAGTAAAATTTGTGTTTTCGAGTCTTATACCGTCTGATAGCTCAATTCAAACACTGCAAGCTCGACTTGCTTATTTTTATCTACGGCCTGTAATAGTGTTTTATTTTTGTTTCTTTTAAAATCAAGTTGCCAAATTTGTAAATTTATCTGAAAATATGCTAAAATTACCACCTAATACTCAGTACCAATTTTGATTAACTTACTGCATTTTAGTTAGTTAATGTAATAACAAAACTGTTTAATAAGCAATAACAGATCATTTTACTGCATTTTAAATAGTTTAATTAAAAGATTAAGCAAAAATCTGGAAATAGTAATAGGGGTTAAAAAATTATACTGACTATAATTAATTTATCTGTCATGTTTTCAACTTAAAATTGGTGAATTACGAGTATTTTAGTGTTCTGACTTTTCTTACACTTTGCATTCAAAATTTGATCGTAATCAATGATTTGTTAAAGATATATAACATATAGACTTCACGCACGTTTTTCTCGGTTTCTTGTTTTTGTTATTACTGCGGTTTTGGCTTGGGACGGCAGCATACTTATGGAATATTCTATAAGAGATTTATTTTGGTGTTTTAAGTATGGAACAATCTAAATGAATACTTATTTAGTACAGTCAGTAGTACATTACATTAATTATACAAATTATCCCACTTCATTTTAAACCTTAATGATTTATGATCAGAGTTTAAAATCAACTGGAGATTAACATATTGTGGAAACCAGACGTGCAGGCGTGTGTACCTAAGTATAAAGCTTCGAGGCCACAATATAACTTCTAATAAAATATCTCTAAGATAATCTTTTCTTACGAGAGATTTACTTCTGCAATTTGTTGGAATAGCAACGTATAGTTAACACATGTCGGCAAACCTAATTCTGTCCCTTTTATTATGAGCAAATCAAAAATAGCTTTTGATGTTTCAACATATTTACTAGAAGTTACACGGTGAATGACCTCGTTTGTTATATAAATATTTTATATCTACTACATGAACTTCTGATTGCAGGAATCATGCCAAAATTATATATGTCATTTACGTAATATAAAACATGAAGGGTAAGGTGATAGTGCTCGCAATGCAATTCTTGTTCTATTTTAGTCTTATGAATCAATCGATTCATAATACACACTAGAACATAAATGTATCTATTGCTCATTTTTTGTTTCACGAGTTAATCATAGAACTGAAATAGTTTTTCGCTACATAGTTAGCAAAAATAAGCTCTACACATGTTCGATTACCTATGCCGTATAGTGGTCAGGTGATTCTTAGCAACGATCCGGACACTTTGGGATTCCTTGCTAGTTACCAAGGCCCGAGTCACGGGAGAGGGTAATACGGAGGGTTTCACCAGGTAGACAAAAGCACTGCAGCTGCACTGGACCGCCGTACATTACAGTTGGAGGTTCAGTCGGCCTCTAGTCCAGGTCGATAAAATATTAAGGTCAGTTCCCTTCGGTATAAAAAAGTTTATTCTAACCTTCATACATGAAACAGAATCTGTATTAGCACCTCGTTCTTGTCTCAATTAACGTCTTACCTACCCATTATTTCACATGACTGATGAATGCAAAAACAGGATCTATCAATAAGTTACGTATGGACAATAGGTATGAACCATCATAAAGTAGTCCGAAAGCCCAAAATAGTCTCTCAATTATAGACACAGACTAAGAAGAAGATACTAGGATTATGGCGTTTTACACTGATCTTTGAAATCCGCTTGCGCGGTGCAGGCGATCTCTGTTCCTCGCTTTCATTGGTCGTTCCATAGAGTAAGTAAGGAGCTACCGTTAGTGGATCATTGTTTTATGAACTAAAGAGTATGATCCCTTCTTTCCTAACTACTCTATTATAAGGTACAACTTTAGTAGCCGAATAAACTACAGGAAGTGGTATTGTTAATATTGGATAACACCTAAAACTACGTTATATTAGTGTGGGTGTGGAAGCAATTAACGTATTATTCCTAAGTGTTCGACCATTTGCGTCCTCGAGAGAATTATAATAACTTATTTAGTGTTCACTAGAGACAGACCTACTAATATTTTTAACTAGCCATCACAGCAAAAGCCAGCCCAGTTAGGTTGGGAGGAAAGTAATGTTTTTATTGTATTTTCCCTTCAAACATTTTCGCTCCATTAGAACATGCTTCGGATTATATATAAAAAAATGAGCTTAGCCATATTGGTCGACTTGTTTTTAAGTTTTGCGAAACAAAAGATAGATTACGACAATTCAACGGAAAATTACAAATGCGAATTATTACTAACAATAAAAATAGAAAACTATTTAGGGGGACTATAAAGTGTCAAAAAAGCTTCCATTTTGTTCCATATAAGTCGTAAACATCGATAATGGAAACAAAGTTTTATCTGATGTGGTTAGGTACTTGATTTTACTAGGGGTTAGGTACTACTTTAGGGTTTCTCAAAGAGAGTAATGGAACACTGTAGGATCAGACACAGTTTGATGAAATAAAGTGAGCAATTTTTACTACCCAATATGTAGATTAAAGTTAAAAGAACTCTATGAATATAAAACAACAAACGTTTACAAAATGTAGTTACAATATCTTAAATGTAATATCCTGCTTATTTTGCAATCAGCATTGTGTGTATAATTGTATGTTATCCTCAAAGTATTATTATCAACTAATTATCGCTTAAATACATAAAACTACACGATAGCATTTAGGTAGGTAAAATATAAAAATAATTAATTTAACGATTGATTAAGTAGAATATTATATTTGATCAATTTTCTATTCAAAATTGCTATACTGGAAAATACACTTAATGAAAAATGTTTAAAAAATCTTATCTCAGAGTAACGAATGCTACAGAGACCAAGTGGATTTTTAAGCATTTTTCAATAAGAATAAATAGAATATTTCATTATCTACTGTATTTTAGGCGTCAGTGAGTAAAATTTATTATCTCTGCCTATATTCCGCCCTAGGAAATAGTTTGATGTTGTACTCATATACGTTACAACAATAATAATTTACGGTAGCTAATGAAATAGATTGCCTTTGGAAATATTTTCGCCATCTCTGAGGTCCCGGGTTCGATTCCCGGTTGGGTCAATGTAGAAAATGAACTTTTCTATATTGTGTCGGGTCTGGGTGTTGTGTTACTTTCGCTGTCTCAGATACTCCATAATACGGGGGCTTTGACTACTCATCTTGGAATCTGAACAATGTATGTGATATTGTGTTATATTTATTTATTTATTGTTGTAGATGTATTCCTTCATATTACTAAATATACATATGTATATTTATGCAAAAACGAGTATGCCTATAACAATGTCTCACGTGTGTATTAAAAATGTACGAGCAAGCCTGAAAAATGTGGATAGGAAAAAAAGAATTAAAATTTATATCCTAAAACTAAAAGTTCCTATTATGACATAGTCTCTCTTTTCGCTGATATATCGATTTGAAATAGTATTATTATATCAATGCAATTTTTTTTTTTTAGAAAAAGCTTAAATTCTAAATTATATTAGTTGTTAATAAATTGACGATGTTAGAGTATAATTGTAAGTTGATAATAGCATAGAGCTAAGTGAGAAAACCAAATGTATTTTCCAAAAATATTTTCAGTTAAGAAATTAAATTTGAAAGTTGACTGCTCAATTATTTAATATCGTTGTTCTTGTATCGGTTACCTATTTTCTATTTAAGTGGTTTATATCTAAAACTATTTCATATAGTATACCAACCTTTCCAAGCTCTTAGATGTCTAGCGGCACGCTCCTCCAACTCTCGGTAATCGTAAAGTAGAACTGTCATGATTTTGTTTCACTTCATTTTTATCTGAAAAAAATAATATAATTCTAATAATTTACTACTACTACCGTTTTATGAGGTGTTGTTTCTTCGAAATCGTCTATTTTCAAAACGCTAATATAACTCCAAAGAAACCCATTATCGAAAAATGGAATGGAAATGCTAAAATCTATGATGTGACTGAGGCAGGATCTAGGACTTTCTCTGATGCAAAGATAATTTCCCCGGATATGATTTAAAAAAAATATCAGACTATTAGAAATTTTCAGAAACTTTGTTCTTGGACCAACAAAGACAAAGACCTCCATTTACAATGTCCATCGATTGATTTTAAATTAATTCCTATTCTCCAATATCATTTGGGTGCGTACATTAATATTTTATACGGTCTGACCTGAAATAGTCGTTATAGAAAGCAATTTGAGTCTGATCGATGCTACAAGTGCGTGTTTTAATACCCATTGGGACGAACTTGTAATTTCAGGGCAGGTGGTGTTCTAACCAATTACTCTGAAATGTGTATCGATCATCGCTTCTATATTAACTAATCTAACGGTTAATAACATGCTCATGTTTTATACCATCATCACCTCCAAGTCAGATTTTGAAAATGTAACTATTCTTTGGGCACTTCTGGACAGGAATTTCAAACCTTTTACTATGCGAGTAAATGCTCTTCTAATTAAGTCATGAGACCTTTTTTAACTGAAGGGCACTGGCCTTAACACTTGATTTTGATTTCTTAAACTCAAAAACTCAAACTCAAGAGGATAAGGTAGTATAAGACTACATAAATTCGAGTCCATTATTTTAGTTACTTATCTGTAGAATGATCTAATTTGCCCGGAATAATGTAAAATTAGGGAAATATCTAATGTGCCTAATTTTTTATGTCAAAGATGGTGGCAAAGAAATTCATGGAAAATCCTACTGTAGTTTTTAATCATGTCGTTCTAAAAACATGTCGATAAGAAACAACGGTATCTAAATTAGGCCATCCATTTCTATAAACTGGCAAAAAGCCAGCGTTTGGAACTATACCTTGATTATGCCTTTGGTTGGTGGTCGAGTAGAATGTGAATTGCTACCATCACACAGTTCAATCCTTAGACTAAAACAGCCCATAAAACCGAAGAACATCGAATATATTAATTAGACCAAAAATTTGTCTTTATCGAAAATTTAAAATGTTGATAAAAATATTTCTTTCGGCTGTTTGGGTGGATTGCCTGAACATTATTGATCTTTTTGACTTTTTTTGCGAAAAAGTAAAAAGTGCTTGAAAAATTCATCAGTCAGTAGCTTCGTTGTTAGAGCGGTCGCCCTAGAGGATTGCGAAAGGTCATAGGTTCGGACCCCATCTCAGTGTACCATGGGCAAAGTGGATTTTAACATATGCTTAACTCTCACTTTTTAAAATTCTTCTCTTATTTGAATATTATAGTTCGTATTTCAAACTGTAAAGGGTAAGCTTAGAAGTTATTGTTTTAACTTTACTTTAAAATTATCATAGAGACATAGAGTATGCTGGTTCAACCGTTGCGTGGCTTGTAGGTTTTCAGATTTAGATTTTAAGAAAATGTTCATTATGTTAAGCAGCCGTTAAATCTTAAAAAACTACTTTTCGTTTATTAGTTATCATGATTTTGAACAACAGCTACAACTTGTCTTTTGTAACGTTTACAATTAGTATAATATTACGATATTTGTGGTATAATAGCATACTATTTGTGTAGCTTGCTTAAAAGGTTATTTTGGAAACTTCTTAAAATATACTGATGCAAACGCTGTGCAATCTTAACGTAAAATAAATGGATTTTTATTTAGTTAATGTGACTATATGGCATATGGTATTTTATAAACAAAATCATATGATTTCTTTTTTTTTTGAAGTTCATAATAACAAATTCCAATATTTGATTTACTAATCATGCTAATCAAATTACTGTCACATTTCAAACATCTATTCCACAAATTGAAGAAACACGAACGGAAAAATACAACAATTGATACGCAGAAAAGAGCAATCTATAAAAAGGCCTATGTGCAATGTTAGGCAAATAAATCTTTATAGAAAAGAGGAGATGCTCTGAACGTCTGTAGTGAATTATTACAAAATGTTACTTTTTAATTTAACATTAAATAATTTATCTTCTTGCAAGCGGATATCCATAGCCAATAAGGCTAAAAACTTTGAAAAACATACCTTTTATTAGATTGTTCTTCAATGCATCCAATTTCGAAATTCCTAACTTTGAATACATTTTTTATAAGTATGTATAATTTACGAATATTTTTTTATATAAAATATGACGTTTAGCATAAGTACCTACCTACTTAATGACATTAATATTTTCAATAATAGTTTGATTAGCCATGCCACAGTCTCGTAATCTTGTTAGCTACGATGACGTAATGTGCTCATTTTATATTCGGTTTTTTATAGCCATCGCGGGCTGGCTGCGTAATGCATTGTTTACTCCTTTGAAACGTGTCGTCATGCACCACGGTCTCACGGGCACGGTACACATTTTATTAAGGCTGTTTTTCATTTAGATTGTTATAAGGAAAGATAGTTTGAAAGATTCAGAAAATCCTATTATCCTAAGGTTTTACCGTCTGAGTACGAAGTTGTACTCATGATCTCACTTCAAAACAAGTTTCTTGATTTGTTAACTTTGTTATTAGCTACGTTTCTGTAGCTATGAATGATTGAATTTATAAAGAAGTATTTTTTTCTAGAATTAAATATTTTCGTGTTATTTTTTAGTTATTAATTAATTTCAAGTTAAAAATTAACCTTACGAAGTTGTGGACCGCATTAGAAATAATTCTATCAAATTAAAAAATTATTGTCACGAAAATAACTTCATGTTGTTTCTTTTTATTTATTTGCGTTACTTTGCAATCTTTATGATCTTAAATTCAAATCAGATCCGAGTTACATAACTCTAATCTTGCATGTGATGGATAATAGAGTTTCTTATTTCAATTTCTATTGTTATCAATAATTGCAACCGATTTATCGGGAAGTCAATGAATGTTTTTAATATACTGTTTTCCTTCTTTATTTACAATTGACAAATTGTATGTTTATCATATCGCAGGCGAAGTGTAGTTGGTCGCGGCGGCATCTTCAGTCGTTGGGACTCACTAATCTGCACTCATCAGTGCAGTGGTAGTTATGGAACAATTCCCTATATGATCCTACTCATATCCATTCTAGGGCTCAACCAGCAGTGGGGTATTAATAGGTTGAGGATGATTATCATCATGATATTACTGTGAAATACTGCTGTAATAATCTAAGAAAGTGCTTGCGTAATTTTGTCGTATGTTTTAGAGAATTGTGATTGGCACCATATATTTTAATTTATTAAAAATGAAATTTTTAAAAACTGACTGTTCATTTTAGGGTTCCATAGTAACAAGGAACTCTTAGAGTTTTGCCATGTCCCTTTGTCCGTCCGTCCGTCCGTTCGCGATTTAGCTCAAAAACTGTTAGTATTAGAAAATTGTAATTTGGCATGAGCATACACGTCAATTACGCCGACAAAGTGGTAAAGTAAAATTTCGAAAAAACTTTTTTTTTGATATATGACCCTACACGTAAAGAGGGGATGATATTTTTTTCATCTTCGCCATAGTGCGGGGCATCGTTGGAAAGGTCTTCCAAAAAAAAATTAGGTGTGACCAGGCCGCTTTTCGATTTAGTACACCATTTGTGACTTATTAACTTTTAAAGAGCAAATTCTTTATTATTATAATTTAATTCGTTTGAGTTTGGTGTTCCTCTTTTTTAAGACTCCTAAAATATTATTACTTATTTTTTTAATAGAGTATATTATAACCAACTGACAACTGTTAAAATGTTTATGTTATGTTATGTTATGTTATGTTATGTTGCGGTACGGGACCTTATATAGCAGTTTTTTTTAATTTTTATTTATTATAACATTATGAGGATCATGTTCTGTCTCCAGTTTGCAGTCGTCCGATTTACCATTGCAGGCGTCTATGAGACGCCGCCGGTGACGACCTGTGGCGACCTCAAGTCCCGTCCTCGCAACGCCAAGGAGGTTCCTTTTAGGTCAAGGTCATGTCACAAGGATAAAAAGAATGACATGTTAAAAGAAAAGCTCACAGTTGGTCCAGAATCTATGGGCCAACTGTAAGGTTTTCTTGTAACATGTTATCTTTTAGAGTAAAATTGGTTTTCATTTATATTACCTTTTGTTCTTTTATAACTTGTTCGCTAAATCATAAAACAAATATTTGCGATTAGAGATTAGTGTCTAATTTGTGAGCGTCTTATAAAAATGTTAGCTAAATGATTATTTTTTAAATTAACATTTAATGTATAGGTATGAACCTAATAACAAATTTTAAGAATGCATCGTTTTTTTAAGAGATCTGTCGTCAAGTCATTAAAAATACAAAAAAAAAAGAAATACATCTCTACATTCGAATTAATTTTATTTATATAGATAATTACTTAAAAGACATTTAAAAACTCATAGCTTTTTTAGCCATATTTTTTAATAAACAATTATTCAATAATTGAAATTGAGGAAACAAAAATTCATTCCATGTAGATAATGTACTTACCTATATCAGTAAAATCATAAAACATTTAGGCACTCGATGATACCGTTCGTGTGGTCACATTTTCATTGATAAAAACTAAATTTATTAATATTAAATGCGCACATTGATATTAGACATCGCGTTATTTTTTTCACGTCTCACGCCTTATAAAACATGGAGTGTACTACTATCATGCTGTTTTAATACTCTACATCGCAAACCGACCAAGATAACCGGCTGACTCTACGGCGCATTCTGTTTCGTGCACGGTCGGAAAACCGAGCGAGTGTGAAAGAGAAAATACGAAAACATTCAACAAAATCCTAAGTAAGAACAAATACGACTGTATGTATGACCGGTTCTATTTCAATAATCCAAAGCTTTTCAACAGTGTTTACGTGACGTAACCGCATGATGTCATGGTAACGCGCTTGTGACGCCGCCATTTTGATATTCCCAATCTCCTGAATTGGCGGGATGCTTAAATTCCTTCCTGCGAGTAACTTTAGTAGAACGTTTGCTAAATATTATCCGGGCACATAATTAATACAATACAATAAATATTACACAAAATCACATACATTCCTCAGATTCCAAGATGAGTAGCTAAAATACTCGTATTATGGAATAGGTATCTGATATAACGAAGATAGCACAAGACTGATAACCGACACAATAGCATAAAACTTTATTTTATAAATTAACCAGACCGAGAATTGAACCCTTAGAGCTAACACACTGAAACTTTGAGCCATTCAGCTACAGACGGAGACCTTCGTTTACGTTGAGCTCTACATATTTTATTAATTTACTACACTGATTTGTTTCGTTACACTACATTTAGCAAAATAAATTATTAGGTGAGAACGCATTATAACATTCTTATAAATACAGATAATATAATCTGTTATCTCTACATTTAGAGAAAATTACTACCAAATTCATGAAGCTTGCCTGTGTCTTTCTAACAAGAGTATGAAATGAAATTCACATTAAGCTTAATCATATAAGGTACTTACTACGTTAAAACTTAATTTTTATTGTAATAAGTGTCTCTGTTATAACGACATAGGCAAGCTTACTTACTTGATTTAAAATCTCTATAACTATGTGATTTATCGGCTTACTTTTTTATTTCCCGCAACGCCTTGGTAAGCTAGATAAGACCTCTAGTAGAGATAAACCTGCCATTGGACTAGCTCCTTGCAGGATCTGCGTTGGGAGGATAAACACTAACTCATGTGTTTAGAATTAAATGAAGTAATATTTTTTCTTTCTAGTCCGCAAAGACGTTTCTTTGTTGATATTGCCTGCCTTAGTATACAGATAAGATACGCAACAAATATGCTAAGTAGATAAATAACTTAGTTTTTAAGTAAAAAATAGCCTAAGCTTACATTTAAAGGTAAGGTAAGATTGAAATTACATTTGAGATACGATAGTAACGTAATATGAGAATGCGGTTAATAAAGCTTCATCCGACAACTTGCCTACAATAAGGTTTTTAATATTTTGTCAAAATATCGATATAAATTTTAATATCCGCCGTATCGCGGTAGTCACGAAGTGAACACCTGTGACTTGTAGTTTTCCATTTATCTGTTCGATTCTTGATCAGGCCGATGTAGAAAACGAATTTTCCTAATTGATATTGGTAGTTTGGTAATGTTTAATCCTTTCGATATTTGAACTCTTAAACTTTGATGTGGTCTGAGATATATAATTATACTAAAATGAATATTAATGAAAAAACACAATTGTAAACAACTGGTGGTTAACTACGAAAACAGAATCGCGATAATTGCATTATATTCACCCAGAAATATAAGGTCAATTACGAAATGATAACAAGAAAAATAAATGTTATTATGTGATTAATGCGTGTATTTTTTCGGAATACCTATAGGCTACTGCTGAAGTCGACAAATGATAAAACTGGGCGGAAAATTGTATTTTTACACGTGAGAAATTACCATTTCTCACGTGTAAAAATAAAAACCTATAATATTGTTTGCTGTAGAAACAGTCAACAGCACGCCACGTTATACAAATCTGCATTTCTCTTTGCATCTGCATTTGAGGATAGAGTCTAAAATCAACTGGGGAAATTTGAAATATTGTGGTAACGATAATAGACAAACTACATACTTGTTTTAAGTGTCTTTATTCAGGAAATTTTGTAAATCAAATCATAGATATCAAGTTTCCTTCCTTGCACCTTGTTTGGTGCATCCCTCTGGATAAAAGATCGAATAAAATGAACACCATTAATGAAAACGTGAAGCAAGATCGTTCACGGTATGACCATAAAAAAAAATATCTCGAGCTTCGTAAGGCACGTCAAGCTGTTGGTCCCGGCTGATTTTGCTTTCGTTAATACCCCTAATCCACTTTGGACTAGCGTGGAGGTTATGGCATATCCTCCTTAGCCATAAGGAAGCCATGACCCGTAAAATGATGCCGTAAAAGGCTGAGGTTCTATACAAAATATATAGTATATTTCAAAGCTACATGAGATCATTAAAAGAAACCGAATTAGCAATAATAGAAACAATGAAACTAACTCGATTATAAGAATTATTTTAAAAAGCGACTTCTAAATTATAATAACTCAAAAAATTATTTTAAGAAAATAAAATTGACTTCTAATAATATGAATAGCCCGACTTCGATAAAAAATTCTTCAGTTATTTTTAATGTTTATTGTGCCTTTTTAAGTCTCTTTTATTTTCTGACTCCAAAAAAATTGTTATCAAATGAAAGTTCAATTGCGTCTATGTTGAAATGAAAAGAAAACACCAAACATGTTTTTTATAAAATTTATTTCAGATTACAAAGTGTGTTGTATTTGGACCCATTTAAAAGGGCGGGCACAAATGTACCGATTATTGTTAAAAAAACGTAGTATTACAAATGTTCCAGTTAATTTCTTTTAGTTATTGTTTTGCAGTAAAATTCTATTAAAAACTATTTGTAATATAAATGGCAGATCATTTTTTTATATAAAATTTGGCATTTATAATACTTTGTAAACATGTGAAATAAAAGGTAATTATTTCAGAAATTAAAAATAGCAAGTTTACTTATTATTGCACTTTAGTTTCAATGTATGTTTCTTTATTTTTAGTGGTACTTATCTAAATTGAATTATCTTATTTTGTAAAAAAATAATATCTTTACATACTTTTTAATGAAGGCCTTAGATAAAAATGGTTTACATTTTCTTTTCGTAAAATAATGGCCATGGAAAGTGTTTAATAGTTAGACTATACATTTACTAATTTTATTGTTTACTATAAGGTAATAGTCACATGCAATTGAATCGATTATAGCAACATTGTAGTTGTTATTTCTCACTTTGAATAGCTAATTACAAACTTCATGGTCGTTTATTGTCGAGCAGCGCTTAACTCCTAAGCTGCGACTCTAGTCATAGCTATAAGTATGATGTTAAACATATCTCATTCTCTAAAACTACATTTATTTTATCTACGAATGTGTAAATATTCTTTAAAAGAATAATGTTTATTATTTTTATTAACATATTTAGCAATGATTTTATTGTTTTGGTTTTAGGAATTAATTCAGTTTCAAAAATATATGATTATAAAAGTGCATGTTGCTATCTAAGATATTTACTGATAAAATCAATAAAACGTTTATAACTATAGCTACAGAGTTAGCGGTCGGTTTGCAGGTGGCTCTATTATTAACTTATCAGTGTATCTACATATAATAAGTGTAGTGTTTAATCATTTATACTGCACTATTCATAAGCGTGTATGTTATATTGGTTACATTTCGGTTAAATAATAATAATAATATCTTAACAAATTAGTTATAAACATTTTAACACTCGTATAGTCGAGATAAGAAATTACTTTAAAAAATATCATACATAAATTAAACAAATAGACGAGAAATGAAGTAAGAACTGAATTTAAATTCTCGTTTAATATTAAAATTCTAGTTTAAAATAAAAATATTATAGCTTAAGTTATGATATTTTCCCTAGTAATTACTTCTCTCGACTATAGATACGAGTGTAAAAGCACCTTTCATTTAAACAATTAAGTCGGAATAGAAATTATGAAAACTCATCTTATTTTCTTTGTTTTATTTACCGAATAAAAGAAAAGATCCCTCTGTACTTATTTGCATACAAATAATATTCATTTTTCATTGGTATTACATAACAAAGTTTTCCATCTTTTTCCAAAAATATCATAATACATATGATTTTTACTTATATATACTCCGGGGTCCAAGTACTTGGTATCAGCTGTAAAAATATCTGTAACTAATTGTTAGCAACCCATATATCTTAAATATAGGTAATTTTCTTCGCTCTGGACCATCTCACCACTAAATCCTTACCTTGGAGACCAGTTTAGACAAATGATTTTTCATCTGACAACTGGGGGTCAGTTGGGAGCAATATTTTCAAGTAAGGATCTTAATAACTTATGAAATACCAACCTATCATTAACTATTGCACTAACTACATGTACGCGTGCTTTATTTGACTGAGTTGGGGTGATGTTAAGAATGGTGTATATCGTCCAGTCACTTCGTGTCGCGGGACAAGCTATAATTAGTACTGCCTGTCCTTATCTTCGTAATATAAGCTACATAAATTATTCAACTTATTTCTATATTATATACTAAATACAATTTCAGGTTCATATAAAAATCTATCGTTAGTCAACAGAATTTATTTCAACTTGAATCATTCTGGATATCAAGTCGATGAATACTTTGTAAACAGTCTTTTCCATATAAAAAGTCCTTAAATGTGTCAGCAGAAGACATAAGGCCTGACACAAATGGGGCATCTGTCAGATGCTGCCAAACACCTTCTTAGGCAATCTGCGTGGAAGAAGTGTGCGCATGGCGTGACACGTGCCGATCGCATTGTGCCAAGACAGACAGCGCATACGTCTTCAAGTGTGGCGAGTTCTTCTGGCGTCGCGCGTCTGAAACGTGCAAGTGATCCCCGCGCCTCTTTTAATTTCAAAAGCGCTTCTCCCAAGCGATGTCGCCCATGGACAAAAACGCATAAGTAGAGTACTAGCGTGGCCATTCGCCATCGCTCATACCACGCCAGCGCTGGCACCAAGGGCACCGCAAGCGCTGTCGTAATCCCACGAGCCCAAACTCCAAAATAAATCGCCTCCATACCCTCTAACCTTTCCAGTTTAAGACCTGCCAACCCTACTGGCCCTAGTTCTAGGAATGTTTTCTCAGAGAGAAAGTAATAAATGCCAGTGATTATTGTGTATAAAGCATTAGGTCTGTAATGCTCCAAACCTTGTTCTAGTCCGAGTGTGAGGAGAATAAAGGTGATGGTTACTATAAAAGTGACCGCTTTAGTCCACTCGAGGACTATCTTGGTGGCTGACATGGCGAGGTGTTTGACACGTGAGTGGCGAGTCACGTTCACGTAAGGGGACCAGTCTTCTTTGGTACAAATTTCACGCACGTAACTAACGGAGTATGTTACCACATTATAGAACATCAGCGAGTACAGCGACGTCAGTCTGCCTTGCGAGACCAAAAGACGATCACAAGCGGTGAATATTAGCAACTGAAAAAAAAAAAATGAGAACTTCAGAAAGTCTCCCCGTGCTCCTTGTTCTATTACAATATGTTGAAATTATTCGTATAGTTAGCCACGAATAATTTCAACTTATTGTAATAGAACAATAACATAGGGGTCAAAAACTAAAATTAACTTAAAAAAAAAATTAAATGTTAATATACAAGATAACTAGGAAGGCAGTTAACAGAGTCAGGAAACTACTTCTGAAGACGCTTATAGTGTTTTGATAAAAAAACTAATATTATTTTCAAAAAAATCACATTTACAATATTTTCAGTTAATCGTCTTTCAGTTATAGTTATTTCATTATGAATTTTTTTTAGTATAGCATTGTGCATGCAAATTTGATCAAATATAATAAAAAAAAACTAATGTATAAAACTTATTTAATGTTTAAATGTAATTTTTCAGTTTTGTGAAAAGACTGAGTCCCAAATTCCGTCAACCGATCAATTTGAGAATATACACTTTAAGTGTACAAAAAAGGTTTCAATTGTGCTCATAAAACAAAATTTTTCTAGACTTTTCCAGATCCCATCTTCAGATCCTAACCGGATTACTATGGGACCACTCGGGAAGTATAATACCCTTTCAAATAAAAGATTAATCCTCTAAATTGTTTCAAGTAATAAATACAACTAAAAGATGTCTATTCGAATTAAAAAAAGATTTTTGTATAAATTTGAAAACTTATATGTTAGTAAAATATTTTACTATACAATAATACCTGAGACAGCATAGTGGATAAGTTATTCATTTGTAGGAAAAACTTTTCGACGCGATCTAGCGGAGCGTATGCAGCTTTCACTACTCGCAATACTTTCCTCACTGGGGCACGCATACGTCGTGCTGATTCTGAAATAAAAATTTACCATTTTCAACCACTCATTCAAACTTAAAATGTATTTTATTTATTTAAAAAAATATATCAAATTATGAGGTCGACTAGCAATTTCTTAGCCTTCATAGATAAAGCACCGAAATATGCTAAGGTATTCTTCATTGACTTTAGAGTATGGTAATTGTAATTCATTTCCATTCTGTAAAATGGTTTGAATTCAATCGATGATACATTTTTCTCTAAGGTAGTCAGATGGAGTGCGGAACCTTAAAAATAAGCTGGTACTATTGTATCGATTCGCTCCTGAACTTAGTAACGAAGCCTTCCAACGATCACAGCTTGTCAAATCATATTGTCCATTTCATTGTTTCCGTTTCATTAGAGTTTCGTTTTATTTGCATAATATTGTTTTGTATTCTTTTTGCAAAATAAATTGACGATTCATTCAATATGTGAACAGTTCTTTAAAACTATTTTTTATTAATTTTTCATCAACAACATCATTCGTAGTTTTGAGGAGCTCCATGGCGCAGTGTCTTGGCTTCATTTTTGGACAAGCCGTCCGTAGGATGGATGATCAAACATTTATTACCTTTATTTATTTATAAGTCCTCCGTGCTTCGAAAGATACGTCGGAAGGTTAAGTCGTTGGTCTTAGCTGCCGTAGTTGTTAACGTCCACCAATACGTACTTGGTCTTTATGGTGGGTTATGGCCCGTTTTTTCTATTTGATTCTATCCAGACGCGGTATGCAAAGAATTGTTTTTCAATACGATCTGTTTATCTACTGTCAACGGAATACATATCAACAGATAGCTAGGGAGCTACTTATCAACCGATTTCATAAAGAGTTACCGAATGCATACTCTCATTCGTTCATATCCATTAATTTAACGTGAATGCTGTCAATTTAAAGGGAATGTTATAACTTTAATATAATGTAATGTGAGTAATGTTAATGTTATGGCATGTAATACTTGTGAAGACTATTCTAAATTATGCTTCGAGTGAAATTGTAAATTCTAAGAAATAAATAAATAAATAATACAGTCCAAAAAAAATAATTTTATTACGCTATAATTGACGTTTGCTGAACCTGTTTCTCCATCTTGAATCATAGCAAATTTATAAGCAATTAGGTAAGTACCTCGTTAAATAAATTCCTTTTCACTGTGGCGAATAATTAATTTGCTAATTTGTAATGATGGCATATTCATTTCGATTTTGTCTATAAAATAGTTAGACGCTTGTTTTGCTTTTACCATCGCGTAAGCATCTTATTAGATTAAAAAATAAGTTATGAATAATGCCTTATATTGCATAGTGCTATCCCGATTATTTTGCTAGATGTCATCGCTCTCACTGTTCGAGCTTTTTTGAGTTAGTGAAGAAGTATATAAGTCCACCCCTGCCTAAGGGTAGCCAGTTCAGAGCAAGGCTCCTCCAGAAAACATCTAGTTCTCTACTAAGAAGACTCTGGTAAGTGTAAATTGATAATAGTATAATACTACTCTGTTCATGATATAATTTTCTTAAATACTCGTATATTCAAATAGGTATAATAAATAGTTAGCGTTTAAACTTATTTTTTAAAAGTATCTAATTATTTGAGATGTCATCATTTTGTCTTGAGACAAACCTAAACTAAAAATTACATAGGAATAAAATCCAAATAAACTAAACTATATAATAAATCAAAATAATTTATTTTTTATTAAAAATAAACTTTTGTCTGACGAACAATTTTGTATACGTAAATCAAAGTAACAAACTAAAATGGCCAGCAAAATAAAAGATTGTAATAAGAGGAAAGATTTGATTGTTTGTTTGCATTCAATAGACTCCAAAGCTACTAACTATTTAACTACCTACCGGAAGCTACATGGTACGCTGGTGATATATGCTAAATTACCCGGGCGAAGTCACGGGAAAATAGATATAAATAAAATTGCCACTGAAGCGTTTGGGGTTGTAGATGGGGGGTGAGAAGCACCCCCAGGCTTCATGTATAAAGAATAAAACTAATAATAAAGTTTAACAATCTTTATTTTTGTTTTCAGGGGGTAGGTTAAGATATTCGCTCGTTATGGTTCTTGTTTCTATAATTACGAGGGGAGGACTTAGCTTAGCCGTGTAGTACCGGTATAGAATTGTACTACCCTTTTCATCCCGTGGGTGTCGTAAGAGGCGACTAAGGGAAATTTAACCCAAGAAGATGGGCAGCAGCGTCTTCTTGTGCGGGCCACAGAACCGGACCATACTGCGATCGCCAACCCGCTTGCCCAGCGTGGCGATTATGGGCATATCCCCCAAATGCGAAAGCACAAAAGGCCACGGCCCCTAGTTCCCGGCGGCCTCGCTATTCCTGGTCATGGTGGCGACCATGGTAACGGCAAGGCAGGGGGTGCTAAGAATCTCCGGGCTACGGGAGGCCACCACAACCGACTGACCCTGGCGACGTACAACGGACGCACGCTACGGCTTGACTCGCATCTGGCTCAACTTGAGGTGGAGCTTGGAAAGATTAGGTGGCACATATTGGGATTGTGTGAAGTCCGAAGAGAGGGGGAGGATACCATAACCCTCGAATCAGGCCACCTAATGTACTTTCGCGAGGGAGACCAACAATCCCAAGGTGGCGTTGGGTTTCTTGTCAATAAGTCCCTTTCTGACAACGTTGTAGAAATTTCCAGTGTGTCGAACAGGGTAGCGTACCTGATTGTAAAGCTCACTGAGAGGTATAGCCTCAAGGTTGTTCAAGTGTACGCACCGACCTCGACACACTCGGACGATGAAGTGGAGAATATGTACGATGATATATCGAGGGCACTCCACTTCACTACTAAGACCCACTACAGCGTTGTTGTGGGGGACTTTAACGCTAAAGTGGGAGTACAAAATTGCGGCGAATCGGTAGTAGGATCCCATGGATTTGGAAGCAGGAATAATAGGGGGCAAATGCTCGTTAACTTCCTCGAACGGGAGGGGCTCTTCCTTATGAACTCGTTCTTTAGAAACAGCCCCAAAGGAAGTGGACGTGGCAAAGCCCCGACAATGTGACAAAAAATGAGATCGACTTCATTATAGCGGACAAAAAACACGTATTCAGAGATGTCTCCGTGATCAATAGGTTTAATACCGGCAGCGATCACCGACTTGTCCGAGGCTCTCTGAATATCGACTTCAAAGCTGAACGTGTCCGCTTGATGAAGGCCAGGCTCCGACCTACTCCACTCCAAACCATGATGGAATCTGAAACGTTCAAGTCAAATCTTGAGAACCGATTCGCTGCCATGGAACCCACAATTGACGTTGACGAGAACCTTGAAAATGTGGTTCGAATACTCAGGGAAGAAGGTACGAAATTTTGTAACATGCAGCGTAAGGGCGGGAAGTCTAAGCTCTCGGATAGAACTTTGGGCGTTATGAAGGAACGACGTGAAAACCCACCTGTCACTTCGTCAGGAAAACGTGCTCAAAACCAGGAGATCAGCAAACGCGTACGATATGACCTCCGGTGCTCCAACACTCACGCTATAGAAAGAGCGATCGAGCAAAACAGGGGGTCAAAAGTATTCGTACAATCTCTTGGAAGAAGCCACTTGACGAAGTTGACCACAGCAAGCGGGGAAGTCGTTGCTTCGAAGCCAGCGGTCCTCTCAGAGGTGGAAAATTTCTATGCCCGGTTATACGCTTCGCATGCACCTCGACCTGATCCCGGAAATGAGGATTCTAGAGCCACATTAACACGCCACTACACCGAAGATCTGCCAGAAGTCAGCATTGGCGAAATCGAGATCGCTCTGAGACAGCTTAAAAATGGAAAAGCCCCTGGAGAGGATGGCATTACAACCGAATTATTAAAAGCAGGAGGTAAACCAGTACTGAAGGAGCTCCAAAAGCTTTTTAATGCAGTCCTCTTCGAAGGGAGAACTCCGCAGGCGTGGAGTAGGAGTGTAGTCGTCCTGTTCTTCAAAAAGGGAGACAAAACCCTGCTGAAGAACTATCGACCCATTTCCCTTCTAAGCCACGTCTATAAGCTGTTTTCTAGAGTAGTCACGAACCGTCTTGCGCAAAGACTTGACGAATTCCAACCACCGGAGCAGGCTGGGTTTCGGAGTGGATACGGCACCATAGACCACATCCACACAGTGCGGCAGATTATACAGAAGACTGAAGAGTATAATCAGCCCCTGTGTCTAGCATTTGTGGACTATGAGAAGGCCTTTGACTCGATTGAGATCTGGTCCGTTCTGGAGTCCCTGCAGCGATGCCAAGTCGATTGGCGATACATCCAAGTGATAAGATGTATTTATGAGCCGCCACCATGACCGTCCAAGTACAGAATCAGCAGACAAGTCCTATACCGTTGCATCGAGGAGTGAGACAAGGAGACGTTATGTCTCCGAAATTGTTTACTAATGCAATGGAGGATATGTTTAAGACGCTGAACTGGAAAGGACGTGGCATCAACATCAATGGCGAGTACATCTCTCACTTGAGATTTGCTGACGACATCGTCATCATGGCAGAAAATCTGCAGGACCTACAACAGATGCTGAATGACCTGGCTGACTCTTCTATGCGCATCGGCCTACGGATGAACTTGGATAAAACCAAGGTCATGTTTAACGAACACGTACTACCGGAACCGATTGCAGTATGCGGTGCCGTTCTCGAAATTGTTCCAAAATATGTATACCTCGGGCAAACATTGCAGTTAGGTAGAAACAACTTCGAGAGCGAGGTAAATGGAAGAGTTCGGCTAGGTTGGGCAGCGTTTGGAAAACTACGTCAGGTCTTCACATCGTCGATCCCGCAGTGCCTAAAGACGAAAGTCTTTAATCAGTGCGTCCTACCCGTTATGACATACGGAGCCGAAACGTGGACACTGACGGCACGGCTGGTCCACAAATTGAAGGTCGCTCAGCGGGCTATGGAAAGGGCTATGCTCGGCGTTTCTCTGCGGGATCGAATAAAAAATGAGGTGATCCGGCAGAGAACCAAGGTTATCGACATAGCTCACCGGATTAGCAAGCTGAAGTGGCAGTGGGCTGGCCATATTAGCCGCAGAACCGATAACCGTTGGAGTAAACGAGTTCTTGAGTGGAGACCGCGTCTCGGCAAACGTAGTGTAGGACGTCCTCAGGCGCGGTGGAGTGATGATTTGCGCAAGATGGCTGGCACGAGCTGGATGCGAACAGCCGAAAATAGAAGTAGATGGCGTGCAATTGGGGAGGCCTATGTCCAGCAGTGGACGAATATGGGCTGATGATGAAAATTGTTATAAAGAAAATAAATATGTTACTCAAATATCAACGCTTTGTAGCTGAGGATTTTTAATAAAAAAAAAATTACAAGAATTGTGCGTGTGATATACTAATATTACAAAGTGGTAATTTTTTTTACTTTGTTTGTGGAAATACTGATCTGATCAGAAAAAATTCCATTACCTTCATCATATGCGGTTGACATCTATAAATCGTGGGAAAACATCTACAATAGTTAATAATCTTTATACTTCTCTGTTTCACTTCAATGAATCTGTTGATTTCGTCTCGTATTTTCTAAGTACGATTAAGAAATTACAAAAAAAACAATTTAGCTTTTCTATAATATTGCCGACTATTGGCTTTTTTGTGTCTTTTATTTATAAAATCGAGGTTCTTAATTTAGACATCAACGAGAAATGTGAAGAGAGGCATAGCAAGCATAGAACGTGTCCAATGTTTATAAAAAAGATTTCAGTTACAAATTACAGAATCTAAAAAAGAATGTGACTTTAAAATATAGTATAATCAACTCATTCAACACATTATGTTTTTCCATAGAATTATTTGTGTACTCATAATTGGCAATTCAATCAATAACAATTATTAATCTAATATGTTCTATTGGAATAATAATTACCTATGATAACATCAATCCCTCTATAATTTAAAACGTAATAAACAAACTATTTACAATGTTATGAATACGCAGCGGTATGTTTCATTCGACCGAAAACAAAATGAGTCTCTATTTTAGAATGTCTGCATCAAAACAAGTTGATTTCTTCTGTTGATTTTACGTTCAGTCATGATGATATGATTGTATGTTTTCACTGTAAACATTATAAATGGAAATCTGTAATTCAATTAATTTTCTCTTTGAAAATTGTGATTGCTTTTTCAAGTTTTGTATTCAAGAAGTTCTTTTAAGGTTAATTAATGTATGTATTTACTCGTTCTAAACAAGAAAAGTTCAAGTAAACAAAGCAAGACGCATTGAGAATTACCTACGCAATGAATTTCACTCAACTGTCGAAGCATGTTGTTTTCGTCTAAATATTGTTGGGATGGCGAAATTAAAAATGTTAGGAGGTGTGTTGTGGATACTGGCTTGTCTGTGTCATATCAGACGTAGAAAAGAAAAGTGTTTGACGCACATCTATTGGCCACACGCCAGTTTCCGCCCGCCCATTCAGGTCCACATCGACAATGACCCGACTTCCATACGAATATTTTAGACAATTTTATAAATAAACAAAGTACGATACCACCACATGATAACGGCCGGAAATGTTTTTCTAAGTAAACTACAAGATTGTTGCGTTTGATTGTATGAATCGTCTGAGAGAATTATATATCTCTCTTAGATTATTAATTCCAAAATAAAAAACTAATCGTGCTAATATTGCCGACGACAATTTTGTAATTGCAGGATCTGAGACTTCGATAAGTTTTTAACTTTATAAATCTTTCTTCGGCTAGAAAATAGATTTCGAAAGATTCGGATTCGGAAAAATCTTGGAAATAAGGTATTTTAAGGGAGATCTCCCTTAAAATTTAATGTATCATTAAGATAAATTTAGAAATTGCGATCATTGAATCATCATTATTCGCCACAAATACATATACAGTGCATTTTTAATATGAGGAAAATTGGGCTATGACTAATCGTGGTCCGTGACTCATGAAGTGAGATGAAAAATTGTTGTTCTGAAATCTTTGGAATCTAGGGCATAATTTATCCTGAAGTCACCGAGACATGGGCGGACGACGGGCGGCATTATTATTTCGTTAACGTAAATAACTGATGACCAACAGACGTCCTATCAAATCCTATAGAAATAACACTTAATGTCTGCCAATTCTCCGATATACCAGAAGATTTTCCGATTTTGTACTCTGTTAGTAAGTAAAAACGTAAAAGGATCCAGCCAAATGTCTTTCTCAAGAAGTGTAGCGTCAATTTTCATTTTTGTAATCATTTTAACTAACATTGAGTTACCAAATATAAATTTTATTAGCAAGAGTACTAAACAGAATTGTATTTGAGTATCAATTATTTTTAATTTTACTATAAGTACTAACTACAAACCGAAGGTAAGTTTTATCGTAGTAATAACAACCGTAGCCGTTGCGTAGCATGTAATTTTTTTCATAGTACGTGCTACAATTTGATACTCTGCGATATAAATTTACCAGCTTTGCAGCGTCGAATATATATTTATGACTTTTAATTTTAACAGAATATACTCATTTAGTAGATAATTGTCGAAAAACTCAGCATTTAGCGATGATTTGATCAAACTTAAATGCCAATGACGCAATGATTACATAAATACAATGTCGATTTAGAGCGTAGAGCGTATAATAAAATTGATTAAAATCTTATTTTATTTGTGTTTTTGAATTTATCAGAGTTTATTGACTTGACTCGCAAGTACCAATAGAATAGGATATTACTGACGATAACACCTACATACAATGTTGATGAATGACACGATGAAAAGTATTTGCCAGTATGGGCGGGGTTTGTAGGTCGGGATATTCGCAAAGCTTATTGTTTATTTATTGGACATAATAAGATAACGTAAAGTACTAGGTTTATTACAGATTAAAAACAATATTTCCCTAGAATGATAATTGATTACGTCTTATCAAGCGTGGGAATCTGTAAGTTGGTGAGAACTACTTGTAATGGAACTTTTTGTGAAATATATTTTTTTAAACTGTCTTAGTTGTTGACGCGTAAAATGGTTGATGTATGAAAATGAACGATATAAAGCTCTTAATAGATTTTATTTATATAATAAATAAATAATAATTCTTGATCAAAAAATTATAAAAACATCACGAGTTCCCGACTCCGTGATCATGGGGCTTGTAAAAGTACTGAAATATCGAGGTCTCAATAAATATGCTAGAAATCCCAAGAAAACTATAATTTTTGATATTTGCTAGTTATTTGAGTACAAAAGGAATAACGTGAAGATTTATTTCAATCAATCAGAAAATAATTATCGATCGAATTTTTGAATTTTCGAGTGTTTCCATGAAAAAATTGCCGAACAACGAAATAATTATTAAGTGATTATAGCGCGTGATTTGGATTAGTGATTTAGAGTAAACCAAGAGTATACCTTGTGCAAACTTGACGACTGAAGGGTACCATCTGGCGGGGTACCGGTAGTTAGCAGATATGAGCACTGGCAGCACCAAGCAAGTATATGCGGCCATCAGCCAAGCTCCCCCCAACGCCAACAGCAAACCCCGTGGTGCCCAGTAAGGCAGCAACAGCACGAGTGAAAGCAGCCAGACTGAAAAGCATAAAATTTCAATTTGTTTTAAAAGTAGACGACAACAAAAGTTAATATTACCTCAATATTACATATGCGCAAACATTTAGAGAACTTCAAGAAGGATTTACTATTACCGGACATCATAATTTAAATATGGTCATTCGTTATTGAGGAATCATAATATATAAATATGATATTTTATATCTAAAGCTAAATTAAAGTTTAACGGTATAAGATTTACGATATTACTTTTTACTGCTTTATCAACCTAAAAATGAAAGCCTTTGGAATGCTCTTTCCACTTCACTAAAAAACTGCTCAGAGTAAAATGGTCTTCAGAAAATTGGTGCATGAGCACCATCTTGAAGTGTTATTATTTCATTAGAATTCTGTAATGTAGGTATTTTTTATGTATGTACGAGTATTTATACGATAAGTCAGCGAAAATGGTCACCTGCAGACCAAGTGCGGTGCTAAAATAACTTGACGTGGCTTGCGAAGCACAAACAGCTTTAGACTTTGTTCATCCATCTCATAACTACTCTTTGAGATTTTACTTTAGATGTCACAGAACCAAAGCAAACCAACCTGTTCGTTTTTTAGTTATAATGTAAAACTAAAGTCATTTTTATACTTTTTTTTTACTTTATTCAGTTAAATTTTCATTCATATCCGTTTTTTACACCATCTGTGGAATGTGTCCGGAGTCAATGTACTGCAGCTGTTATAAAAGGAGTCATGGACGTAAAAAAAATGTTATTAATAAGAGAGATTTCATAAATATACTGTCATAAGTTTATAACGGAAGCTAATTTAAGCTTTTTATAAAACAGGAATTCCTAAAAAATATAATGTATTTCTCAAACAGGCTATTATTTGGTTTATACATCGAGAGTAGCGTCGGAATCTCGAAGTCTGAGGTTCGATTTTGTGGACGGATTAATGTAGCAAACGATATTTTTATTTAAGCCTGGCTGATTTTTCCAATATCAGAGGAATATTGTAACCTACGAGTATTACCTATATACAATTTAAATTTCAATTATTAACACTGGGTACCGGTAAATAATATTTATTTGCAATTGTCCTGTATGCTATTCTGTATGCTTCCCTTTAGACCGGGCTCTACTTACAAAGGGTTATAATTTTTATTTTACATATAATTAGTCCTATTAATATTATAAAGGCGAAAGTTTGTAAGTATGGATGTATGGATGTTTGTTACTCTTTCACGAAAAAACTACTGGACGGATTTGGATAAAACTTTACAGCAATATAGGTTATACATCAGAATAACACATAGGGTACTTTTTACTGGGAAAACTTCTCACTCCCACGGGATACCGACTTCCACGCGGACGAAGTCGCGGGCGTCCACTATAACAAATATTAATAACATGGCATCTTATTGTAAATAAAGTGGTACCCCATCATCGCCTATTAAGGATAACACCCATAATTTTAGATCTGAGCTATGTTTTAATATTATCTTATATTTACTATCACACATTTAATATTTTAAATACACAGTAGCTGATTTTTATCTTTATTACAAGATTCACTGTACAATATTATAATACTGCATACATGACTGTTTGCTATTTTGAAAGCTCTATAAATATCACACACCCTTGAACTCGATTCTTCAATACACTATTTAATTTGCTTATGGTTACTTTTAATTAATATTTTATCTTGAAACTATTTTTGTTTTATAATGTTGCAGGAATAAAGAGATTTTTATTTTCTTAGTTATTTTTGGTGATTAAATTATACATGATAGATAGAATCATACAAAATTATAAAGTGCTGTTCTGCGATTATAACAGACACTACAGAATTGAAAGAATAATTGCATTTTTGTTTTTATTGTTTACAACTACAAAGTACTTTGGATCCTTTTACTGTTTGAAATATGTACGTTTATTGTTCTGGTTCCTTTTCGTTATATGTATTTACGGATATTATGCAGCATACAATTTTATCACTTCGTAATAAAAACACGGAGTAAATATTTAAAACTACTTATGACTAAATTATTCCGTATTTTAAAACTTTTCTTGTAGTATTTAATTCTATTGTAACATAGTTTCCACAATTTTTTATATTTCTATCGTCTACTAGTGTCTATTACTCCTGGGTAAGACTGGTAGAGAATATCTGATGATTAATAGTCTAACGGTCTCTACCACGCCTGGCAAACAATGGCAATACTAAGGAGAATAGCAAAAGTTTATAATACTTACCAATGTTAGCAATTTTATCCTCAGATTTGATGAGTGGAAATTTCGAGAAGGAATCACTTCTAATACGGCCGCGCACTCTCGATATCATTCCCATGTTTTTTTTTTTAATATTAAAAACGTCTGACACAAATATTATAAACACAACAAGTTGAGATACAAATTGTATATGCGAGCCACTTGTTTCTATATCTTGATTAGACACCTGCGACTTGTGAGGAGTGTTCGACACGAATGCGCATTATTAGCAAGAGTCGAGAGACGCTTGCGCAGACGAACAGACCTGCCAATACTACGTTGTGATCGTTCGCAGCGATTCCAACCAAATTTAGCATACACATGGCTTCCCGTACTGTCTTTTGGGTATTTGAACATAGCATTTCAACACAATGAAACGAACCAAAGCAATAGCTAACCAAAATGCAACCAAAAGCAAACGCGCATACGACTTCTCCCATCCGACATTGTCATGACGTTATATTTTTATATCCGATTCCATGTCAGTGACTCGTGAAATGGACACATATACCTATATCTGTTTTAATTGTGACATACTGTCAGGTGATTAAATTCTCAAGTTTTATGACAAACTATCTATGGTAGATTAACAACGGGTCTGTCATAGGATGGGTGACCGACAATAAACGTATTTTTCGAAACATGGAGGAGCTCGTGATAATACACGAGTTCTCCGTACTTCGGAATATACGTTAAGTCATAGTTTCCGGCTGTATCAGATATGGCCTCTTCTCCCTATTCGATTCAAATGAAGCCATAAGGACTGTGACCCAACCATATAGATATTAAATGGTTGATAATGATATTTGTGCAAAGCTTTTCCTATATTATTTTTGTACTTAAAAAACATTGAAAATTGCTTCAAAAGATCAAATGGATAATGGCAATCTGTAGTCGTACGTAATGTAACTAGAACATATTAAATGTTCTAAAAGGAATCTCGCGTCTCGTGACATTTGTTTTCTTCAACGGTAGTGCGAAATATTTCATTCTCAAAACCGAACAAAATACGTAGGTTGATCTAACGAAAGGCGTTGACATTCACGAGTCGCGTGAATACCTCAAGTCATATTTCTATATGCTTTCGATAAAATTGAAAAAAAAAATATTTTCAGTGATACTTATTTTGCATAGATGTTATAAAAATCACACTAACGCAAAATACGTTAAGTATATTTTGTTTTTTCGATGATCTGGATAAATATTTTTTGGTATTTGGCAAAAGGTGTCAGTAATTTTGTCTTAAAACAAAACTATTAATCTGATTTCGATAAAATTCACATGTCACGGCCACCTCACGTCCAGAATTTTGAAAATATGTCAAGAATTTGCATAATAATCGCTGAACACACACAGAAATTCTCAACTTAACCTACATAATGGTAATTGTGTTCCTATAGCAAAATATATATTTTTATTTGCTATCTCTACTCATAGTTATTTTAAATTTGAACATTCAATATTTTCCCGATGACTGTACCTAAAAGTAGTTAGATTTACGGATTACGCGCCGCAAATATATGGGCCGCAAGTAATAGAATGGGGTAGCTAAGGGATTCTTCTACTACTCTCAATTCTCTTGTTATAGCTTGGTAAATTCACGCTCAAAGATCTAATATATTTAGTAGGTATTTTGATTTGAGCACAATTGGAAATGTTGAAGCTATGGCAGAATTACTTTAGGTGAGAAATAAATCCTTTGAATATAACTCCGTAAATGTTCTCTTGGTGAACTCAAACCCTTATTTAGATCGTTATATCGAGCTCTTACTAACCTTATTTTTTCATTGACAGAACTCTCCCGAAGATGTACACACTGGGTTTTTTAATGCTACCAGCATTAGCTATTCTCGGCACCTGCGCCGCTTACTACGGGGACGGATACGCGGGTAGAAACCTGATTGTAAGGGAGGAGCCCCAAGATGATGAAGGGTGAGAACCAATGAGTTTTTATCATAGAAGCACGTAAGCCTTGATTCGGCCCTCGACAACGATGGGTGACTAAAAAATTAATATCTTGAGCCCCTCCGTGATTCGTTATCGCAGAGGTTCCCAAACAATATTTTCTCGTAGACCATTTAAAAAAAAATACTGGTTTCGGTGGACCCCCTGCTGCTACAGTTTTACCATACTCCCAAAATTCATCCGAAATGTGAAGATCCAACGATGGAAATTGAACTCCTATTTTTAATTCACGCCAACGTAGACCCCCTTTGAATCCCTCGTGGACGTGGACCTCGTGGACTGGGGGTCCACCTGGACCACTTAGGGAATAACTGCGTTATCGTAAGGCACGTTAAGCAGTTGTACAGGCTGCATTCGCAGCCAGTAATAATAAAGCCCACTAATAAGCACTGGTAACCACGTGGTGGGTCATTATTCCTTTTCTGTATTTGATTACATTCGAATCCATCCATAGGAAAGACCCGTGCCCCAGCAGTTAGAACAATAGTAGGCTTCGATTTTTAAATTGGTTTGATTCTATATTTATATTTTTTTATTAAGCTTGATTGTATTAATCTAGGATTTATTTAAAATTACAGAGAGTTGGTAGAGTGTCCAGTCTGTACCAATGCTAGGAATGGCGAATGGGTGCAGAGTAATGAAATCTGTCCCATCGTCAGAGGCAACAAAAGATACAAGAGGTGCCAGCGAGGTAGATACATCAACGAAGTTTGTGACAACCGGTGGGACTGCTACAGAGTACGTACATATTTTGGCTGAGTATATTATGGCATACCGATGATAAAGTCAACAGAGTGACCACCTTAATCTTCTAGCTATAACTATAACTCTATAATTTTGTTTCAATTTTCCGACTTTGACATGTACCTACATTAATATAACGACGACGAATGTTATAGAATGCTGAATATGAATTTGACAGCGGTGTTATAGTAGTATACAGCGGTGTTGACAACTTAGTCATATCATCCAAATTTACCCACCATCAAATATGTCAAAGTAGTAAAACAAAACGAAATATCGTCATAATATTCACTAAGATGTCGTATCCTAATGGCTAGAGTCAGGAGGTCCTGCAGGGGAGCGACAGCCTCTCACGCTATTTTATTGCAGTTTTATTGATTTTATTAATGAATAAAACAATTAAACAATTGATTATTTATTCTACACTACAAAAAAACCGGCCAAGTGCTAGTCGACTCGCGCACCAAGGGTTCAGTACCATTATCGATTTAATAATCAAAAATATACACGTTTGTTGTTTTCGAAAAACGGCCTTCCCACACCACCAATGTTTTTGAAAGACATATCCAACGATGACCCACATTATGGAAACGTCGAAAAAATACTTTCATGTACCCCCATTTTTTATCCGAAATTTCACTTTACCACTCTGTCGGTGTAATTAACGTGTATACTGATGTCAAATTACAACTTTTTAGTACTAATAGTTTTTGAGATAAACGGATGGACAGACGGACATGGCGAAACTATATGGGTTCCTAGTTTACTAGGGAACCCTAAAAACGAACATCATCAATAGAAAATCTTTATATTAAATTGTTCACAGGGTCCTCGGGAACCATGCACTGAAAAAATGGACTTCGACATCTATGGTCAGAAATGTGCCCCAGGTTATTATTGCAACAAATTCCTGGGTGTCTGCACAGGTTTAGAGTACAACCCTCCTAGCAAGGACCAATGGTATCTCAACCCCCACCGTCGCTATACCCTTCGAGAAGGACACTCTGTATAGAAACCAATTGTAGTTGTTTTATCTGTCCTTACGAAATAATGCCGACACAATATAAATTAATATAATCAAGACATTGATTGATGTATCCTCGCTTCATACAAAATAATTATTAAAATCTTTGTTATTTGGCTGTGTTAAACTGATAATGATCTCTTAAAACTGATCTCAATGTAATTTATAGTAAATACACTCTTTTCTGACATAATATTTGAGTTTTTTTTTCTTACTTGCCATCCACAAAAACGAGACTTTCGTATTCAAAGAACAATGGCCATCTGCCTAACATGCTTGGACTAGTAAAATCGAATAAAACGTAACTTGATGAAACATATGTTATTTCGTTTGCCTATGCAACTAGAACAAAGAAAGACATTAAATATATCATTAAAAGCTGGGAGTATCGAGTAATTGTGTAATATGTTTTTGAGGTTATATCGTATTATTTAAACTGTATCATTTTGAGTTAGAGGTATTACAGTTGAAATATGTAAAGCACACGTCAGATAATGCCTAATCGTAGTCCTAGAAGTGCATACTTTCACATAATACTTCAAACTTGCTCCATATCTAATAAATTATTTTTATTGACTGTTAGAAATAAAATCATTTTTTTGTGAACCAATGAACATAAAAAAAAAAATACTAGAATTTTGAAGATTGCTCTCAATAACTCTACTTTTCTATCTTACACTATAACTTATATAAAGTAGTAGTGAAAATACTAATTTCAAAAGGATATAGCAAAACAACATGTTGATTTTTCTTTTCTTTATTACAACTCTAATGAATACCTCATCACGAAATGCTGCAGGAGTAGCTACATTCTGTTCGTGTCTGGCCCATCCAAGATACCAAACTATGGTCATTATATGTGCACAACACCCCAGTGTACATCGACCAATAAGACAATTACAGCAGTGTTCTCTTATGCCATCTAACCCGGATGTGTCATTATTGTTTAAAATGTACAAATAATATTGTTTCCTCCCAATGTCTCGACTTAATTCTACCCCTTATAATTAGGACTTTATTTATATTTAAGTCTTATTCTAATAAATCCAGAAAATCCGGTATTCCTCTCCAGACCTCAATTCTATACTGCCCATGGAACCTAGTATGCTCCCCATAATACAGAAGATAGAGTCTGGCAAGCGAAACGTGTCACAAGAAAAGGGCGGCAATTTCAAAAATTCTTAAGCAGTAAACACTGAATGTAGTACTGCAAAATAATTTTGATACTTTTATTAATTATATTTAATCTTAACATTTAGATATCAATTAAAATTATTTGTTTTGGAACATTTGACTAAAGCGTGACTGTTCTTAATTGTACAGTTAACAGCATATCAGTAGGCCTATTCACTAACTCAACTGACAACCAAGAATCGTCATCACCGTAAAAAATAGACACTTTGATTGTGTCAAAATCACTATTTCGTATTCTCTATCAATGATGAGCAATTTCGAAATGTCAATATCGGCATTCTCCACTGGACTCCATTTTGACACTTGATTTCGTATCGATAAACTGTATTAAAGTAACATTGTTGCAAAGCATATTTGAAGTCGTCGCATAGTACCTCTTAAGCCATTTGTTGTTAAATTAAAGCGAAAAAAAATACGTATCCAATATTTTTCTATTATCTGACTGACGGACTAAATCGAATCTTTTTTTTAACCCATTCGTTATACCTATTGGCTAACAGCACTTATAATATTAAAAATTCATATTTGTCATTAATTAAAAGGGTGTTTTTTGCAACGACTTCTTTGTTTTTTTGTAATGAATATGGGCGACTCTGGCCACATTTTTTTAATAAATGTGATGTTAGCCAATTTTGATTTCTGGCCCTTATATTTATAATGTGTTCATAACACATACATGTCTCCTAAGGGATTTTCATCACAACCTTTTGCTCTGATCCAGAACCACTATCTATCAAATTAAATTAGTCAATATAAACACCAGATTACAATAAAAAAAACATTTATTTTTGTTACAATTAAGTGCCATGGATAAATTACATAATACAGGTGTCACAAAATCATCATGTTAATCACAATAGAAAATTTAAGATAAGATTTTGACTATGAATCAGACTAAAAATACTTTAGTCTGATTCATAGTCAAAATCTGTTTCTAAATATTCTACACCTGATAACAATGACAAGGAATCATCAGAGTCACTCTCTTCACTACTGTCTGCACCAACAGATATAATAAATTTTTCAAGTTCGTTTTCAACAATGCCATCTTTTAATTTGTAATCATTTTCGACATTTAAAACATGATCAGTGTATTTCTTCCAGTCACTAGGGGTAATTAAGTTAAAACACTCTATTATTAAGTTTTCCATTTCCTTTCCTGGTATTCCAATGTTTCTGCTTGCAATTTTTCTTTTTGCTTGACTCCAAACCATCTCTATTGGGTTTAAGTCACAATGATACGGTGGCAGCAATAAAAGTTCATGATTATGTTCTTTTAAAATCTCTTCAGCTTCATATACAGGCAATGTTTTCTTATCATTAACCAAACACATTAACTCTGCCTTTGTCTGATATTCCTCAAAATGTATTCCATTATTTACAAGCCATTTATGGATATCTGCTTTGGTATTAGACATTATAGGCGGTTTATTGATTTGTTTTATATGGTAGCTGGCATTATCCATAACAATTACACTGGGCTTACTTAAATTTGGTATTAATTTTTCTCTGACCCATTTCATAAAGTTCGATGAGTTCATATCATCATGATAATCAGCAGATTTGGATTTACTACTGAACACTAATAATGCACCAGGCACAAAACCTTCCTCAGATCCAGCATGCACAACAATATGCCGTTTTCCAGAGGATATCTTTGTAGTGACACCAGTTGTTGAAGGTCCTTGCCAAGACTTTTTAACTTTATAATTCTGATGTACATAAGTTTCATCAAGGTACACAATTTGCTTTCCTTCGTTTCGTTTTATATTTATTTCTCTCAAATACTTGTGCCTCCATGCAGAAATCTGGTATTTTTCTATAAGCATAGAACGTTCATTTTCATTGCTTTTAAAAGAAAATCCATTCTTAAGCATAATTTTTCGTAAAGTCTCACGGCTACCACTGAATCCTATTGCATCTTTTAATTCATTGTGAAGGCTTCTTAATGTTGGAACAATTTTTTTCACACAGTAAAATTCATTTACTTTATTCCGAATTGCACTTAAATCAAAATTATCTAAAGCAGACACTGTTGGTTGATGAGGTCGTTTTTTCCCAGGAGTGTCCCATTTTCCTTTATTAATTAATGCTTCATTTTTTATCCTTCTTAGTGTCCTTATACTTACATCTATAAAAGATTAAACACTTTGAAACAAAGATATGTTAAATGTATTTAAAAGCAAATAATGATAGACACATACATCAAAATAATTTAAATACCTATTCAACTATGAATGCAATTTATGTTTAATTTAGTTAAGTTTATGTGCATATTTAGCATGTATAACAATTACATGGTTTGATTAGTTTCATGAATTCTGTGAATTTCCTTGTTAAACAAAACATTCTTATGACATCATTGGATGTCAACAATAAAAACCAATACATCATAAAAAACCTATGTAAATATTATAGGAATACTATCAATCTATCTTAAATCAAAACAAGAAAAGAGACCTGTCATTGAAGAAATTTTTTGTAAGTACTGCGTTTCCGAATTCAGCATTTCTTGTTTTTCTAAAGTTTTTATTGCATTTATCTCCTCCATTATTGGTTGAATATCACCATCACAGTTATCTGAAATAGAGCAATATTTTATAAAAAATATCTGTTTAGTTAATTACAGAAAATTAAAACGAAAGTATCAAAATTATAATACAAAACTAACCTAAAAAAGATACAACTTTATCTAATCGTTGTAATTTCTCCATGAAATTTTTATTTAATTCAGTTTTCACTTCAGTAAACTTGTCAATCATGATGGAAAGAAGTTTCCTCGATGAACTTTTTATCGGCTTCGACATAATTTTTAACCAAAAACACAAGTTCAAATTCGCAAAAACAACAAAATTCAATATTCTTGAATTGTCTAACGTAGTGTCAAACTGACAGTTCTATGTTGTTGCCATATGAAAACGGAAAAATAGGTGGTGTCACGTTTCGCTTGCCAAACTCTAATACAAAATCAGCGCCAAAGTTACAAAACGGTCTGCGTAGAAACACATCTACACATATTTGTCTAAAAAAGGGAGGTCGCAATCGATTGAATACTGTAATATCGATTCTTATGAATAATAATTTGTTTTTAATTTCATTATAAATAAACTATTTTCCTCTAAGTAACATCTAATTATATTAGTAATCTAATCTAAGTTTTATAATTTTCACGGATTTATATGGTTAGTAAATAATATAAGATTTGTATCAAATTCGATTAGTCAGAAATAAAATCGATCTTGTTCTTTGAAAAGAGAAGGACTTCTCTAGAAATGACATTATTAATAAGATGCGTTCAAAAATAACATAATTTAAACTGCGTTCTAAAAAATAAAGACATATTTTAGAGAGGATTATCTTTCTATTCCCAGCTTTTAAAAATAAATTGTTGGTATATAATAATTACATTCAACTTATACTACATTTTGGTGATAGTTCCATCTTGGTACAAGAACTTTTTTTTAGTAGTCCATTTTGACTACTTTACTTTAAAACATTCTGTTAAAAGGTATAATACAAAAAGACCATGTGATAAATTAAACGAATATGCGAAAATATACTTACAAAAAAATAGTAGGTGATTTCGTCGTTGAATTAATAATTGTTACAGACTAAAAAGAACAGACTGCTTGAACTGTTACAGACTAGAACGCATGATAAGTTAGTTATCTATACTGATATTATAAAGAGGGAATATTTTAAAGAAATATGGTGCATAGATAAAGTTGACCTTAGGGAGACATAGGATAGTTTTAAGGGCGTTAATTACCGAAAACCACGCGGGCGAAGTCGCGGTCGCAATACTAGTGTTCATTAAAATATGATACCATATCGCTTCTTACATTTGTTGTTTGTTTGTTATATTGACTAGTGGTGTGCGGAATCGATTACCATTAATCGATTTTTTAAATAATCAGTTATTATCGATTATGATTACTTAATCGAAAATTAACAGTTGATTATTTCTTAAAACGTTAGCAATAGGAATAGTTGAAAAAGTTAGTATAGTACCTACTTACTTTACTTCGATGGCTCAGCAACCCTTAGCGGATCGCGTGTGTGAATTATATAACATAGGAAAATTACTCTTTGGTCGGGGAACTCCCGATGAATTAATAAACGGATCTTACAGTTTTATTTTAACAAATAGAAATTAACCGTTTTTTACTACATTTATGTATACACGGTACATACCTATACTAAAATAATATTTTTTACATTTTTTGTCTGTCTGTTTTTTCCGGCTAATCTCTGAAACGGCTGGACCAATTTTAACGGGACTTTCACTGGCAGATAGTTTATGTGATAAGGAATTACTATGGCTACTTTCCAGACGGACGAAATCGCGGGTACAACTAGATTAATTCTATAAATTTGCATTCGGAACATCATTAATATTGACCTTTAAAAAATAAATTAAGCTCTTATTACACTACCCAATTTCCTCCCTTACCATAACCACACCCTGACAATTGGGTAATGTAATAGCTGTTGGGGATTATGGGAGCCAAATTTTTTTTTTTATTATTCTCCATTATCGCAGTAAGTTTAGCTTTTATGTTCATTAGGATAATATAAGACTATAATTAAATTAAATTACAATATATATTGGTATTTAAGACTATATATTGGATAACTCGTTGATTTTAACATTTTTGGTCCAATTCGCTATATTTACTGCATTCATAAATACGAACATATCTCTGCCTTTAGGAAAAAGTTGAAATAGCTAACAACTCACCAGTATTGCCTTCCCACATACAAGCTACTTCATAAACTTGTCTTCAAAGTTTACTGCGTGAACATCTATGTCATTTTTCTGTTGGACTATATAGGTTCAATCGTTTATTTAATGCGATCGTTAGCACAAAGAACTAGGTATGCACTCTTATTTTTTTAAATACGCAGGCACCGTTTACCGCCACCGACCGCTCTCGCTATCTCGCTATTTGTTAGTTAAAAGGAACGGAAATGACTATCTTTGGTTCATTCGTTTCCTGCAAAAATCAACTTTTGTTGCCATTTAGTGAGGTGCTTTTTTATATTTATTGCCATAATGTGTACATAAATACTTTACAATTTTACTATTTACTTTAACCAATAAATCTTTCCAAGTGAAATAAACAATTTTATTTCTCAATAAACTGAACACAGTTACAAGCTTAAGTCTGTGTATATTTTTTTTTTTAAACATTAGAGATGCGTCCTAAATATCACATCCATCGCTTGGTCGACCGTGTAAGTGGAATCTATTACTACGTTTTTCACTTCGAATATAATTTTTAAAATAATAAAAAAAAAACTGTAATAAGCACAAAATGATTGATTTTAGATATAAAAAAAACTCGTATCCTCATTAGTTGTTTTGGTGTACCATTATACACATATCCATCAGAATATAGGCCAGTGAACAACTATCAACGCAAAATATAAAATATACAAAAATCAAAGGTGAAAACCGTCAGTGAAATTTGTCTAGACTAGAAATATTTTTCGTAAATCAAGAAATTTAAAGGTATACTTGTATGAAATGATTTAATTCGGTTTTTTCTAAGGTAAATTCTCTTCTTCTTCTAAGTAAAATTCTAAGGCTCATTTTGAGACTACGAATCTGCGTGCTAGGAAACTTAACGATGGTGTAGGGCCAACTTTATGTGAGTGGATTTCAAGTGTTAGTTGAAGGAAAAATCACAAAAACGTCTGGCAACATTGTATCTGTCTGTGTCTGGGGAACTTTTGGTTTTAACTTAAGAAGCGTTTTGGTTATTCATATTAAAAAAAATACTTTGGTGTGTGGTACTTGACTGATAAAACTTTCTTGGTTTTATTGAGGTATAAATACTGATAAGAAAAAGTTAACTTATTCCTTTGTTCTATGTGTGTAAAGTGTGTTGTGTGTTATACCTTTAATATACAGGCGGTCGCTTTGTTTTGAAGCAATCAGTGAAATTTTTGTGTAATTCATTTATTCGCGTAAGTTTTAACTTTGTTAAATGTGGGTATTGTTATAAAATAAGAATCTATATGAGTAACTAAATAATACTGACTGTAAACTTGTTACAATTATTGTTTAATAAGACTTCTAATGTGTATTCTTTTATTCATAGAAATCTTTACTTCGTTTGATAACATGTACCTATTTATGTTACCCACATAAGCAGTTCTTCGATCAACCGATAAAAGATAATTATACCTATATCCTATTTACCCAATGAAGAAATATATTTACAGATCCAATTATTGTTTCTGTAAGGTATCATAATGTATAATATTCTGGGCTTTAAACAGCTTCTATTAAATAAAATAAAAATAGACAAAAATTTTTTTTAAGTTTTATCATTCAATCTGTTGTTATATTTGTAAGTTGTAATTATGAACATGTTTATGAATCAAAATGGTTTGAACCCATTCTACACCCTGAAAAGAGATGTTTATTAACTTATTTTGGTCACTTGCATTCAACAAATTTACTTCCAATACTTTACATTGGGATAGTACAGAAAAAATTAAACTAAACAATCATCTATTATGTTCTAAAATCTTTCTGAAATCTGTTATTGCAGGAACCACAATGTATTGTATTATTTGTGGCATAGTTGATGAGGATTATGATGAAAATTCAATTGCATTTCACGTCAATAGTCCAAAACACATATGCAATGAAATCCTTGCTGAATATTGTCATAATAAGTGAGTAAAAGTTTTTTATAATATTGTGCATGACGCACTGCATAGACCAGTTGCAGTATTTAGGTAGAAAAAAGTGGTTACCGTCTGGCATCCAAACAAAACAAAAACATAAAGGCTTAAAATCAATTTTACCCTGGAATCACCTGAAAAATTAGATCCTGCTCCATCATTTGTATTAAATAAGTAATTTTTTTAAACATCAATATAGTTAGTTTGCAGTGGGAGAGATGAGGTATTAAATAGTTTTAACGGGCACTTGACATATTCTGCTGGTCTGTTTAATGATTTCTTCCATTACTTATTTAATAACAATACTAACTTCAAGGAAATAGAATATGTCTAAATCAAGTCTGAAAGATATAACACAAAGTGTGCCTCAGGGCTCACCTGGGACCATTTTTGTTTTTTACATTTATATAAATGATATTTCCAATTTCATTAAATACTTTGATTCATATCTCTATGCGGATGACTTGAAAGTGTGTAGGGTAATTAACTCATGGGATGATTTATTAATGCTACAACGTTATAAAATAACATTGATTGTGCTACAAATGTACCTGCATTGACAAAATAATATTCTTCTATTAACATATTTATATCCAAAGTAAAATTTATTAGATTCACAGATATCAATAGAGACAGACCATGCTTGGTTTGTAGGTGTAGTTAATATCTTATTCATATCATTAACTGTGCTACAGCTGTATGTGGAGCTGTGAGCAAATTGTGCCTGTACTGGTTTGCATCTTACATGCTCAGTATGTAGATTTAAAAGAACCCTAACAATTATAAATAATCATCTTTCAATTACAGAAAAGCTTTCAGCAAGAATCGAGAAGGTATTCACATTTTTACCGATGCTGAAATGTTGATTGAAAAAAATCTGAAATTAATAACTAAATCCACTGATAAACATAAGATAAGGATTGTTGTGAGTACCATTGAATTTTATGTTTTAAGTGAATTTTTCTAAATTTTCCTACATAGTACACAGGAAAGCATTGCTTCTGTTAGTATTTAATTAAATTAATGAGGAATAGAAGGAATTCAAAATTTCCAAACACATTTGTTTTTATTACAGGTTAAACCAAATATAATGGTGAAATTTTCATTCACTATTTCAAATGACACCAGAAATGATGATATGTTAGTTGTTGGCTTCCAATTGGCTCATCCTCAGCCACAATTCAGTATGAACGATCATCCATATATTTTTGGGCAAGATCCACATGTTTTAGAGAAAAGTTAGTATAAATATAAACAGGAAGGTATATGGGATGTTCTTCTTTTTTATCGACAATCTGACTAGTAAATTTTTATATTTGATAAAAAAAAATAAACTTGTGATTTATTTAGTGAAATTTGATTTAAATTATTGCCTCATTATTGTAGATTACAAAAACATATAATGCAGGGAAGTATTATGTGTAATTTTCGTTTCATTTCAAATTTCATAGGAATGGTATGAAAAAAATAACACCTCAGTCACAAAAGTATTTATTTTTTTTATGACTCATTTTAAATCAGAACTTCAGTTTCTTATTACTTTCTTATGAGGAATATAAACATTTACTATCACTTAGCTCCATAGGACGGAATTTTTTAAATAATAATTTTTTTTAATTATCCAATACCACTCCGTCACATTTTTGCTTCATAAGACATAAAACTTTTTAATATGATGAAAGTCCCCCAATAAAGTCAATTAAAAATCTAGTGAACACCTTTATTGTTTAGCATATAATACTAGAAATCGTTACTTTTGTAAATACTAACAATAAAGGGGTGGGACTAAATTGTGATAGAGTTAACGAAGTGACGGAGTCGTAAACAATGTTTACGTCCGCCGAAGAAAACTAACCTTATAACAATTTTTAATTTTAGAAAACAATAACAAACATAGTATATACTTAAAATGTTACTACAAGTCTTGATGATTGGTGTCCATTCTTTGGTAGATATTAATTTACTCTTACAACATCTTCTCACTAACTCTACTTTTCAAAAACTTCTATTGGTTGATTGTATTCGTAAAACACGCGTTTTCCTCTTTTAATTAACTTAGGAGGTGGAATAATTTGGAACAAATTTTCATACATCACATCTGACACATCAGTCTCTACCAGTTTAAACATTTTTCCAGTATCATCAACAGATTTATAAAACATCACTTTAACATCTCCATCTTCATCCACTCCACTTTTTGCTACTCCTAAGTGTACTAAATTTTTCTTTCACTTAGTACTTTGACTAATATATGTGTTCCATTTTTTATTAATGATGGATGGATCTTATCCCCTAGTAGATCGTGTGATGTACCTGGTTTTGTATGTACAGATTTTCTCAAACTAAGAAGAGGCTGGTCATCTTCGTCTTCTGAAGTAGAGGTATACACAGTCTTATAAAATCCCTCAGTAGAACCAATTATATTAGTTATATCAGTCAGTGGTTCTTCTCTATCCGAGGTTGAAATGTCAACTTCTGCCTCATGTTTCGGCAATGGGCAGTAAGTCTTTAAATTGTAACAATCACAAATTTTTTCCGCAAAAACAACTTAACATTCGATAGCTCAACATTCCAGGCTGCTGAGCAAGCAATTGATAAACTTGCATAGTTCCTTTTAATGGAGGAATTCCTTGTGGGATTGTCACCAAAATCTGTGCGATATTGTCCTTACCGACAAAAAAGACCTTTATCTTACTACGATTGTTGACTGCGTCGAAGAATTGTGATGCGTCAACAATATCGTGTCCGCTGGCTACAAAATGATCAGCTAAACGTTTAATAGACCCCCCTATGCCGTCAGCCGTACCCATATTCAAAAAAAAATTCCATGTAAAGTCATCAAATCCGTATTCTTCAAAAAATCTCGTGGCAATGAGATAAAAATTTATTTTTTGTTTATATTGCGTCGCTGGCCCGTCTGAAAAAATGTGGATCGTCTTAATATGAGACAGTTCCTTTTGAACGTAATCGAGAATTGGATGGAGGTGAGCCCATATGGTTGAAGATCGCAGGGCCATGTTGAAGATCAGAAGACACAGTATAAAAGGAAGTTATATTTTTATCCTTATTAAAAGTCAAGTGATATAATACTGCTGTATGTAAAGTTACTTGGTTTCGAGATCCTCCAAAATGCACTGACTGGATTTCTTCATGGTACTTACAGACATAGTTCTCGCTAAAATCAATATGTAAAGCAATTTCGGTTTCTGACAATCCATCTATACATTGTCGGTATGATTTATATTAATTTTTAATATTGTATATATGGGATTTAATATCTTTTAACTCATCTTCAAAATTTTTAATCAAATTTTTTTGTATTTGTTTTATATTCTTGCTGATTTTAACTTTTCTTCCATCACTCTCGATAATATCTGTGATTCTGACTCATTGTGGTAATTCCAAAACTTTTTCTTTTGCGATCGTGGTTGTATCATAATTGAGCCTTTTTGCTTTACATTTTTCGCATTTCCCTTTCATACATGGCAATGAATTTATATCGCATACAGTTTGTAAGATTATCTGGTTCATGTCATTTGTCTTCATAACTTTATTTTTATGCAAAATAACTCATGAATGCAATGTTTGCGTGTACCTTGCACATACAGGTTTCTCGGCTGTCAACTGAAGGTAAGACATAAAACGGCTTAAATTTTGCAAAATAACTGTAGTGACATTTAACGTTGGGGTCCTCTTTTAGAAATGACTTATAGAGAGCTTTCTTAGTATCCAACAAAATTCTTTTCTGCATCTTCCTTTTTTGATAAGTGACTGTCTCTTTTTTTCCAGCAGTGGCCCGTGATACATCATCCCTGAGAAAAAAATCATGATTTTTTTATTTTAATGTAGTATTTTTTGGCTAGATGGAACTATACTTTGTCACTCTCCTGATTCCAATGGTCTCCATTGCCAGTTGAAGTTTTTGTCCAGAACATTGAATTGCTGGATCTTCAAGTATACTTTTAATATAGTGTTTTGTTTTGTGGTCTTTTGTGTTCTTGTAATGTTTCTTAATGGTATTTGATAAGATAGTATATTTTCTGTATTTTTCTTTGCCTTGTTCATTTTCGTTTTTACTATGAGTTGTTGTTGTAAGCACTTTATTACGTTTCTTTTTCAGTTGCTGAAGTCTTTTCTTGTATTTCTGCACTTTTCTTAGTAATTCTTGTGTTTGGTTTTGAAGTTGAATATTTTGTCTATAAAGGTATGATCTATCTCGCCACACTTGTTTTCTTCCTCTGCTACTGGCAACAGACGAGATTGGAGTCAGTGACCGAGATCTGGGACTTAACGGAAGTAGTCTGGGACTTGAAGGAGGCGGTGTAGAAGCCGGAGTGTTCATCAAAACGTTCTGCAAAGTTTTATGTCTTTCTCTTCTCTTTTTATTTCTAATCTGCCATTTTCTTTTTTTTTTTTTTATGTTCTTTTGGTGTCATATCCTTAACTAACTTTTTGCGAGCATGATATCTTTCTAAATCTTTACGTTTTACTTCTGCAACAAGTTCAGGTTTAAGCTTTCTTTTTTCACGACACCGTCACTGTCTTTCAGCCGCAGATAATGCCATTTTTTCATTTAATTGATGGTAATATCTTAAATTAACAAAATAGTTGACGATAGGATAACCAACAAAAAAAAAAAAAGGAATCATCTATTATGGATATTAACTAAGGTTCTAAGTTCCATACAAAAATGACCACTCTGTCACGAGTTATACCACTCCGTCACATATTTTCGTGACAGAGGTGCTACGTGACAGAGGTGTAAAATAGTAGTGTTCAGCATTTTCTTAATTATAATTTACGCAAAAAACTGGGTATAAATATTTATCATAAATTAATCAGTTAATATTAAAAACCCGTAATTAGAATAACCAAGGTCAAAGTTTGTAACGCACACTATTTTGTACCATAAAATGAGTGACAGAAGGTAGCAACTAAAATCATATACATCGGGAGACAGCCAATAAAATATTTTATTATTATTTCTTCTTATTAATGTAATAAAAAAGGTTAAGTAGTTCAGTAAATGATCTTGGATAGAAACTTTTAAATGTGTTTTTTATAACGAGAGCACTTTGTTTACATTACTAGTCATAGAGGGACACACTTTATTAGTATGTATAACACTTTATTAGTATTTATAAGCAAAATATTATTTTTTTTGCGGAGAAGACAAGTCATTGTCGATAAAAAAGAAGAACGATACATATGCATAAGAACACAAAAACGACTATTGACATAAATTAGCTGGTATAAAAACGTATTGACTCATTCAGATAGCTTGAAAATGGTAATCATACCATACTCCACAGATATTATGAAAAGTACTAGAGACAGTATAGTATTAAAGAAATATTATTATTTCTTTAATACTATACTAGTATTATTTCATGACAATAGGTACCTACCTCGTAATCGGAAGTGCAATTTGTTAGCTGGTTGTTATTTAGAGATGATTAAAAATATTTATGATGTCGATATTGATTGACTTATATAAAAAAAACTTTATATATTATATAAAAAATATATATATCTCCAATACGGGTGTACACAGTAATCGAAAATAAATACATTGTTTTTTCTGGTAGCGTTTAATATACTAATTATTACTATTATTACCTATAATAATCACACTTTTATACTTATTATATTTATAATACTGTTTAAATTAATTATGATAAACGAATGCGGTCTCGTGACAAGGAGTATAAAAGTTGTCACGTGACCGCTCTCTCTTTTTCTCATAGCAGAACAGAGAATTCAAACTTATTTATGTATATGTCCATGTGGTATAATCAGCCGACCAATTGGGCGGCTATAGTTTGACCTGTACGTATGTATGTATGTTAATGCGCGATTGTCTCGCTTTTTGCTGAGTGTGAATTAAATAAATATTCTATTATTTAACATCTATATAATAAAATCAAGTTGTCTACACCCCTCTTCTTAAAAAATTGCACCACTGGTAACGAGGGTATAGCCTATGATGTCTTTAGTTTTTTTTACATCGTGGCTGTATGCTGCGCAGGAGCCATAAATACAGTAGGGGAAGTCCGGAAGACTTGAACCTTTTTTTACTTGAATTAATCATATCTTCGTATAGATTTGTCGTAGACTAGATTATAATTTAATTCATGTGTAATTTATATAGCCTAGTTTTTGCATCATTACTTTTTAAATATTTCAATACTGTAAATTGCTAAGCCGATTTGAAGTAAAAATGGGAAATGGATCAACTCTCCCCACTATAAGGGACATATGATCAAAAGTCAGAGGAAACTCATTATCAGGGGTTTTAGTAATTTCTGTTTATTTTTTTAGTATCATCTTTCTATTAGAGTCTTGTGCGTAGTTTTGCTTTCATATATTTATTATTTGGAATTGATACTTATCGTTATTCTCAAAAATTATAAAAACTTTTCTAAATGTTATTTGCCTTCTGTTCACTTGTTTTATTAACATTTATAATATTGAATTGAGTGCAAGTAGTATTATGGCAGAAGAATCAACACCACAGATGGTATAATTAACCACTGATGTCTTCAAAAAGAACAGTGGTGGCATACATCACTTCGACATAAAATTTTAATTGCAGAAAAGGTATTCAATTACTGTTAAAAAAAATTAACATACTTCTAACTAGAATAATCAGCAAACACGATAAAAATAATACACAATACTTACATCGATAAACACGGCCAGTATCTCAAAACTACTAATTATTTAAAATTTATTTTGTAGTGACCAAAACACTTTTCGTAACTTAAAAGCTAAACAAACCAGGCATTTTGTGCAATAGTGACACATACATTATTGGTCTTCCATACATGATCTACGACTGTGTTAATGTTGTATTAGCTTGCAATTTACGTTGAATTTTGAGAAGTGGTTCAACTCTCCCATCTGGGCAAGTCTCCCGGACTCCCCCTATCTCCAAATTGACTAGTAGAATTGGGAATTATTATTGGGCCTTTTGTTCAAAGTTTGTGCTTTCTAATAATTATTTTAAGAAAATATTAGAAAGCTCAAACTTGAAATTCTTTTCATTTGCGTCTTTTAAATTACGCCTCGAAACAGTTGACACAATTTTAGTTCTGAAAAGCTTGTCTAGTAGACATAGAAATCTTTACACTCAAACTATAAATGAATTATGTAGTTAATAGGCGAGTTTTTTTTAGAATCTTCTTTAACACATGAAATATCTGTAACATTCTCTGGCGATGATATTGGGCATTATGAAATGCCTATAATGTTTACGTTTGTACGGATGAGAGACGAGAAGAACATTATATTTGTAAGAGAAATGGTATGTATATGGAAGATTTTACAGTTTGATAAATACTAAGTAAGATATAACTGATGTTACTCACTGATGTACCTGCACAGAGTGGTGATTTTGAGTTTCGCTAAAATTTTGTATGGCGATTCTTAGTTCTTTGTAGTCACCACTTGGGGCGCTGTGCCGATTTTTTTTACTAAAATCATAACTCACTCGCAATCACACATCAAACGTTCTAACCACTTCAGCATCGAGTGTTTCACCTGTTTCTATAGAAGGCATTTTAATATTTTTTAGAAATTAATATATTTTGATGATTTATTAATATATTTATGATGTATTTATATTCATGTTGAGACCTGTACATGTGAGATTGCGCGACTGATATCGCTCCACGATGTTCTAAAACGAAAATCGAAGGCAGATCGAGCGCTCGACCGTCCTCATACATTTGAAGCGATATCGCAGACCGTACATGCAATTCGATATCGACGAGATCTATGAGCGATATCGAGGAATTGTGAAATTTTATGACTAAACATTTGCTATTCTTCATACATAAATGAAACAACCTTTAAACTGTTTTATCACGTTTGTATTTAGTTTTATTGACGTTTTGGACCCTTTACACGTTCGCATAAGACTAAGGTGTTAATTGGGTTTTTAATGAAGAATATTAGTATTATTTAGTTTTTATTATTAATTAAGATTAGCAACTTTCAAAACAATATTATTGAACACATTTACCGTTAAAAAAATTTTTTTTTTTAAATGCATTTGATTTTGTTATTTACTCTGGCTACCGTAATCTACCACCAGTTCCAAATTTGAAATTATTGGCTGAGAACAACTGACGAAACAAACTCCGTTAAGAAAAGTGAATTGCTCCTTTTCATTTAATATTAACAGAATGAATTAACTGTATCTTCTGGTTTTGCAATGTGTGATCTGGGGTGAGATTTTATTTGACTTATTACTGGATCTTTATTTTCAATAGCTGATTCATTTATGGCTAGTGCTTGTGAATAGGCTAGTGCTAAGAACTAGGCATATTCACTACTATGAGATATTTCTACATGTATTTATTTTACATAATAGGTATTGATTGTACAAGACGAACCAATGTCTTATCAGAAGATAAAAACTCCTTATAAAGATTCCGAGTGGTTAGAAGCTGAGCACTTTTTGAAATCGATTAATCATGTGTAAGTATTTATTTATAAGAGAATATTAATTATTAGTAGATAATAAAGAATTAAACCCACAATTGAGCGGCAAAGCAACTAATAGGCAAGCTCAACTATCGATAGTTCGGTATAAATAGTTATCCTCGAGAACTAGTAATAATATCTATAGATATGTTTAATGAAAAATGCTTAAAAAGTTTACCAGCCCCAGGTACCCTGAGATAGGGGTCGTTAGAAAACCTGTTGGGGTCTTAAGCATTTGCCCGGATTGCCAAAGATTATGGGTTCGAGTCCCATCTCGGGATGCCTGTGCCGGGTGGAATTTTCGTTAACATTTTTCAATAAAGACTGGCGATTCATCAGTGTATTGTGAATGCTAAATTTATGAAATATAGATTGAAAGCTATACTTCATATGAGTATTGGCTGTAAAAGTAATGCTAAACATATTATTATCGATTCCCAATAGGGATGACGACTGGGTAAAAAAAAATGCAATTCTATTTAGTCTGTCAGTCAGATATTGAAAAATATTAGATACGTATTTTTTTTACTTCATTTTAACAAGAAATTGCTTAAATAACAGGCATTAAAGTTGAGGAGTGGGTCCTCGCTACGTCACAGTTTTGTAGAAAACGTACCATAACGTGACGTCATGCGAAATTTGAACTCCACGTATCGCCGTAATTTTATGATTACGAAAACAATAAAAATTAGTCGTCTTTCCTGTTATAGTTTGTGTAACAAAATGCTTTTAGTATAGCAAGTGGTATGAAATCATCTTCACTCGTTGACACTCATTGTGCCTTATACTAAATAGTAAAGAATTCAAAAATTTGCGTTTTGTATGTATTTGTGAGCAGTATGTTTTGTAATTCCGTTGGAATGGTGGATTCTTGACATGTGTGCTAATAATTTCATTTTGTAAGTATATACTCTTAGAAAATTATTTGTATGTGTGTGTAGGTTTGTTCACGTATTTGTAGTCAATAAGATATCAAATTGCAATGATTTATTAAAAACTGAACTTACGGTACACTACGATTTTCACCAAATTAATATAAATAAATTAAATTTCAAATAAATAAAAACATCGGTAAATACAATAAAACGTATTGGAAAGCTATTGTTATCTCTTTCTTTCAGTGTTTCTATATATAAATTAAGAATATATACAAGAACTGTAATTTTTACAGGCCACTTCAGAATGCATTTAAAATACCAAAAGCATTAAAAATAATCTTACCACGTGGACTGGAAGAACAAGCCCTTGAAAGTCTTGGATTACCACACGACGAATACAATAAACTAAGACTCATTTTAATAGAAACCAGGTGATATTAATTTATATCTATTTTCATTCATACATTTGAAATTAAAATTATTCAACGCAAGTTTACATTAATAAAGTTAGTGCAAATAACAAAGCCGTTTATTCTATGCAGGGTAATTATGGACGAAGGTATCACAAAAGCTAATTACATAAGTTACTTTCACTACCTGTTATGGTGGGAGGAGATTATTGCCAAAATTAATTTAAGAGTAAGTATTTTTAGTTAATACGCATATTTTGTTTATTGAACCCACTTCGTAATAAAGCATGGCATTTCATCAGTAATAACAAAAATGCCAATTTTTGTATTTACATTTTCATACCATGTATTTCTGGTCTAATTTTTTTAATAAGATTTAACTGTCCTTTGCATACAAGACTATTTTATAATCATCCTTTACGAAATAAATCATTTATATAAATTATACATTTTAAATCAATAAAATGTCATAAGTTAATAACATAATTAAACGCAAATTATTGGATTTGCTTAATTAAAAAACCATAACTTATAATATCTAAGCCACTAACCAGTTAATCTAAAACGGATTGTGTTAGCTAGTGATAGACTAGCGCACTTGAGAGGATAATGTAACATTTATTCTACTCTGTGTATGCGAGTCTGCTGAATTTATATAAACTGTGTTGTAAATTTACCTTTTGTCTTAGAAATACAACATGAGCAATGTCAAATTGGAAAAAGACAGTAAAAGTGGTTATTGGTTAGAAGTACCTGGGTTAGCTGAGAAGAGACCTTCTTTAATGCGTGGTAAGTATCATGTAAATGAATGTTATATACTATTTCGGTCCTTATCTAAATAAGATAAGGTAGTATAATTAATGCTGCAGTTTCTATAAATTTACGACATGTATACAATTCTCCATTTTTTTATTTAATACTGCCATTCACCAACGAAATAACTGACAGCATTGCAGTTCTGTCTCAATTATACCATTTATTCTTATTGTTTCGTTTGTAGGAGATAGAGTTTATATCAGACCAAAGGCCGATGGAAAAGTCATATTTGAAAGTATAGTTAAGGATTTGGAAGATGATAAAATTCGTATCGCTGATTTCGACGAAAGGCATGTATTTTTTTAACTGATTTTGCACTTGACTGTATTATACCGACATTTACTATTTATTTAAAGTTTTTCCGAAGTTTATCTTCGGTACCTTTGTAATTTTGAAAATTTTGTTGTACAGTTTTAGCCAGTTTTATAACGAAGCTGCCGAGTTCGACGTTCGGTTCATGATGTGCCGGGTGCCTTTGGAGCGTATGCACAAAGCCGTGTCACGGGTGTTTAATTCCAAGCAGGACTGTCGGGTATTTCCCGAGCCGAACAAGTACAAAATCGCCGTTAAACCAATCCCTAAGTATGAATAATCTGACGATTGACAGGCTCAGTAGGTACTACTATTTACAGAAAATATTGGTCCTTTTGTTGTTAAGACCCCAGGAAGGGGGACTTAACATCTTTTATTTAGACCTCGTGCACAAAGGGATTTCGCAATGAGAAACCGAGTGGCGGCCTATCTAGAAGAGAGATGCATGCGCGAGCGTTTAGGAAAGATTTGGTTAATACAATAGGACCAATATTTTCTGTAAGTTGCTAGCTATTGCTACTGAGCCTTTTGTAAATAAATAACATGTTTCGTAATTTGATTTTATGCTATCTAGTACTTATAATATTTTTTTTAGACTATAAACGAAAGGAGAAACTTAAAATGACTCATGCATAATATGAATAATGTGATTTAAGAATAAATACGAGTGTGATGTGTATATATTAATATTTTGGCATAGAACTTAAGTTCGATTTGTTACGAGGCCATAATATTCAATTGTTTAATTTTCAGGTATTATAATAGCTTAATTGAAAGTAATGAAGAGCAGATATCTGCCGTAGAGCATATAGTAGCTGGTACTTCTGGTTTTGCTCCTTACATTGTGTTCGGACCACCAGGTACCGGCAAAACTATGACTATCGTGGAAGCCATTATACAAGTAAGTTTGTTAAGGCTCGTGAAAGGGGAAAGTAGCTTACTTAACGTTTTTTACTTAGACCTCGTCCAGAAGATGCAATTTTACAGTGAAAAACCGCGTATGTCGACCTAGCTAGAAGAGAGATTCACGCACAAATCTTTAAGAAAGATTTGGTTTATACAAAAGGACCAATATTTTCTGTCATCAATAGGACTCCCTATTTCTGTGTCATCTGTTTATATTAATTTTATTTTGTACATGGACTACAACTGTATGCGTACCTAGAATAATTTTCTAGAGTCCACTTCAAATTTGCCTCTTCTGAATAAGGTCTTATACCGTCACCGAATTTAATTTTAGCTACATATTGCCGTATCTTATCACTTCATTTATCATTATAATAAACCTAAACAGCTTTTTTACTTACTTTTTAGTAACTTATCAGATCTTGTGATCATGATATCTAATATTCAGACATTGGTTTCGCAGCTTGTACTCAAGAAGGCAAATAATCGTATTTTGGTTTGCACCAACTCAAACATGGCTGCTGACCACATAGCTCTTATGCTATTAAATTATAACAAACGCCTCAATATAAATAACTTTATACTTCGTGCCAATTCACAAACTAGGGAATGGTAAGGCTTGGAAACTACTTGTAACTAAAACTAAAACATTTTTACCTATTATCAGAATTGAATATTGAACAGCTTTAACAATATATATGTTAGGTTATATCATATATATGTTAGATCTTATAATTAAAAAAATTTATAAAATCCAGGACTGTGATGCCAACCGAATTGCACCCTGTGTCGAATGGTACCAGCTACGAAAATTTTTATGCGGTTGACAACCATCAGATGGCTTCCTACCGTATTGTGGTCACCACGCTGTCTCATGCTGCTAAATATTCTTCGTAAGTTTATTTTCTCCCCTTTTTTACATCTACAACTAGGACAACAGGCTTGTTGTGTCAGCCAGTCAGTTTCTTGAAGGGCGTACATGCTTTATGCCAATTTTTTGTAAGTCAAACGAAACCTGAGGAGTGGTTAGCTCGTTCGGTCTGCAATACGGTTTTTAAGCAGCTTTCTCAAGGCGGTCATAGGATGGGTGTCCAAAAAATTATTACCTCGAGCTCCTCCGTGCTTCGGAAGGATCGTTAAGCCTTTGGTCCCAGTTACAGTCGTTTACTCCCAACAATCTGCACTGTACCGGTGAGATTTACCGTATCATCAACAATTTTACGTCCCCACTGCAAGGGCTCAGGCGTTCCTTATGAATGGTTAAGGAGGATGGTCCATGACCCTCCACGCTGGTCGAATGCTGTTTGGAGGGTATTAACGACTGCAAATGCAACCTGGAACAACGTCCTAACGTGCCTTCTAAATATTTTTTTGGTCACCCATCCCGTGACCAACCCTTGCATAAGTTTCTCAACAACAAGGATCGCGGGCCGCAGCGTTTACATTTTTATTTATTTATTTACCGTAAGTCATCTCTTATTTATCCAAATTTAAAAGTAGCTGTAGCTTTACAATTTGTAGGGTCATCGTTTTTGAAAAATCATTGTTTTGATCATCGGTTATGTCACGATAGGGACAGAAGTCAGCGAACGCACAAGTTGCAAATGAGCCATTTGTTCATTGACGAAGCGGCGCAGGCATCGGAGCCGGAGGCGCTGATACCAATCACCGGTCTGTTAGCGGCCAGCGGTAAATTAGTGTTGGCCGGTGATCCAAAGCAGCTGGGGCCCGTTTGTATATCGAAAGAAGCGAGCAAACGTGGATTGGGTGAGTTGACTCGCGATATTTCTTTTTTTTAGCCGCTCCTCACGGTATTGGTTCTATGGTTGCCAGATTTTTTTTAGCCAGTAAGGGACAAATGTTCGAGTACGGAAACAAATAAACGGGATTTCAGTGTTTTATCCGTAATAAATTAAAATACCAAACTATTTACTTACTCAGATTCTTTTGGATATTTTTATTTTTGTCGGATTTGACATATTTAGTAAGCAATACAATACGGGTGTAATGTAAACGAAAATAAATACCTATTATTTTTTTCTGGTAACCACCGGATAAATTGTACCACCTCAAGATTTTCTACTAATCACTTTATTTTTTCTTTACTGGCAACACAAAAACAAGCATTAACAGCGCCCTCAACTATTTGTCATTTTGGAATGGCGTCCGGCAAGTAAATTTTGTTCGAGAGATAAAAAAAGTTTTTGTGGGTGTTTTATGTAAAATTTGATGTTGAAGCCTAAAGATATTTCGTGCAAAAAAAGGTACGTTATGATTTTCATTTTTATTTTATTTGAACAATCTTTAAGAAGTCTTTCATTCTGTAAAATAACAAACAGATTATATTTTGAGGTTATTTTGTTAAAAATATTATTTTGATAGATCGACTGGTTTGGTAAATCGTACCACTAGTACGCGTCTAAGTTGTACTGGTACGATTTACCCGACCCACGTTAAGTTTTATTTTCAGATGGACAGTGATAAAAAGAAATACTATAGATGGAACGAAGATGACTTACAAAGAGCCCTATTGGCCTTAGAAAGAAAGGAGATGAGTCTCAATAAAATATCAGCAAAATATTCTGTTCCAAAACCGACCATTTTGCGACATGCAAGAAATAAAAATAAGATTGCTAATGATTTAGCGATTCATAAAGGTAGACCCACTACTTTCAGCACGGAATTGGAAAATATTCTAGTACAACATATTTTAGAATTAGAAAAGCACATGTTTGGACTGACAATCAATGACGTACGGAAACTTGCATTTAATATAGCGGAAAAACATAACATTTCTCACACATTTAATGAAAAGAGGCAAATGGCGGGCAAAGCTTGATTTTATGCTTTTAAAGGACGTCACCCAGAACTGAGTGTCAGACAGCCTGAAAGCACATTCATAAACAGAGTAAAGGGTTTTAATAGGCAGAATGTTTATGGTTTCTATGATTTATTAGAGAAGATAATAGATGAATATAGTTTAACAGCTGCGGACATATTTAACGTTGATGAAAGTGGATTTTCAACAGTCCAAAAGAAACCACAAAAATTGTGGGTTTGAAAGGAAAGAAGCAGGTTGGCACAATAACAAGTGGGGAAAGGGGTGTAAATACGACTGTTGTTTGCTGTGCTAGTGCCGCTGGACAATTTGTGCCTCCAATGCTAATATTTAAGAGAATGAGGAATAATCCTGAGTTAGCAAACGGTGCACCCCTTGGTAGTATTGTGACGATTTCAGAATCAGGCTATATTAACTCAGCATTGTTTATTGAGTGGATTAAACATTTTATTAGTGTAGTCAAACCATCACATACAAAAAAAGTTTTACTTCTGCTTGATGGACATATTACACATTCGAAGAATCTGGAAGCGTTAAATCTCGCCAAAGATAATGGTATCATAATGTTACAGTTACCAGCGCATACCACTCACCGGCTACAACCTCTGGATGTCTCATTTTTTAAGCCAGTTAGTACATACTACATTCAAGCTATGGAAAAATGGTTACGAACAAATCCTGGCCGTCAAGTTACTCAGTATCAAGTAGCATGTTTGTTTTCTGAAGCTTACGGAAGGGCTGCAGTGATTGGTACTATTTCCAATGGGTTTAAAGCAGCTGGTGTATGGCCTGTAAACAGGAATATCTTTCCAGAACATTTATTCACAGCTGCTGAAAATATGGATGCCGACAGTTCCAAAAATACTACTCATGAAAGTACGTCACAGGATGTTAGTGCTAAAAAAGAAATAAGCAGCTTGAACCTTACCAAGCCAAATAAAGATAGGAACGATATAATCAAAGGAAAAGAAAACTCCCCAACAATCCAATTATTCGTCCAATCAGCAGAAAGTGAAGACAATCCTCAACCTTCTACATCGGGTTTAAAAATCAAAGAAATAAGAAAGTCATTGCAGTCTTTATGTCCTGTACCCAAAAGTAATCAACATAAGAAAACCGTACAGAAGGCAGTCGAAATCACTTCAAGTCCATACAAAAATAAATTAGAGGAAGCAGTTACTGCTAAACAAAAACAAAATACAGAAAAATATGAAAAAATCAAGAATAAGATAACAAAAGATAAAATAGTAAAAGGGCCAAAGATAGAAAGAAAACAAGGTAACAAACGAATCCCAAAGAAACAACTTGAAAAGAAAACTATAATGAAAAATCAGAAAAGAAAAAGATCTCCTTCTATTATTAGTGATGATAGTCAGGATGTTAACGAACAAAATGTTTGTGCTTTGTGTGATGGTCACTACTTCGACAAAAATGGCCCAAATGTTGACTGGATTCAGTGTGTTCGTTGCAAGAGATGGGTCCACGAGACCTGTACATCGAATCCTGATATTTGCGATAATTGTTTGAACTAAAGTAGGGTAGTTAAAGAAAGAATTTGATCTCATAGAATAATAATAAGTTTGATTGTTTTATTTTTGTTTTTCTTTTACAAGAAGTTACTTTTATTTCATGAAAAGTTTAATTGAGAAGCGTTTATGTTTGTAAATCACACAATTTGGATATAAAGAATTACTGATTTAATTTCTTTAGCTTGTTTTCCAAATTAAAGTTAAAAATAATTTAATGGAAGCGTTATATTTTATTTAAACCTTGTTTTATCAAACAATTTAGAAACTGTATTAATTTAAAGTGACATAACTATTAGTAGTACAATTTATCATACCTATGGTACAATTAATCGGACTAGTTGGATAAATTGTTCCAAAGGTAAGCCTCTAGAATAAAATATGTTAAAAATATTATCCAAATAGGTACGCTACTGATTTTGATGGAAAAGTTAGACTAGATTCTAAACTTTGTTTTATACGAGAAAAGTATTTTTTAATCAACATTAAAACAAGTTATAATTGTAAAAGTAAAATGTAGTACAATATAACCGATTACCGATATCACTTTTATGATTCTTATAGTTATACGAGTAATATTGCTTAAACTATTTATGAAAAAACAAATATTTTATGCTAGTTGTTACTTACTTACTCACATCAGAACTTAGAGAATTCAACCTTAAGCATACATAGAGTGCATTGAACGATATTCGTTTCAAGGGCCGTGACGTCATAGTGACGCCATGGCAGAAGTGGCGTCTTCGCGGGAAATTTTGAAATTAAAATTTATTACTAGATTTATTATATGAATGTTCTTTTTTTTAGATATATCTCATATATCTATAAAATAAAAATATAAAAATTTGTCTACACTCCTATTATATGGTCATTAATTTACTTTTTATTAAATTGGGTACATTTATTTCATATATCAGTCCACTTTAACACACTTATGAAATCGAAATTAAATATAGAACAGAGTTGGTCCCGGCGGGACATTTGATTTATGAAATTTATGCCTGATATACCTATAATACGAGACGTCTGGTAACACTATACGTAGCGTGTACGTGCCGCATATACCGTAACTTTCGTATCGCCCAGTTTGTGGAAAAAGAATAGTGTTGTTTTTACTGTTTTCCTCTCCATCTTTCACGTTTTCTCCCCAATAAAACCTTCCTCGAACTTTTATAAAAAATATCCAAATTGTAATCTTTAATTGCGTATTATTTATATTCGATTTTTACTTGTATCTTATCAAAGCTAATGCTTCAATTTTGTTGCAGGGAAATCTCTTCTGCAGCGCCTGAAAGAAACATACGATAATTTGTACGAAAATGACCCAAATTATATTACTGTGTTAGTGAAAAATTTTCGATCGGATCCTGACATATTAAAGTTGCCGAACCAACTGTTTTATGACAATAATTTACAGGTGAGCGCGTACAATCTATGATTTGTAAGTGACTACTTTGGTTCACTTATTCGGCTGGTTTTGCGTATTTGTGTTCGGTTCCATTTTGGCCATTATTTATATCTTTACTGCATTACAGGCAAGGTTGTGGGCTTACAAATTAACAAATAAATCATACAAAAGTGGTGGTCCATTGACGGAGACTTGTATACTTGAAATGAGCTACTAATTGTAGGAAACAGTTTTATCTAAAATAGCAACTAAAATATAAAGAACTAGAGTTAAATAATAAATTGGGCGAAAACAATTCTGAGTAGACGAAACTAACATCGATATCTACAAATCGAAGACCATCTCTTCAATTTGGTAAAATATCCGTTGGCAAAATTGCCACGAGGATCAGTCGTAGAATCTTGCACAAGCAAGTATGAGGCGGTTTTAAACCCTTAACCCTTAAAATAAAAACCTTTATCTGAAAGTCCAGTATAAGCACAGACGACGTTATTATTAAAACACTTCAATTAAAGGACTATTGTTCAAACAAATCATTTGTTTGTATTTTTTGCTAGGCGTGGTCGATTCTTACAGCGCAATAAAATGGAAAAAAAAAAAAAGAGCACCTGGACTATTCAATGAAGGACATGCGCGTTATTCACAGAAACACCGATAGATTTTTCTTATTTGGTTGGAAACTGATAGATGATAATATGATAATACATATAAAGATGGATCCTTACCGGTAGATTTTTAATTAAGATAATTTTAATGTTCCAGTATAATAGGCCAGGGTGCAGTACCACAGTACCCTCGGACCACGTAGGCGAGGGTCGCGGGTTACAGCTAGTTCTGCTTTTAAAACAGTCTCGAATTCGTCAAGCATAACATTGTCATAGCATAGAGGTTCAATCAAATAAAACCTATTTCAAAAGATAATTAAGTTTTTATTTCATTGAAATTTTTTTATGTAATTATCGTATCTCAATAGTCTCAACTGCTTGAATTTTGCCATTGTACTATCAACATGAATCTATTGGATTCATTCACTACATCATTTACTACTGACGTCCTGACAAATCAGTAGTGACGGATATATTTATTACTTTGTGATTTTGTAAGAAGAACAGCATACTTATTACTATATTATTGAAAGAAATCGCGTTTATGTGCTAAGAACAAAAATATAGGTTTCTGTTATATTTTCGGCAAATATGAACCATTTTAATGAAAAAAAAAAATTAAAATTATGAACACTAATTTGGAAAATATTACGCTTTGAAAACATGAAAAAGCAGGGAAAATATATTACAAGAAACAACTTTAATTATGACATCTATAAACATAAACACAAATAACAAAGATATTACAAAGATTGCCCAGACGTCCATGCATTTTTTGCTACCGTAGCCACCGTATGACGTCACAGAGTGCCTTAAATTTGTAGGAGCGTTTTCGACCGACGAGCAGCAGTTCCACAAACATAGCACCGTATGTCCGAAACTATTAATCGCAGACATGCTGTTACTTCTACGTTATCTCTCAGATATTAATGGACTATTTATTTATAAAATAAAAATAAAATTTATTTCAACTAGCCAATTGTAACGTTTCGTACTCTTGATTTGGTATACTAGCGTAAATTGGCTCAATATTGCAAAGTCATTGAATGGACTATTTAATTTTGAGTTAGTAGTGAGTTTATTTTTCAAGAGAACAAGCTAAGATTTTTATGAAAATTAATATCGCCATTGAAATTGACATTGCGTTAGCGTTTAACAGTAAGCCTGTGTTGAAGTGCTTTTGACTTTTCATAATAATATAGTAGAATTACCTACAGTTTTTTAATAAAACAGTAAAGTTGCATTAATAGTCGCGACTGGTTGCTTAATGTGTGGCAACTCTATTGTGATGTATTACTATTCTGTTGGGGATTCCTTTAGTTACGACATTTATTGTTTTTTTTATAGGCACTGGCCAAACCGGATCCTTTGAGTAAAACTAATATATTGGGCCTGGAAGGCGGCGAAAGAGCAATAATTTTTCACGGAGTGAACTCAATTGAGCAACGTGTGGGTAAAGCTCCAAGGTATGTCTGGTTTTAGTATCGTAATAATCAGTTGTTATTTTATACTTAACCAAAAAGATGCCAATGATGACTGATTTTGTCTGTTTGTGTGAATGAAATGATATCATTTACAGTTAAGGACAATTAATTATTGTTTCAGTTACTTTAATGAAAGAGAACTCGACATGTTAAAAAGATACACTAACGCATTGATTAATAACCATGGTGTACAGCCTGAAGACATAGGTATCATCGCTCCATACATTCGACAGGTATATTATGAGTATTGAGTATGTAGTGAGCTATATATGAATGAGGAAGTATTAAAAAAAACGAAAGCACTAAAAAGCACGACTCTAGCAAAAGTTCCGTTCCCATTAACTAACATATTAAAAAACTGAGATATGAAAAGTTCTAAACTTAGAAATCAATACAAATACAAATAGAATATGATTTGTTTATTGAGTTTTGAAAACTAATTTACTTTTAAACATGAAAGAAAACCGGAAGGGTTGTCATGGAGAAATCAAGAACGTACCGTAGCGACATCTAGTTTGATTTCGGGAACTAATGTTTTTTTTAAAAAAAAAGGTAAAAATATTTTCATTAAGAATATTTTCTAGTATATCATTGTGAACGGACAATGGATCAAATATAATAATTATTTATAATAGTTCCTTTTAAATAATCTGTTGGCTTGTTGAAGGTTTTAATCAGTACTCATTTTTTCCTTCCGTAATTAATAAATGATTCTTATTTATGAGACAATAAGGTTCCTTTTAACTACACTGACCCAACCGAGAATTATATCCGGTATCTCAGTGCGAGCCACTCAGCTAAAGTCGCCGAAAATTATTGCGTATATTATTTTTTTTTTTTTAACTTAAATTGTAAGTACATGTAAAATTACTCATACCTATTCACATTTCATAGGTATACAAAATGAAAGCTTGGCTCATTGATAATAATCACGACAAGATACAGGTTGGTACCGTAGAGGCGTTCCAGGGGAAGGAGAAACGAGTCATTCTAGTGTCAACTGTACGCGCTAACTGCAAGTTGTTGGATTATGACGCTAAATACGGACTTGGATTTTTGGTTGACGATAAAGTGAGCAATGTTATAATTTATTTAATGAAAACCGTCTTTTTTTCCGAAAAAATATTGTTCAGTTATAACACGGTCGCCGAATAAAGGGAATTTTATATAAGGGTCCGGCATTTCATGTCTTTTTCACTCGTGCGCAAACATATTGCTATTGTGCTCGCACAGATGCATCTAGCCAATACGTCATTGTAAAATGCGATATCTATCAGTAGGTACAAAAGTCAACGTACTTATTGATGAAACTAACTAACTATTCTTTCTGTTTGGCGACTATGCTAGGGGATACAGTCCCCTTATAGATAGTATCATAAAGGAATCAGCTATACTATGCGAGGCCAGTGTTGATCGGTGGGTACTAATAACTGCAGATTCAGCTAGGACCAATGGCTTAACCTATACTTTGAAAAACGGTTCAAGTTCAAGACAACGTATGTTTGGTTAACCATCTGACGAATTATGGTTCTATTGTACATTGTTTTACATCTATAAATTTAGCGTTCCCCGACCTGTGCTGGTCCATGGACCCCTAGGAAACAATATTTCAAGGGTTAGAAAGCAAATTTAATTTGTTATTGATATAATACGTACTTTATGGTAATGAAATGATTTATGTAAATGTCATTACTTATGAAAAAGAGCTGGTAAGTATTTTTCGCTTTTTCTTCTTGTTCGCTAAAAGACGTTCTGAACGAGTGGTAGGGAAAAATAAATTTTTGGCCAGTTCAAAAGTCCTTGAAACATGCTTACTTGAATAAAGACATTTTCATTTCATGTTAAAAATGCTACTACATTCTTCGAAATGTAGGTTTCATTAAAAAGGCGCTTTACTATGAAAGTTGGTGCAGATTTTTTACAAATAAATTATTTACGTATATACGAGTACAAACCTACAAAAAATATAAGAATTCATTACCAAAATTGAAAAGACTGCGGAAGTGCATCAATTTTTTTTTTATAAAAGGAGTTTGGAAATCTTTTCTATATCTTGTTGTAATGATTTGCTTAGGCGTTCTGAAAAAGACTCATTAAAATTTTTCGGAATACTACAATCTATAACATAGTGACTAACTATGTAACTACTAATAATATAGTTTAATAATATTTTAGGAATAAAACTCGATCTGCGCTCTAATATTTTTTTTTTTTTTTCAGAGATTTAATGTAGCTTTGACTCGAGCTAAAGCAAAAATAATCATAGTTGGCAATCCAGCCTGTCTCACAAGAGACGTGAAATGGCGACTTTATATAGACTTGTGTGATGAAAACAAATGTTATTTGGGTAAGAAATCTCAGCAACTTGAGAGGAACTCGACTATGCTTAACGAGATAGCCAAAATAAGATTTGATAAATGCCGTATGACAGATGAACTGAAAGCCATTAAAAATAAGAACGGCGAAAATAAGTAATATTCTTTTTTATACCATTTTAATATTATAGTAGGTGTTACTTATAGTATCACTGGGATTAAATTGGAATAGATGTGATTATTACTAAAATTATATAATAAGATATTTATTTTGTTCTGATTACAAATTTCTAAAACAAAGAAATTTACGAGATACGTGCAAGATGCTTAAAGTATTTGGGCACTATCTTTGTTTTTATGACCAATTGTAACGAGAAGAAGGTTCAATACAGACTACTTTTTTAATGTTACTTATATTCCGACGAATTAACATGAAACCTGGATTTCTAGCTTCACTGAAACATCAAAACCTTTTTCGCAATCAAAGCAAAGCGTCTAGGATTAATAAAAAAATATTCGATCAAATATAATAATTAAGAAAAACTTCACAAAAAAAAATAACAATAACAACCGAATTTGGAAGCGCAAAGACTACAATACTACAGTTATGCTATCTCTACTGAGCTTGCGTGGGCGGAGCGTCGTATGGCGTGTAGTGCTAGGAGTATGGAGTTCTAAGCCAAGTGTCATGTTAATTCGTACTACTAGTATAGTGAAGTGTGTTTTTAAAAATTATTTTTAATTAAAAATATTTATATACTAATTAATAGTAACTCTTATAAAATCTAGACAAATCTCGCGTTATTATTAAGCGAATGCATGTATGACATTGTGATTTAGTTCTATTGTGCATATTTATGATGTGAAAATAAATTCTATTAAAATCCTTAAACACTGCGATTTGTAAGCGAGTTTAAAACGAAGCTTTAAACTCGCTTACAAATCGCAGTGTTTAAAAGACAATATTGTTTTTATTAGCTCGAACGGTGTGGAATTATTCAAATACCTATATTTAGTGATAGCACTGCTAAATAGGTGGTTTAATTATTAGAGAAAAATTAGGCAACCTCGTGAACTCTACATTATACCAAAACTATGTCATGTTAACAAAATATGCATAAAAATATTAAGGCATTGAATATCAAACTGTTTATTGGATAATAATTACACACCAGTTTAGCCTCCGTAGTTTAGTTTGAATGTATTTTGGAATAACGAACCGTAAGACAGGATAAATGTATTGTAATTTTATTTTTGACTTTGTACTCGTCACAGTGAAATAATCTTATATGTTTTTATCAAAAGGGCTTAAAATAAGTGCCTAATTGTATATTTTTGATATAAATTTATATTTTTTGGACAATTATTGTTATGATTATTATAAGCTAATTATAATTATTCATTATATGAAATGATTTTATAGTTAATGACAAATCAAAATTTAGTGAGATTATCATATTAATATTAATATAATTAGTTATATACTTACTTAATTAGTTATAATAAAGAATGTTATGTTCCTTAATATTTAATAAAAGACATTATTTTTCACTTTTGTGATATTTTTGATATCACATTCATAACTCTTTCACCGTACTCTTTATACTAAGACTATGTGGATAAGATTAAGTAGCATGTATACGAGATTTTAAAATATATTCTGTAATTTTCTTTATTTGTGCAATAGTGCCTATTGCACAAATAAAGAAAATTCAGGTTAGGTTAGGCTGAAAACTGCAATTTGTTCTTCTTGATAAGGTAAATTAATGCTCCGGTAAGAGAGTTTATAAGCGATTGCGAAAACGACATTCCGTGAAGCTGATTTACCGTTATGTTTATTGAATAATCATCTAATATTCAGTATGTACATACAACAGATTGTAATTATATGGAACTGAGTGTAATATATTTTGATTTTATTTTTATTTTAAGGAAGATTTACAGACAAATATTAACATAAGTTACATCGTAATTTATATGTGAATCTGAACTGAGTGATCCTTTTTCAATTTTCAAGAAAACCAAAACGTAAATTTAGTCAAAACTTGTCAAAACATAACCGAAATCAAAAAAATTGTCACTCTTAAGCGATCGAAGATATTGCCCAATATGTGGATCACTCAATTCAGACATTAGACAAAACGGCTACAAGCTGAATCTCGGGAAATACTTACACTGTGAATAAAATTTTTATATCAAAAATTTGTACAGTATTTGTCACATTATTTTGCAAATAATCAAGATACTTCAATGTAAATCCAGGTTTCCATGATAGTTTCAATGGATCATTCAATCCTGACGCATTTAGATTGAGTGATTCTAGAAATACGGTAATATACGCAAACATAAATGATAACTTTTTTTTACTTTAAAGGAAATTTTTAATATATTTGTAATATACAAAATACATTGAAAAATTGTACAACATTGTGACTAAAATTTGGCATATAATTTATTTGTTAGCGTCATTTTATTCACGAGATATTCATCAGGATGCGTCAGGATGCGTCAGGATTGAGTCAGGATTGAGTAATCCATTGAAACTATCCTGGATTTACATTGAAGTATCTTGATTTTTTGCAAAATAATGTGACAAATTCTGTACAATTTTTTTATAATAAAATTTTATTCACAGTGTAAGTATTTCCTGAGATTCAGCTTGTAGCCATTTTGTCTAATGTCTGAATTGAGTGAACCACATATTGGGCAATATCTTCGATCGCTTAAGAGTGACCACTTTTTTGATTTCGGATATGAGTTTTGAAAAGTTTTGTCTTGATGTACGTTTTGGTTTTATTGAAAACTGGAAAAGGATTACTCAGTCCAGATGCACATGTAATTTATTCATATGCTAATCACAAATCTCTAGAAATAGATTAAAACCTGCAAGAAGAAAAAAGGATTTATTGATCATAATCTTCATGTTCCATCAAAATTTACACAAAATCTATAAAAACATTTTATATTGTATTGACCAAATTTATTATTGTTATATTTTTTTTTTAAATCTTTTTCGCGTTCTTTTTAAGGCATATGAAAACTCTAGTATGATGTTTTTGATCGTTGGTGTCATAGTATCCGATGTTGTGGTATACAAGATGTTAAATGTCTAATTATAGATTTTATAAACCATATGCTGAAACCAAAAACTGACATAAGCTATATTTGCTGAAAAACTATGTTAATGCTAGTTAAAACAGTATGTAGTATTATTTTTATTAATAAAGGTATTTTAAAATGACTTACACACAATGAGGATCTCTTGTCTCTTAATTTATATAATAATAGAATAAATTTTCTGAATATCTATTACTTGCTATTCGAGTCACCTTTGTTAATTAAATACATAAATATTATCGTTCATGGGGTAATGGCGTTGTACGCCGACATACAGACTTAGATCTAGTTCGGCAATAGATGCTACATTTGACTTTGTTCTATCAATAAATATGTAAAATAGTGTAAGAAAATATTTCTTAACTGTTTCACACACAGATTTAATTGTTTCACTAGTTCTAATTGCTTCGATCATATACGTCAGTAGTAGCTTATACAAGTTCGTTTCAGTAATAATTATCCTTGCAATCATTCTCTAAAAACGCATCTACACCCATCGATATTAGCACTAGTACCGGGGCTGATGGATGTGTGAAAAAATAATCACCACTTAGGCTTACCCACGTCCACGTTGAGGCAAGGCTCGCCCCACCCTCAGCTCTGACTTAAAGTTATATATGATGCAACAAAATTAAATATTATTTAGTATAATACAATTACAAAACCGAAATCTTATCTAGTTGATACCAGAATACTCACAGATTATTATTAACATAAAGTTATCACTAAAGAAAAATGTAAGTAGGTACCTAAGTTTGGCTCTGCAACTCAACTAAACCCAGACATCATTGTAGGCGTGCCTTAAAAATTAGTTGGAAGGCCTTATAGCTCGGGGGCCCCGTATCATTGATACTACGGTAAATACGCACCTGGTTATCAATATTCCTATTTATAATTTGGATATCCAAGCTTGCTACGAATCTTGGTTATGTCTCGAACTGTTTTTTCTCCACAAAAAGTTGTATACCCATCGTATGATGAAGAAGAACAGCAACTCCGACGCAGTTATAAAAGACATCCCGGTGAACATACGAGATGAACTACTCATCTTGGCTGGAAAAAAATTGTCTTTCAGAGTACCCTAAATGTTAGAAACTTTATCAGGTTATCTCTTACAAGTCAAGCGAAAGTGTGTCTTTGTTCTGGTCTACTTTTGATCTACGTATTTAGAGGATCTGGGTGAAAACTATGTTCACTATAAGTATACCTATTTTATCTTCATCATTGCAGTATAGTCCATATTACGTTGTTGCGACTTTCTGTGTTCTGTGGATGAGACTCACACTGCAGCCATCTTTTAAAAAGAAAAGAGCGACTGCCCTGTAAAAGTTTCGGACTTTACATTCTTTCTAAGAAAGCCATTGTCCACAGCCACAGTCCTAGACCCGTCCTGAAGAGGGCTCGTACGACAAAAATATTTTAATTTGTTTTGTTGTCCAGTAGTGGCTTAGAATATCAGCGGTTACAAGCGGACGGACCGAGTGATCCTATGAGGGTACCTTCTTTTCCTTTTGGGGCGTGGAACCCTAATAAACAAATGAACATCACTACTCATGCAATTTTGATATTTAAATTCAAACAATTTATATTTTAATATTAATAGTTTCAAGTATATTCAAAAACATGAGTCATTAGAATTGGACGCAATTCTTTGACGTAAGGTCCAAAACAAAAGGTGTTTGGTACAGAACTACTATATGTGCCCCTCCTCATAATAAATCCTGGTTCGTTAATTGTAACAATAGACGTAAATATATTATAACAGCTCATCGACTGCGACCTGGACACATTCCGCTAAATAACTTTTTATATTTAAAGGAAAAAAAAAACCGAATTCTCCCAATTGTGAAATCTGTCAAAACATAGATGTCCAACATTTGGCTAGCTGAATGTGTAAAGAATGAAGCAGAGAAATAAATTACTTCTTAAACTTAAGTACAATAAAAATGACGTAGGTGTTTTTAAAGTGTCCTAGCATATGCGTTGTCGGATAAATTTAGAATGTTATTCAACATGGTATACAAAGTTATGTTTCCTTAGATATAGATCTTATAATAAAATAAAAAAATATATAAACAGTTCATTAACTATTCCAGTGATTTATATTTTTGATGTCCTAGCCACTATTAGAGAACTTGACCCTACATATTACTTTTAATAATGCCACAAATAGGTAAATGAAAAACTCACCGAACGCTTCGAGCTCACTAACATTGATGTCTACATCGTATACTTCATGGTAGATACTGTCGTAATAAAATCGTAAAACGGTCTTATTTACAAACGATACTCCTGAACTAAAAATCCAACGTTAAAACATTATTGAAATTTAAAGTACAAATGATCCTTGATAACATTAATTGTGTTCACTAGATTATGCTATTGGATTGGTGTATATATCGCTGTCTCCATCAAAAAGTAGGATAATAGAATTTCATTCATTCATTAAACGTACGTAGGAAGTATTCTAATATAAAATAAGTACTTCTTGTTATTGTAGGTATTGATATACAATCCAAAGTCTGAAAACGCTTACGAAAATTTGTTAGTCCAAAACTTCTTCGAAAAGTAATGTTTGATGCGAAAAGGGACTGTAGTGTACCAGTCGCGGGTGCAGTCAGGCATGCAATGCTGACACTGTTGGGAGTCCTGTCGTTCTTTAGTGAGACTCTTGAAATCAGCATCTTTCCCAGGATAGTAGTATAAGAATTTTTCTGTAATAAAGGACTTAGAAATGTTTATGTAACGTAATGGAGTTCGAATTTACTTGAAAAATGTATTAAAAGGTTTTTACCTTTTAGATTATATAATTACCTCTGTGTTTAGCAAGACAAATGAGGTGCTCTGGTGTGCAGGTAGTGTCATTAGCGTTGGGTATCAACGTAAAGGGTAAGCAATTACAAAGTGCGGCGATGGTTCGCTTTCGGCACTCCGTGAGGCACCATGGATAGCTGCTGTCCTTGTTCCATGAACCATACATTTGTCGGAGATGGCAGCGTCTCTTATAGTAGATAAGAAAATGTTTGGACATTATTTATCAGCATTTGTTTTATTATCGTTATCATTATTATCCATGTGTCCTGTACTCATTACATGAAAATTGAACTGGAAGTAAGAATTCCAAAGCAAAAATTTTATATTGAATGTGTGAATTCGTTTTCCGCTTGATTATTTTTCTGTTCGAACGACACTGTTTCTGATTTTAATGCTTCGCTTTTCTAAATTACCAATATATATTTTTTGTACAATGTAATTAAGTATTGATCCTTTCCACATATTAGCAATTTATGATCCGTCGTTGGGATAACTGGAATTTCTTTGTCGGCATCCCAACTTTACTTGGCATAGCAAGTCCGGGGGATAAACCTTGGAATAGTAACTTTCTTAGGAAACCAATCCAATAAAGATTTCTTTATTCTGTTTCCCTATCAACATTCATACTCATGAACTTTTCTTCACTTGCATATCTTTGTCTTCCACCCATCGCATATCCAGACACCTTCCATATTATCAAATAAATCCAGTACTTTTCTAATCATTCTATCATTGACAGATAGGGGAAACTAGCCTAAAACGGGTGGCCCGCCTAATACGGGTAAGTAGTTATACGCTTCTACGTCATACTTGAGTGTTGACGTGTATGTGTGCCGAGAGTTGTCACCAACCGAATAGTTTCAATCAGTTCCGCTAGGGCGCTAAAGTCACGTCATAACGTAGGAGTGTGTATCGAAAGTTTTTGGTGGTTTTGTTAGAAAAAAGCATTTTTAAATTAGTCGAAAATGTTCATAATTATTCGATCGTTGTTATTGATATTTTAATTTACCTTTATCTTTCTTTCGTTATTTCAATTTCCATTTCGAGGTTATTATTATTTTACTTAGCAAGGTAGTCTTGGGCAATATGGGTACCCGTCTTGCCTTACTCGTTTTGCCTGGTTAGTAAATATATAAGAAAAACTCAGCGTGCATCGTGGAGTGAGGTAACTATGAAATTGGCAATAGAAAAAACTAAATCCTCTTCGATATCTGCTGCCGCGAAGAAGTATGGGCGCAAACTGTCTACTTTTCTCCATCTATAGTAGAAAATATAATATTAAACGCAGAATTCTCTGCATGTCCTGTAATTTTAAATGAAACAGAAAAGACATAGGACCGTGTACCTGCGGAACCAATTGCAAATGAACAGGACTCTGATCCCATTCCTACAGAAGTTTTGGTTTTGAATAAAGCTATAGACATAGACATTGTTGACATTAATGTAATGGCTAGAGAAGATTCTCTATCTGACATAGAAAATTTAATTGACAATAGAGAATCGTGTGCTACACCAGTGAATGCCACTTTACTTCGTCCAGTATCTTCTCCTCACGTCCTCACGTCAAGCTTGCAGAAATCAGATCTTTGCCAACACTAAGCCCAAACAAAGCAAAAAGTTTTGTGATGTAAATAGAGTTTAATAGTTGATTTTGTTATTTTTATACTATGGTAAGTCATTAAGAAGGTATAACCAGTGTACTTGTTTTGCCCCAAGCTTATCCGTTTTAGGCCTCCTTCCTCTACATGACGTATTCCTGCCTACACACAGTGTAGAATACTCGCCACTTGTATGTTATTAGTGATATGAGTAGGCAAATGTCATAGGACAGGTCATGTAATATTCTGTAAAAAAAACCAACGTGGAACACAGCGCTAATTACATCGCTGTCGCACCATAGAATTTCAACCAAAATATTTTTTTTTTATCTTTTCAAATACCTCTAAGCTGTGATAGTGTTCTGCAACGCGGATCAATGAAACTTGGCGCCCTTGGCAAAATACCGAAGCGACTCTCATTAAACATCTAAAAATAAAAGGCTAATTTTGCCAATGACAAAAAAGACTTCCTCAGGGACTGCAAGTCTGAAAATTTTGTGCTTTTAAATACCGCGGACAATGGATTCATCTTCAAAAACAAAACTAATTTTTAAAGGTACTAAATGTGTTAAAAAAAATACAACAAAATAAATTATGTCATGCCGCTGCCGCCCCCAAATACGAGCGCCTTAGACGGTTGCCTAGTTTGCCTATATGGAAGGACCGGCCACTGCTTTGTCTATATTGAGTTCGATGCTAATTTGTTAACAGAATAGTAAAGTCGAACACTAAACGTACCCAATTTTCGCTGTATTCGTGCAAACTTTTAGACGGAGTTTGCACATGTGTTTGCAATGGAAAGTACACTGACTCGTTTCGACTCACTGGTAGTAAGCGCACCACTCCCGATTCCAGCAACGGGTATTGAGTCCCGTCAAATATCAATACCTGCAAATGATAAAATTGGAAACTCTTTAAGCTTGTACTAATGTACATACCTCATGTGTTCATAAGTTTTGAGAAAAACTTTTTACTGAAAAAAATAAATAAAGTTTTATTTCTTTTTTTACCGATTTTGAATTGGGAATGTTAACTTTTAGTTTATTTGTATCGCAAAATCATTTGTTTATATTTTCTCGAAATGGAGGGAACGAAACAATTACGTACAACTGTCATTTCGTTATTTAAGGGGGATGAAAAAAGCTATGCAGATTTTCCGCGAGCTGATAAGTTTTCCTGTAAGCCGTAACTTCGTCTATTACACAATACAGCGGTACCAAGAGACAAGTTCTTTGCAAGATCGCTAAAGGAGTGGTCGGCCACGCTCTGTGATAATGTCTGCGAACATCAAAATCATCCAAGAGCGACTTCGCCGAAATCCATGTCGCACTCAGAAGAAACTCACTCTGCAGACTAATATTTCGCGCGTTTTAGTGAACAGAATACTGATATAATTATGATTTTAAGGTAAAGGCCTGTAGCTGTAAAAAAGTCCACTTTTTAAACGATCGTCTTCGTAAGTTACGAAGCGAATGTTGTCCATTGCTGCTGAGGAAATATGATGCCAGGAAGACAATTTTCATCGACAAGAAAAATTTTACTGTCTAAGAAAAGTTCAACCGACAAAACAATAAAGTGTACGCTAAAAGTAACAAGGATGTCCCAGCTTCTGCACAGAATGTCTCGCGCACTCATCGTCTGGCTAGTGTGATGGTATGGTGGGGAGTTGTGTGTCGCATGAAAGTCACTCCGCTCCATTTCTGCCAACAAGGTGTCAATGTGAAAGCCAAGAATTATCAGAGTGACACTTTAGAGCCCGTGGTGAAACCCCTGTCTGATACGTTATTTCACAATAAGGATTAGGTTTTTTAGCAAGACTTAGCGTCATCCCATAAGGCAAAAGCACCAAAATTTGGTTGAGGGAGAATGTGCCGGCCTTCATCGCAGCGGATGAGTGGCCCTCCAAACCCGACCTCTGGATTATTCTTTATGGACTGAATTAGAGTTGGCTGGGCAGGGCCTGCCGAAAGTCCCACCCAAACTTGAAATCACTGAAGCGAACCCTTGTTCGAGAAGTAAAGCGAATTCCGCTAGAAAAGATTCGTGCCGCCATTGATGACTGGCCAAATCGTCTAGAGTCCTGTATTAAAAACAAAGGCGATCACTTTGAATCAAATATATATTTTATTGTTGATTATTATCTATTTAATGGTAACTTAAAATTTTTGAAATATAAGTTATTTATTAAGAAAGTTACGCTACTTTTATTTCATCTCAAAAGTTATGAGCACACGAGGTAATTAAAATAGATTATTACAGAAATAGAAATAGGTGGTGTGGGGCGCCACCTCCTTCGCTGAGGGCAAGGTTTACCTGCTAAAAACCCTGGGCATACCCGGGAGTATTCGACGAGATAGCCGTCAACTGAGAGGGGGCCTCCCTAGTTCCAACCTCGCGGGTGGTATTGCTTCGTTTAATTATAGAGGTTCCATGGCTACTTTCCCGCTTCATTATCAGATCAGCTCTATTCCATATTTTCATCCAGGTTCTATGTCTATACAAAACTATGATACAGCTTATTCGGAAAACGGGAAGTCAAAAGATTACATAATTTGGCCCTAAAACGGAAAAACTAAACGGCAAGTTAAATAAATGCTTGTAATAAGCATTATTTGCTCTCATTAGATTTCAATCAAGTTACTCACGTCAAATCCATCAATGGGTCTCCGAGTGACGGCAGCCTCGTCAGGATTCTCAGAAATAACCACAACTAGCCCATAGTGTTCTCCTACTATGTTAAGGGTATGTGGACGATTTTTAAGATCTGCCGGACTGTAAATATCTGTTTTTTAATATAAACATATTAATTATAAAATATCTATAAAAAATAATCTACTCACAGACACAATTTAAACTAACAAACCTAATCCAAATCTGCCAACTGCTAGTGTAGCTCCAAAAAAGCTTTTGGGAGTGTTAATTTTTGTAAAACGTGTTGTTTACTAATGTTTTGTAACTTTGATAGTAACGCGTCAGGTCTCGAAAACCTGATTATAACTGAAAATATCATGAAACGGCTTGTATAAAACTCCATTAATTTTTTTTCATGTCTGTATGTTAGAGCGTTTAAGTAGGATTTCGTACAATCAACAATACTCGTGCTTACTTTGTTGATAAGAATTGCATACTTGCATGGAAAATTAAGAAATAACTTACTGGTATCTGGAATTGAAGACGCAGCAGAAGCCGAGTGGTGTAGGTCTCTCAGCGAACAGACTTGTGCATTGTATTTTGTAGCCACGCCACGAGCAACGTTTTAATATTTCCGAGCATTTTGGAGAGAACTGTAGGAGGAGAGATTTATTCTTTTAAACAAATCAGACACAATTTAATATTAGATACACTGCATTTTAAACTTGGCTATCGAAGACGCAGCAATTGAGATTGCAAAGGATATATAATTTTCGGGCAAAGGCGGTGACGCAAAATTTATCTAAGCCGTCGACTTACATAGAACACAGCAAAAGTTTTTCTGTGTTATGTCAAAAGGCACATTGCGTGGGAGTTCTGGCCAAACTACTTGTTGTATGTAGGTACACTTAATTTTTTGGAAAATTTGGAAGGCCTT